ATGCAAAAAGAATGGAAACATCAACTGGCAAGGATGTAATAAAACTGAAAATGAGACACAGTTTCCGACATTTCTGAGAATACAATGTGATCATAAAAGGTTTGTCATTATACTTGATGTGCTTAGTAACCTCCAATTCCCTTCAAATGCGTACAGAAGATATGTTCAGGTTAAATTCCAATATACTCTTTATCTTAATGAGCGATTTATTAAGGCATTGTTATAGCATTTCAAATTTATGAAACAATTATAATCAATAAACAGACTGAAACTTGCTGGCAGAACCACAGATCGTTGATCAATGATCAATTTAGTATGACCTAATTAAAAAGTGTTCTAATAATTCCCCTTCACAATCCCAGTCATGTTTATTGATCACTGTGATACTAATGTATAATGTAATGGACACGTTCTATTCGTAGAACCGTGGTAGTAAGACCCATAGTAATGGGATACACCCGCATGACACGTTAATGCCTTGTGTTGATTACAGATTTAAATTCAACGAGATAATGTAATGTTATCGTTGCCACCACGTTTTTCATCAAATGATTCGGGAAATATAACATATTTATCCAGACGAATATTTATCAAATTACAAGCCGACGGCTATAGAGATAAGTATGTTACAAAAATTACACTAAATTATGGATATGATTTACCGAAAAGGGCGTTCTATATATCAATTCATGATAGCACAGAATGCAATCTATAAGCTTATAATCCATCAATACATGTTTACTTCGTAGTAACTCTAAGGCGTTTGGATATGTAGTGGGTATTAGAACATAAAAATTAAAAAAAAGGTTTTAAGTAAGCTTATGAAATAGGTCTAGAAATATTTTTAATATTGCACACTTGCAGATGTAGTAACTTTTTTTATGAGATAATATTTTCCTAGATAAATATTGAGATGCCCTTGAAAAAATATTTCTTTCGAATTAAACTTTAGTTGTATATCATATGGACGGGCTGCATTTGTAAACACTTATAGATATTTTTGCATAGCATCAAATGAGATAAAATGAAAATCATCATCATGGGACAATATTCCTATTAATGAAACCACATCATCTATTAACTGTAGTTATATTTTACCAACCAACATGTCAAGGTACAAGGTACCCTTAAAATTCTATAAATGGAATTACTACAGTGACATCAAAGCCGAACAAAAATAACATTACGAAACATTTCTCGCGGAAATACTTTCGCTATAATAGTGAGCGTTTATCAAAAAACAACCATGTACCTTTTTGAAATCGCTGAGGATGCGAACATTTTGAAGTTCGGATCTACGTAGAAGGGGAATGGAGAAAATGATTAATGAAAATGATCGGTTGAACATTCCTCACTCGCAAACAGAGGTACATGTAAACAAAATTTAGATGGACCTTTTGCAAGCAAATTTTAAATGTTAAAAACGCTGCGACATAATGAAATTGACATATTTAGTGGAAATCGCGTATATAGGTGTTTAATAAACATCTTCATTCAACCATTATCAAAAAGGGCCTTAACTTATCTAATATTAGTTTTTTTTGTAATCAAAGATCAAAAGGGTGGATAATGTGATTTTTCGCTTTCTTCTTTTCACTGAATTGTCTATATATTTTAAAACCCTAGTATCAATGGATTGAACTACCATATCGTCGGTCTCCGCACGTACCGGCGTAACTAACATTTTCCAAATTTTACAGGAGAGCTAGAAAACGAAAATTAGCAATAAATGAGATTGAAAGTGACATACTGATTTTTCAGTCTGAACGTTGCTGTTTCTTTTTGTTAGACTAGAGTGATGTAGAACCAGTTTTAACGCAGAGGCGTAAATCTATTTAAGCCGATACGTGAAAATTGTATTCGGAATTTTATAACTTAGGCAATTTTCTGAAAATTTTAATTCTTAGCAGCGAACTGATATACAGCTACGTCACTTCGTGAAGTAAGAGATGATTTATCATTTACGCCTGTACGTGCGGAGACCGACGATATGTATACGTTTAGCGTAATTTGAAACTGGAAATGTGTGTCTCTTTTGCGAGATCGCGCATCAGGGTTCGCTCCAGTAAGTATGTAGTTTTTATTCTCTGTTGGAGAGGCCATTTTGCATATAGGGGTCGATAACCAAAAAAATAAATAAGCGGTTGAATGTTTTTTATAATCGGATAATTGGATATTTCAATACTCGAAAAGCATTCGTAGAGTGAAATCATCATGCTAATTACTGACTTCGCGTTTCAAAGTACTTATCTGATTTATTAACCTTACTCCCATGGTAAATAACCACCTTAAGAAATCTTGGGATTATTTAAGATGCCAAGTTAAAATGTGTTTTGAGTTTTGGAATTGATATTCGTTTATTTCTTGTGACCATAGTACCAGATTACATCAATGTAAGTCGTTTTAAAAAATTTCATTATATAAGCATGCAATACTCGGATATAAACAGCCTTCCAACAAGAATGTTTTGATATAGTGACTGGAACTGTTGGATAGGATCAGCTTCAGCTGATTCTGCATTACAAATTATTTAAAATTTAATTTTATTTTGAACAAATACAATTGTCACCGATTTTCCTTCCACAGTAAAAAAGAAGAATAGCAGAACTAAATAGTTTCGTTCCTGTATTTTAGTTTCTATGGTCGGGAAACTATTTGGGGTGCTCCTTAGTAATGTGCTAATAATCTAGGACAGGGCTGTCCAACATACGGCCCGCGGGCCGCAACTCCTTTCTTGCGGCTCGCCTCACGGGTCATGTATACATCACATGTATAAATTACTCTCAAATATAGTATAGTATATACCTATGAAAACTCAGTAATAATGTTTTATACGAGTAGAAAGATTTTATAATGCGGCCCTCCAAACTGCATTTTTTTTTGAAGTGGCCCTGATCTAGGATATGATTCTTCAAACAATGTTATGTTGAGTTTATATGTGCATATGTCCGGAATAGCTTGAATTTTTAGCTATAGGGTGTGGAACTTTAAAAAAAATATATGTTTTTCTATACTCTAAAGTACTTGGATATTTTTTTGCATGGTATAAAAGGACATAAAATGACATATTTCAGTATAAAAAGTAATTCTATTGCGTTGTAAACATGTCTTTTGATATTTTTACGAAAATTGGTATGCCACTGATATTTTCCAATATGAATATTTCTTTCTCGTTAGCTTTAACGTTGCTATATATAGTCGAAATCACGAAAGATGGCGATTACTTCATCATTTTAGTAGACAAACAACAGCGATTTGTGAAAATTTTTAATGAAGTTTCAAATATGTTAGACAGAGACATTGTCTAACCAAACTGTATTGCTAATTTGCATGTATCCAACAAAGATAGACGATGTATTCGTGTTGCATGATCGATCATATTTGAAAAATAAATAGTTAGGTTATGTTAAATAATACTTTGGTCTTTGGTGTTAATGTCTTAAGGTGTATTCTACTCATAACTGTTTTTTTCAAAACAAAAACTCCCCACTAAAATTATTATTGAGGTAGCACTTAAAACCATAAAATAAAATAAAAATGAAAATAACCAGTGAAATAACCTAATCATAATATAAATTTGTTGTCATTATCTTCCTGACATCGTGATTTTATCATCGACGTCCATTGATTACTTCAGTACAATTTATGGTATGACGTAATAGCCATCTTTCGTGATTTTGACTTTAGAAATCCTTACTGCTGTCTCCTCAGATGCACAGTTTTTCATTAAAACAAGAAAACAGTAAACGTTTCTTACTGTTGATGGACAGTAATACCAGTTTTGTAAGGAATATTACAAGACTTGTTTGTAGGGACGTCATTGGTGGCGGCGCAATAGAATAACGTTTTATACTAAAATATGTATTATGCAAAAAATGAAAATAATACCTATCTAAAGCACTTTCGAAGATACAAAATAGGAAGTATTTTTATCTTAAAAAATCAACACCATGTGGTAAAAAATCTGTCACGGCGAAAAGATGTTTATAAAAACCATTCTTAATATGTTAAAATTATTTGAGGAATCATATCTTGGAATATTACCAGGTTATCAAGAAACAACCTGTATACCCAACTGATACTGTTAACTTTATTGTTATTATATTTTTAAACAGCCGGAAGGCTCCTCGCTACCACCCTCCCTGTAAAGAAATCATGAAATAATGCCGGATTTTGCCAATCAGTGACATGAGAATTAAATACTGAAATTAATTCTCATTCGGAGAAATTACTTAAGCATGCAGATACCCGAATTAATATCATTGTAGATCAGGATTAAACGTCTGTCAATTCGAGCCATCTACCAGGAAATTTATGGGGTAATTTTGAATTATCTCGCTTCACATTTTCTTGGCAATTTGAAACAAAATTCCATAATGCAACGTCCAAAAAATAATGGCAGTTTTTCGTCTACAATTAAGATACCAACTTTTTTTTAAAAAATACTCCATATGTAAAATACTTCATTGAATACTGTTATTCAGAAAAAATCTATATTCCCTAAATATACACAAAAAAATCACCTGAAATATATTATTTAGTTTTTCTCTTTTTTGAAAATGCACCCCAACTTATATCATAACTTAAAACTTCAGCACATATAACGTCTGTCTAGTTACCAAAAATTACTGTAATATCAGCATAAATGCCAATCCTATCCAACTAATGGTCATGTACAATGTCCGCTGAGCGCTAGTATCGCGCGGATACATGGAGGAAAATACAACTGGCCTAGCGGGGAAATGGAAGGAAAATGCATTGTCAATGAGTTGAAAGTCATAACCTGTGAATGCTTACATCTGACAAGTGTCGGTATGCTGGGTTGCCGAATTTTTAGTTCACCGCGGTAAGGAAAGCAGTAATGTTTAGATCTGGCAATCTCCGTTAGATCGACACTTTTACATATCCCCTCTCACAAGATGCCAGTATATCTTCCTCCATCTAGAGGTGCGATAAAGCGCACGCCGTAACGTATGTGTTGAGTAGTTGTGTGTGCCTACCCGAGCTTGAGGGCCTGTCCGCCTGCACGCAGTCCCTCCTCGCCCAGCAGCGTCACCTGTTCCTCCTCTCGTGACGGGTCCGCCATCTGGGATCCACCATACGCACTCAGCTCAGCCTGGTGACACACATTGCCCCCCGCAACTGCCTACTGCTATTACTCTCTTTTTTCTTTTTTTATTTCCCCGCCCTTATTCTCTCCCCCGTACACCCATTGCATTCCGAGCAGCCTTTTGTCAATCGCATTTTCCCGCCTCACCCCTGTTTCATTGCACAGTGCGCCGAAAGATATAACGTTATTGACTATTTTGCAAGATACTGATTTTCTCCATCATCCTTCCTATTTATGTCATCATTTTAGACCAATTTCCGTCTATCTATTTGTCAGTTGGTTCTCATTCTTTTCACCGCGTGATTTCAGAAGTCGATACAAATGAGAAGACATTGTTTTTATTCATGAATTTAGTTTGTGATGTTGCCAAAAAAAATGAGAATAACTTTTTCAATAAAATATTCCATTACACAACAAATATGTTTCACAAGCTGCTAATCTGTCCAGTGGTAAAAAAAATAATTTGACGAGTATTTTGTTGGAAAATTATATCGATTCAGTTAATCTTAATAACTTCTAACAGCTCGATATGTGCTGTCTTCTTTAACTATTTTATAAGAAAAATGATTTGTATATGATGACACGCGCCAAAAAGCATTCCTAGATTAAATTTTTGAAAATAATGACATAGAGCCGAGTAATATGTCACTCGTTAATGAAATACATGCTGTTGTCTGATGTATAATATTTTTACCGAACTGTATGTGATCCATCCATATGGACATGGAGTGTAATGCTTAGCTGGTTTGTTTAATCAAAATAAATGTACAATACATTTTTTCTTGGATCCTCAACAAAAAAAGTAATGGTTCGGTAACAGCGAAAAAGCTATGACATGAAATAGAGATATATAGAGTTGCAGCTAGCGCCCTCTGCATATTGAAAAATTTTCCCATTATGAAAAACCCCTGATTTCTACTTTTCCATCTCTATATCGCAAAAAAAGCTTGAGTTATAGAGAACTTTCGTACGATATACGTTCAATACTACAAGTGTATGGTGGCAACACAAAGAAAAGTAAGGCTGCCTAAAGAACCAATAGTTCTAACCTTTGGAGATAGCATTGCTACCATACACTCTGTATCTCATTAGCGAGCGAGATTTTACCAAGGCATTATTTGACTCGGACCCTGCACAATAGCCACTTCAATGGAAATGTGCCGAGAATCATAACCCGCAAATTTTCACATCTGACAAGAAGTATCGGTGGTCTACAAGCTAATTTGCCGAATGCTCAGCTAGTCACGATAAACAGTAGTGTAGATCTCAAAATTCCCGTTAGAATGACACTTATTTTGGCATTTTACATAACCACACTGACTTTCTCCAGATATACTTTCCTCCGTTATTGTGTAATACTAGCAATTCAAGCGGCCATTGTACAGGGCAGAGGGATTATTATCACGACGGTTACATTTTGGCGCATTCAGTATGAAGTCATCAGTATGGAGAGTTTTGGGGTAGTAGGAAAACCATTATATAAAACGGCAACACTGTGCTTCATCCGTAGACTATTCCGTTATTTTAGCAGGCGGTATTATTTCGTTAAGCCAAGCTGCGATATATTCCTCCTAATCATTATTAAGCCAAGCTTGAATCGATTCGTCGCTTATCCTTAAATGCATAATCTGCATCACTCTATTCAAATCCCCTCTTCAGACAACCATAATAGAACTACTTTAATAAAAACCCCACTTTCATGCAACATTCGATAATTGATAATGGGTTACTCAGCAAATATTTGTTTATCTCAAAATGTTGGCATTGATGGATTTCATATGAAGGAAGAAGGGATTTATATAAGATTTACGGAATCAAATAATGGACTTAACGGAAGCACTTGAGAGACAAATGAGAATTATTAGCCACATATTTTTAAATATAATAATTTACCATCTTTACTTTTAGTGAATTCTTTATAATGTAACAGCAAATGTGCACTAACACAAAATATGTCTCAGGAATGGATGAATTAATATGATACTACTGTTGTTCAACCACATGTACGAAGTGTATTTTGCTAGCAAATGATGAGTATTCGACTTATTTTTAACAGATTGACCTCGCTGATGCGACGCTTTTATACGTTTTTTTTATAAAAATGAATTGTTACTGAGATTAGTCTAAGCAATATAGCAAAATCGTTGGGACATTGTAAGAGGACAAAAAATTTGCTGAAATTGTGTCAAAGGAGATGCTCCTCAAGAATATGCGCCGCGTGCCTTGAAAAAATGTTCGCGTCTATTTTTATTAATGAAAAAATAAGCATAGAAAGATTTTATTTTTTATTTAGGTATTTTATTGCTATCAGAAATCAGAATACAACTCGGCTCTTTTTTTCGACTGCAATCAGACAACAAGTTTTCATGTTAGTACTGCAAAACCGGAAACCATGCAGCAGTTTTGTATATTTTCTTGAATGAAGTTCAAATGACGATATCTCCAATTTTCCTTTGTTGCAATTTTATGAAAAAATAACATTATTTACAGTATTCAAAGAATGCTTAATCTATTGATGTTTCATCATAATGGAACAAAATTATTTGAATTTAGGTATTTTTCAAATTTTACGCTTATACTGATAAAAACGCGTAAAACAATGAATGACATTATACCGGTACATATACAGGTATTTATTGATTCTCTTCTAATGTAACCATGTCTTGAAAAAAATATTTTAATATCTGAGCACACCGCATAAAAAATGCAGTGGAATTTTTTGCAAGATTGAAATTATTTACCTCCGTCACACTTAAATGGGGTACCGCAGGGCTATAGGGGAATACAGGGGACGCCACACGGACTCTATTAATAGAATAAGCACGCAACGCGAACAATACGACCGTCCTGAGCAATTAGACACATCTTGAGAAATAATATTTTTCAAATAAATGCAAGAAAAATAAAAACTAATATTTTCATTTAATTAAAATTTGTTGTATTTCTTTAACGTGTGAAAGTACATATTTTGTACGAGATTAGAAGTCAGTGTTGCGTGAATGCAAATCAGAAGAAGGTATACAAAATTGTTGCGTTTATGTCGGTTTTTAATAACTTCAACATTTTGTGTGTTCCAAAATTTATTTCTTAGGTATTTAGGAGACGAAAGAAAATGAGAAATTCCTATTCTTCACTAATAAAAAATAGTCCCGGCACTTTTTACTTTCTACGTTACTGGAATGAAGAATTGTAATCGAAAAATTTAGAAAATGAGATTTTTTTGGATATTACGGGTATATGGCGTGTAAATCACGAAAACCTATGCATTATTATATTTTTTTTCAATTTTCAGAGGCTCCTGATCCTTTTCAGAAAAAAAATGTAGGAGTTAAACATTACGGATTGTAAGGGGAGGAAGAGGCTATATCACAGTATTTTGATGCTAGGATATTTAAAAGCTCCCAAATTCGGTAATTCTACGCACCTATTAGTCATACTTCACACATCATAGAATTATAGAGAAATGTTTTCTATAGGTGTCTCTACGTCTGCTCTCTGGGTTCACCGGCGGGCATGGCAGACTGATTGACTCTTCTGCAAGCGATGCAGTGGTGGGCGTGGGCGTGTCTCACGCGTCGTGCGATCAGGTATGGGAGGAGGCAACGTTGCCAGATGGACTTTACTACCGGTAGGGAAGGGAAAACATGTCTATGGACTAAATGTACGGACCTGTTTTACTGACTTGATCCGTTTAATTTCTCTGTTATACATATCCGTAACTATTTTTATTTAAGAGGGTTTCACTTGTACTGAAAGTAATCGTTTATGAACCGATGATGGCGTTGCGTGGAAAGGGCAGAGTCTACCTACTTGACGCATTTTCTTTCTTGGCACGACCAATAGTTTGGTATCTTGACCAAATATTTAGTTCCCTTACAGTACCCACATAAAATTAATATCAAAAACCCTGTAAACATATTCCAGATTTTTACAACTTTCTAATGAATTGTTATGTATATGTAATGGTCACCGTCAGTTATAATACTATACTTGCATAATAATTGTATGTATTTCACATCATAAAAACGTAAGCTTTTGTATTAATCTATAAATGTGTATAGAAAATATTAAATCCCTCATGAGTTGAATAGGTACCAATCGACTTAATTTTTTAATACGTAGTACTAATACATGCTGTTATTAACATTTAATTTCTTATATTTCTCCCACATAAAATAACAGATAAGTCGAATCAGTTACTGTAATGTCAACAATCTATTCCATGATATTTGCTCGATTTCCGCAAGTTTTGTTTAAGATTTCCTATGGTAAGATTAAAAATGCTCGAGAATTCAAGTAAGCTATAGAGAAACAAACATATTATTAAGATTTTCAGATCATATATTCAAAACATTTCCATGCATTCTTATACACTTCCTCTATAATCCCAAAGATGATGAAATAATGCCGACATCTCAATTTTCAAAGCATTTTTCTGAAATATAGTCTATAGTCACAGGTATATTTTCATGCATCAACTGGCTAGTTAGTATTTTTGTATTATACCGAGGTTTTGATGTTTTCTTATATTAAATTTTATAGAAACAGGGCATAAAGATCGTCTTTAAATATTTTGTCTTCCAATTCACATATCCACTGAGATAAATATTGATGGTCACAAACCTCTGCAATGAGGTCATCGTAAGGCTCTCTTAAAAATCTTCTTTTTACATGGTGATGTTTAAAGGATAAAAAAGTTTCCATTAAAGATATACACATACCTTGATTAAGGTTGGGTATCATTACGGGCACCTCTGTACCTAAAAGCCTTAGAGAAACTTTAAATGTTTTTTGGCGTAGTTTGCACGTATTAAATTTATGTTCATGGCACGCTTACGTGAGCCTTCCTTGCTTGGAATTGCCCACACGCCAGAGGGGAGGGGGGCATGTTGTAATCACCACGCGGTTTTCGATAAAGCCAAGAAGACTGGGAACAGGAGGCTAAGCTCACAGAGGGAGGTGAAGCCAAAAATGTCAAGATAGGCAAGCTCTCTACGATACCTGTTACGTCACAAATGTATACCATGTTTTGGTATCTCTCTCATGTCTGCATCTTTCAGTTAAAATAATACAGCACAAAGTACCATCTATTACCAAAATCGACCACTGCGAGAGTGGAATAGCAAACTGTCTACCGTATCCCAATTACCATTGTCAGCCGGGTGAACATTGCGGCCGCTAGATGCCGTCGAATCTGGCGACATAGTAGATACAGTCTACTCACAATTGAACAAACTAGTAATATAGCTTTGTCCGTCTGACCACAGACGGTCAACCATGGAAAGCTGTTTACTAGTTTTCTCTCTGTTGCTTCCGTCTTAAAAGTAAGACGAGTTGCAAGCAGAAATGTTGGTTAATGTTAATACACCAACAAAGCATGGTATGACGAGTGAAAACCATTAGGTATATTAGGTAATTAGTTCGAAATAAAGCATGCGGCAGGTTATTTTGAAATGTTTCGTGTATATGTGTATAAATGCTCAGAAGCTCTACGCGCATTACATTTCCAAGAGCCACTTCCTCCTTACCAACAGTATTGGCTTCATACGAATACGTGTTGTCTTACGCAGTTTCCAGTCTTCTTGGGTAGCGCTGGTCGGCTACAAGAAAAGAACTCGAATCGTCGATCGTGGCCGTGTGAACAGACCACGGCCCTGACTGGTTCACGTTTCAGTAATCACTCCAGCCAAGAAGCACGACAGTAATATTTAAAGCTTACCACGCTGTAACCTTGCCTCGTAGCATTACAACTAAAGAAGTATCGCAGTTCTATCGGTTTTAGCCACATAGGAATATTTGCACGTAACGTCAACATCTTAATCTATGATGCGGTATAGATTGAAAAATGCAATTAATTTTTCGATTTCGGCTCTACCGGAACTTTTGCTATGGAGCTGCTTTTTATTTAATTCCCATAACCGCAAAAATGTCTACCTTCACCAGAAATCCACTTAGTCCAGCCCTTCAAATGAAAATGAATTCGAGGCAATGTGATCCCAGGCTGCAATTTATTAGCTTAAAACTACTAAGGAGGATCAGCTGAAACACCTAACTCGTTGGGCAAGTTAGTAACTTCAGTTCAATCACAAAGAAATAAAACTCTTACAAATCAGTTAGCCAGCAAAAAAGTAAAACCTAGGGATATGCACTGAAAAAATGTTATTCAAAAAAGGGAAGGAGAACAAAACATGCAATGGATAAGATGCTGTATTTAATATTAATATTGCTCTCCTTTTCATAGGTTTCAGTTAGAACCAATAAAACATATTTGCCTTATATGCATTGTTTTGATTTGGTCATGATGAACCATATTCAGTTACTTACTAATTGTCATACCTCAGTTTCATTTTTCATTTAATTTTGATGAGGAATTCAAAAAATGCATGTCACCTGTATGCGCCTACATTCTTAAGCAAAGCATTAAACTGTTTGTATAGTTCAAAATAAAATATAATCAGATTATTTTCCGGTTTTTCGTGTTTCCAGGACTCAAGAGTTCTACTGACTAAATTTCTATTATTATGGATAACTAAAAACGGTTTAGCAGAGCAAACCAAGATCGTGAAGGCAATTAAAAATGTTCTTTCATCCTAACTGAACACCACAAAAAGCTGTCGCATTTCTGGTAACAAGTGAACTAAGCGTTTAATGTTGTTAGAAAAATCAACCTTTCAAACAAAATGCCACTTACAAAAAAATGAAATGATCAGTACTATTTCTATGTTGCGGTAAATCTGGCGTCGAACGCACATTTGAGTTGTTTGAAAAATGATGATCTTGGCTGTCCTATCACGAAAATAAAAATCTCAAGCATAGACGAAACAAAATGCAAATATGCATTTGAGAAAAGACCTTATATCATAGACACTGATATTTTGAATACAAATATTGTGGAAAACTAATACAGGCTTTTTACAGATTTAACACTAACTTCGTTATTACATTCAACGCAAGCTGAAGCCTATACAGAAGACAAAAAACTTATTCAAAAATTAAAACCTTCATTGAATGAAAAATTAACGATACCCACCAATTTATTAATTGGACACTGATTATGTACTTTATAAAAAGAGGTGCGAGCGGTATTTTGACATGACTTAGAAAAATAGACTAAAATAATCATGTTGTTCAATAGGACTAGCATCAACTACTTCAGTTTTCATTGTAGTCTGTGAGTTGGAGATTGGTCCTTGAGTATATTTGGATACTGGAGATGTAACTTTCAATATTATCCGCTAGTAACTCGATTTTATAAATAGTTATAAATTTTATAAACATTATATTTCCTATTTCCTCATTCAATATAAAAACATACCCAAGAACCATCCTATGTAAAATCTACCTCCTTCTGACATCTGTCACTGAGAAAAATATAAAGATTTTGTTGTAAATAATAAGAAAGTATTGTTATGCATTTATTTCAGTGATACAGATCGTCAATAAAGACTAAATCATAAGAAAATGTGCTCATTAATCAACTATGAATTCGCACTCCATATTAAAGTGACTAACGTCCAAAAACAAATCTCAAAATAAAAATGACACTTATGGCTAGTTCAAGTTCTATAATATGCCCTTTTTTAATTTACTACTACAGAAAATAAACTCGTATGAGAGTGTCAAAGTTCAAAGTTACATAAAAAAAAAGTACCGGCAGATATCACATGGTAAAAGAATGTCCAATTTTCTCGATAATTATTCCAAATATTTTCATGAAAGCGAAAAAACCGATCAATTTATCTAAATCTAATACAACCTCGATCTAATTACGTCTTTGTTGTTAGTAACACTCGTAGCTCAGGAGATAACTAGGTTTAACATGAAATAAATAGTGAATGTGCATCCTTATGCAGCTGTTGTTTGTCATTCAACAAGTAATCTATACAAGGTGATTCAAAAAACAATGGCGATATTTCTAGGGCAGAATGTAAGCCCAAAAATAACACGAAGAAATCAATATAAGATTGGTTTCTAAAATACCCTCTTACCTAAATATAATAATTTCAAATTCTTGAAAAAATTCTCCCGAGTGGGTGAAAATATCGACTTGAGATTGTACAGTTAGTACTAATGACATAGATAGTACTAAAATCTTGGGCCTCTTAACTACACCAGTAGCATAGAAACACGAATATTTTGACCACTATTTAAGGGAAAAAAGCATAATATTTTTTACGTCACTGACTTTTTGAAACACCTTTTGGTGTTTTAGGCAAGGTATTAATTTTAAGTAAAAATTCCCCTCCTGAAAAATGTATTTTCTTGTGAAAAAAAAGGTTGAATATTTGATATATGATCTATAAAAGCATTAAACAAGCTCCACTTCGAAAAGATGCTGAAGTTTTGTCCTCAATCCTCTTTCTTTGTAAGTAACTTTCAACGTCCTGTCCACTGGTAATTGGACATTTTAGGACTTATCTATCTAGAAATATTGTCATTGTTTTTGAATTATCCTGCATTTTGGTCAGTTAGAGAATATAGTGTAATATAATATAAATATATTTGAGATAGATCGATTTATTAGCAAAATGTCTCGTCTTCTACTTGATATACTTGATCTCTCAAGCTAAAGCATTTGCCAATGATTGTTTAGCTATAATTGGTACAATAGATAACTTATTACCTATGTTTGTGAACTAATTGATAAATTACTCAAACAGCAAAAACAAATTATCTAGCCTAATGGAATACACTGTTTATTTCCGAGATTCTCATGGATAATATGTCGATTAAAAGAATATTATTAAACTGACTTTTAGATGGTTATATATCATGATACTTTATTTTAAGTTGACGTCACCGATCCAAACAGATGAAGTAAAGTAATAGCAGGTCTCCAATGAAGGAATTGCTTTTAGAGAAAGATATCTGGAATATTAGGCAGAGGTATAGACGGATTTTATAACATTACCATATTCATAAGAGTAAATGACAAACTCTTTTATATGGAAATACAACAAACATTTCTGAGACACTTTTAATTGAACATCAAACCTGGAAAAACACAAACTACACGTTTATTAAAAAATATGAACTATTGGTAAGCGGCCCACAGAATAGTTGTACGGATTGAAAAGAACATCAAAATGTACTCTATTTTCAGTTTACTGCAGCGATTACTTTGTTATTGGAAACCCCAAAAACCGTCCTTTTTCGAATTTATTTTTTACCAAAATATGCACCGAGTGGGCCAATCATAAAGGACGCCGCACAGTAATCCTAATCCGTAACAACAAAAAGCTGGCAAAAAATGGTTTCTAACGTATTTATGTGATATTTGGTGGAGTAGGGTTTTTTGGTTCGCCTTTTTCAAATATAAGGTTAGCTTGTTTGACATGAGGGCATTTGATAGTCAACTTAAGGTCAATCCAAATACAATTTCTAAGGAAGTCAAGCAACTGAGCCCAACGACATTTTCAAGTTTTTCTGGTCTTAAAGTCCGAATCAGAGACCAGTTAGTCGCTATGAAGGCATTTCACGAAGAAATTTAAAATAAATTAGCAATCGGGTCCAGACGCGTGTCATCTAGGTTTTTATGGTCGTTAAGTCCAAATATGTAATAAAAGATAGATTCAAAAAAGTTGAATAAATTGTTATGAGCATTCACAAATATTCAAAAAATTTTGTATACTCCAGCTACCACGAAGGCCTAAATACCCATGGGGTACCGGGGGGCTATAGGGGGATACAGGTGAAAAGACACGGGGATTCTAGCGAGGAAACACGTGTCCATGCAGCATGCACACATTCTGGCCCCGCCTACGAGATCCGCAGGGTGGTACCTCCGCGTACGACAGTCAGAGACCGTCTACCACCTGCTTATGCTGTATGCTGTTCTACTTCTAGATTGAACAACATAAAAGGTTTCATGGTTAAAAGGGAAGTGTGACATACTACTAAACCAGTATGAGAAATATGATTGTGTATATGCTGTAAAAAGCAAAGCCTATAAAAACAGAAACGCCAAATAAGCTGCGTTGGATAAAATCAGAATGACTTTAGAACCAATTAGGCCTATAAGTCAGTGGATCCTCCACTAGAGGACCTTTATTCAGCATCTGGTTCAGACCCATTCCCCGGTCCCTCTCCCTGATCCATTTGCGACACCAAATTCTTTTACGGTTTCAAATTGGGAACCAAATTCAGTAACGATTATATTATTAATTACGATATATCTAAAATAGCTTTTTGAATTGCATGTGATATTTCCAAACTTTTTTGTTAAAATGATGTTTTTCTATTTTGGCTGGCTTGGGGAGAGTGAAAGGCCAAATGTAGTTGGTTTCACCAATTTTGGTCATCTTGGTTTCATTTAAACGGGCTTTAAATCATTCTCCTTGCGCAAAATTCGGTAAATTCTTGTTTTATCGGCTCCACTAAAATAAATCAGATTTACCGTATATTTTCGAAATTTTCAAATACATTGGTATCGTCTCTTTCACTGTGCATGAAAAACTCTACAAACTGGTAAAAACTGCAAATTGTTATCTTTATTGGTTATAAAGTTATAAGCAGAAAAAGAACTACGCTAAAAATTTAAGGTTTAGCTGGGTTAGGAAAAGTATTGAGGCCATAATGATTGTATAGAATGTATTGCTAGAATATGTTTTCAACACAACAGCTTGACTTCACTGCAAAAAAATCTAAATAGCCTTTCGAGACCTTTTTGGCTTTTTCAATGCATTGGAACTGGATAGGAGCTTGATATAACTTTCTCGGAGATTGACAAATTTGCGATTGGAAACATAGACCATCATACTCTAACTTTCATTGGAAAGTTCTGCGACGAGATATAAAATATTTGTTTTCTTTCCAGATCTCAAGGCAGAGCTCACTAGATATTGGTTTATAGGACTATTGCGGGGATATCTCCAATAAAAATCATTTTATGATCATCGATGTCGTCACAGACAAGTGTTGAAGTAAGATGCAAAAATGACCCAAATAACAATTTTGGCATGTTTTACGCACTAAAATCAAGCTATTCTAGATATACACAAACTCTAATAAAAATACATCATCATATCTTTGGGTTAAACATTTATGCTAATAATACATTCTCTACAATTATTGTAGATTCAATAGTTTTCATAACCCAGTAAAACCTTAAAATAATAATTCAGATGTGTTTTGCTCGTAAAACCAATGAAGATTTTTGAATAATCAAAAAGAATAATACCAAGATATTTGAGACTTTCGAAAAAATCTGGAATAACTGCATTATTTTAATGGAGGCCACCTAGCAATCAAAAATAGGGCTACTTTCACCAAACGTACTTTAAGCCTCTTTCAAATGGTACCGAAATGGCCAAAATCGGTTGAACTTAACAGAAGCTACATAACTTTTTTTAAAATGACAAAAGAAAATCATATTAACAAAAAAGTTCGCAAATGTGACAAACACAAGCTAACAATAGGAGAGCGCTAACGCTGACATGGAACATTAGAAATCTAGAAATATCCCAGCCTTTCTGAAGGAGAGGAAAGACTATGAAAAGGAGGACATAGTCTTTTCCCTCATTCAGAAAGGTTGAGGTATATCTATATTTCACATGTTCCCTGTCAGCGTCAGCGCTCTCCTATTCTGAAGTTATGTTTCTTTTTGAACTGCAGGAAATTTCAGGCTGATAAAACAGATGATATAAATCAAAAGCTTGAACAACTTGATGCAAATAGATATTTATGCAAAACAAATGTTTTAGTATCTCTTACGTCTAGTAAAAGTTACCCAGTAAAATATGTTGTATCTTTAAATGATGGGCAATTTTATTTACCCTCAAGATTATACGTCTGTTGATAACCCCTTAGCAATTATTTTTATGGAATGGTCCATTTTTAGCTAGTTAGCCGGATCTACTAGGGCATTAGAACTAATTTGCATAATGACATACGATTTTTGTGATTTGGTGACATCAATATTGTATCAAATGATCTGAAATCGCACTATACTCGATTAACCTTTAAAGACGAAATGTGAGGGACTAATAGTCAATTGACGTCAAACTGTGCTATCATCACTATAGGCTCAACGAATTAAAAAAAAACATTTTATTTCAGAGGAGTGAAATTATGTTGAAACATATATTATATAAAATAACAAATAAATATTTGAACATTATTCATGGCAAGTTTATTGCAGGTAAACATTGAAATACAAGGTATTAACTGGTAGTAATAAATTGTATAATTTCCAGTTGTCACAGTTAATCCACAGATTTTCGACGCTATTTGATTAGTAGTAGGAGAGGAGCACTTTCATTATAAAATTATGTTTGAATCAAGCTGAACATATTCATTCGATTTTATAGCAAAGATACGTCTAAATAAGTTATTTTTCTAACAGCATATTCAATACGTCAATAGTTTTGTCTCTGCCAATCTGGAGTCTCTTAAATACAGCATCTTTTGATTCATAACAAGTCCTCATAAAACAAATTTGCCACTTAAACATTGACATTCTCATCTTTGAAAAATGTACATCTACAGAATCATTTTAAAGTCACAACATGAATCCTTTAGTGAAAATTACTCATTTATTTCTGAAGTTCTCCATTAAAATGTTGTGACATTGACTTGCAAATTATTCTGGAAGTGTATCAGCGATTCTAAATACTATTGTTCATTAAACTCAAACAAGGATAAGCTTTCAACATTCAATTTCGTACTTGGTAGGTAATCAACCTGATATTTATATTTTCTGACACTATTCCAGAAAAAAGACAAATTGAACATACTACGATAAATCATGCTAGGTGAAAATACTAGATATTTAAATTGATTTCCCATAATATTAGATAAAGTCTCACCTCATCAAAGAAGACTTGGGTTTTCCTGAGGATTTGTTTCAGTTCTGTCAGTTCCAAGAAATTTCTTTTCAGTGCCTCTGCGTTCTGGTTCACCTCTCTCAGTTCATTCTCCAATTTTTCAAATGTGGCCTATAAAGTAAATAATGATTTTTAGAGTTCTAAAAATTGGTAGTATAAGCCAACTGACTAAATGAGTACAGAAATAAAGGAATCATATTTGTTGAATGATCAATTCTTTTTATCATTTTACCAAAGAGTACTTATGACAAGAGAAGACACTTCCTGGAATGCCTGTATAATCCGGCGGTCGGCACCATTGGCGTTGGGAGTCATCTGCATTATAGTATGATGCGATAAAAACTAATCACATCTTAACTTTCCGAATTTGCTGATTAGTTTTCAACATTCCATAGCAGTACGCGATGTAACCAAAAGTTTGCGGTCGGCTCTTGCACTATTACTGGTTTACAAATAAAAACAGCGATCTATGTCCTTGGCTACCGGTGTTGCCCAGCTGCCATAAAATATTTACAAAACGCTAAATTTATATTAAGCAGAATGAAGTTCAGCCCTTTTCACGGTTTTTGGTGGTTACGACAAAAAGTCTTACAAAATAAACCAACATATCGTCTTAAGGCATCTAGATAACTTGCGACCAGGTCAAATAGCAATCTGAGGATAGGAAACGTTTGAATTTCAAGCTAGCGTACTCATTTTATTACTGAACTATGTCGTGTGGTATTCCACTATGTGATAACTTACAGGTTTTGTGAGTTTCTTTCGCGAAAAGTGTGATTTACAACTTTATTAAATGAAAAACATGGGTTGCAAATGGATGATAAATATCCTCACCGTGTATAAGTGTCCAAACAAAAGTAAATTTGAACAAAAAATGCATTCACTCAAGTGCTGGTCAATGAAAAGGATTATCTATCTGGCAACAACGAATTTTATTCACCTTGTCTTACTGTCTTCTCTTTATAAAGGGTGTCTCAACAAGGGCGCCGGATTTGAATTTGCCACCATTTTTTGGTACAAATGGTATGATGTTTACTTGATGACAGATGTCATGTCCAGACCACGCGATTAGACTTCATGTGGCAGTATTCAAACGAGCAACGTTTAATTATTGTGAAAACTCACTAGAAAAATGGAGAAAATTACGCCGAAACAATTCGCAATTACGTACAATTTTCGGTCACTATAATACGCCAAATGGGTCGACAGTTCGCCGTTTAATTACAAAAATTGAGACAAAATTGACGTTGCTGAATGTGAAGACCACTGTTCGTCGCCGTCCTGATCGCTTCATCGAAAATATAGTCGCAGTGCGAGAATGTGTGGCCAAGAATCCAGGCACTTCCATTCGGCATCGTGGCCAAGAATTAAACCTTACCAGACTCTCTGTAACGAATTTTGACAAAAGATCTGAGCTTGCATGCGTACAAGGTTCAACTGATGCAAGAACTCAAGCCAACGGACCATGCGCAGCGCCATGAATTCGTTGATTGGGCACTGGAGCACCACCAAATTGATGCGGATTTCTCGAAGAAAATCACTTTCTCTGATGAGGCACATTTTCAACTGAACGGGTACGTCAATAAGCATTACAGCCGAATTTGAAAACCCTCGTGTAATATAATCGAACAACCAATCCGCCGCGAGTTACCGTTTGGTGCGCATTGTGGAGTGGCGGAGTGATTGGACCGTATTTCTTCGAAAATGCAGCTGAAACTGCGGTAACTGTTATTGGTGTGCGGTATCGCAAAATGTTAACCGAGTTTTGTGGCCCCAAATGGATCGAATTGATGTGGAGGATATGTTCCTCCAACAAGAGGGTGCGATCTGCCACATAGCAGGCGAAACAATGGTGTTACTGCGGACCAAGTTTCCAGACCGTGGCATCTCTCAGTTCCTCTGTGGCTATGTGAAGAAAAAAGTGTATGCGAACAAGCCGCAAACAGTTGAACGTCTTAAAGAAGAGATACGGCGCGTTATCGAGCAAATAGAGCCACAGTTTTGCGAAATCGTTATGCAGAATTTTAAGAAAAGTCTGACCCTGTGCCAGAGGTTTCGCGGTGGCCATTTACCGGATGTCCTATTTCATGTTTAATCGCAACTATTCCTCTTCATGTTGAAATATAAATGCTCGCTTAATTCGAAAAGAAATTGTGTTTTTCTTAAAATCATATCCGGCGCTCTTATTGAGACACCCTTTATAAATACTCTGATTTTACACCTCACTTCCATAATCTGATAAACTGAGGTAACTAGAACTAAGAGTGAAAGTTCCAAATTTTATGTTACGAAAATATAGTAGCTGTTCGTTTTTGGACACAAGTCAAAGGAATTTCCAGCAGGCCTTTGCCTTAACTGATAGCTGTTAATGTGATAGAAATACTGCAAGCATAAGAAAAGTAAATATCTCATTCAATTGTGCTATTTTATGGTTATGTTCCACATTTTATATTCTTTTTACAACAAATATAGGTTATGGTTGACGTCGGTATAGTGTTATTGCCCAGAACATAATGACTCTCTCGCAAAGGGGTGGATGATTCCTCAAACCTAGCCCGGCATAGCTATCCTATAATAAGCATGGAAAATGATCTTACAGAATATCATTGAAACATCCTACCTCTAAATCTATCATTTCCCTTGGTTGTGGTGCTTCAGGATTTTCTCCAGTGTCCAGCATTGGGATGCCATCCTTCTTGATTTCTTTTTCCAAATATCGTAGCTTCCTTTCCATTTCATCACATCTTCTAACTTCATTTACAAACTTGCGTTGGAAGGCATTAACATCAGGATTTAGCTGAAAGTAATAAAACATTTTCATAAAAACTGTAACCCAGAAGAAGAAATTGCACTAGTGAGACTGCATAAATTTACATAACATAAAAAATAATTAGATATACTTTAAAGTAAAAGGTAGCTTTAGTTAGCTCAGGAAATATACAAATAAAACTCAGCATCTATTCCTGTTAACTAAAAACAAACAATTATGAAGAAACTAAAACTATTCGCTGAGAGCTATCTTTCTTGAGGTGTGTGACGTTTATAGCAAAAGGTTTCACTTGTGTCACTGTGAAGGCCTTGAATGAATTTGGTCTCAGTTATTAGGAATCACAACTTCAACAGGGGAAAGTCTGTGCAAGTCTATGCAGTCTGATCAAAGGATGAAGGCTGGATAAAGTGCTTTATACAGTATATGGGCGGTCACAATAGATGCATATGGTTCGCAGTGGCGTTAAGGCTAGCATGCCAACCCCTTTTCTGTAATCTGTAACTCAATATTATTATAGCTGCCGAATTTTGCAGTCTAAACATATACCTGGCTGTTGCAAGATTCCTAAGCATTTGAATAACAAAACATCTGGAAATACCATAAATACACTAACTTACGACGCTACACTAGCAAAAAATTGACTGTTTTTAACAAGCTTTTATTTAACTTGACCTCTTTGAATTATGTTAATATGTTTGGTTTGCGATGCAATACAAAATGAATTAACTACCGCCATTTTGAATCCAATATAGCGGGTGCTACAAAATGGCGATTCATCACTTCCATATTAACCCCTTTGACATGGGTATCAAATAGTTAGGACTTGGTGAGAGAAACACAATAAGCAAAGTGACGTCATTCTAAATCCAATATGGCGGCCGCTGCAAAATGTCTATTTACATTTTTCAGTCATCCCTATGATATGAGTATCAAATGAAACGGATTGATGAAAGAAATGAAATAAGCAATGTGACATCATTCTAAAGCCAATGTCAGTCGCCGTAAAATAGCGATTTGCGTTTTTCATAGTAACCTTTATGATATGGGTATCAAATGAAAGGGGTTGTTGAGAGAAACAATAAGCAAAGTGACTTCATTCTAATTCCAATATAGTGACCACCCCAAGGTGACGTTTATATTTATCATGTTCATCCCCATTATACAGATATCAATTTAAAGGAGTTTATGAGAGAATCCAAAATGGCGATTTATGATTTCCATAGTCACCCCAATACTATGGTTATGGCTTGATGAGGGAAACATAATAAGTAACGTAGCTCTAGATCCAATGTGGCGGCGGTCGCTTAATGGTAATTTATAATTTCCATTGTCACCACTATGATGTGGGTGTCAAACAAAAGGGCTTAATGAGAGAAACACGATAAGCAAATAACGTCATTCTAAATGCGATATGGCGATCGCCGCAAAATATTGATTTCATTATATGATTTGTATCTACCAAAAGTTGTAGAGAAATTACCAAACTATTTATCTGACATCATAGATATAGTAAGCAATTTTATGGGGTCCTATTAATAGAATACATAAACATTATATAGAAATTACCAAACTAGTCTTTTGACATTATAATAAAAACTGAAAAGTAAAAAAATGAATAAAACAAAAAAATACATTTTTAAAAACAAGATTTTATTTAGCGGTTCAAAAAAAGAACTAAAAACATAAAAATAACTTTTCTCATTGGAATTACTCAATTGATATTGAAGCTGCTTCGTCTCAAGTTTCCAATTAAGTTTATTTGTAAACTTAACATGAATAGGCCTTTTTTATTCTCCAGCTACCACGAAGGCCTGAGGCCTAAACACCCATGGGGTACCGTGGGGCTATAGGGGGATACAGTGGAAAGGGGCACGACTAGAGAAAAATTTCTCTTGGGACGGGATTCGAACCCTCGCAGCGCACAGTGACTGATCAGGGGACAAAGCGTCTACCACTGCAGCACCTGCTGGCTTCATTATTGCTTAAATATTTCCAATCAAAGAAATTATTTTTAAATTCTTAGGTCATTTTTTGAACAGCTTGTTTTTAAAAATGTATTTTTACTTTATTTACTGTGATGTGTTAGTTTCTCAGAAAAGTAAATCAATTTTGAGAGTAGAGTCTGCAAATATTCTCTTGATATTACTAACAGTAGCTAAAATATCCCACACTTCATGGAGTACTCTGTCATGTAGGTGGTTCTGAGTATTCAAATTTGATCGAGTACCTGGTAATTTGCGTATTGAAAAAAGTAGTACTTAATGTATGCCTAATATAAATGCTATTTAATGCCCCACATTTTGTCTTCTGAAAATAAGTAATGTCTGGCAACTCTGGGTACTTACTCTACTAGAAAAGAATGTTTTAATAGACAAAACCTTAATTCTTGTTATAAACTTCTTTCCTTAGTGTTATCAATAATCACAATATTTCTCATTAGATAACACTTATTCAATAGCTTTAAACAAACAAAAACACATTCTTTTTTACTTTTAGCAGTATTTGATTAAAAATAATTTACAAATAAAAAAATACAAGAACGACAATTCTTTTCCTAAACGTTCTTGTACCAAAGGAATGTTTTTAAATAAACCAATAACTTTTTTCTTTCTTCTTTGGACGATAAATAAATAATCAAGCTGAACCTGAGAAATATTAAACTTCAAAAATAAAAGCTTCGGAGGTTTTTCTCCTGTAAGTATGTTTCATTATGGTGTATAAAGAAGAAAAACTGGAAAGCCACATTTACATTCACAGATATTTGCATTCGCTGAATCCTAAGAACTGACATTAATTGCATCACTATTTGAGACCAAGTAATTACCTGGTGGAGTAATTTACAACTCAGAAAACCCAAGTACTTGCAGCATTCCTGGATATAACCTTGCTTAATGATAGCATTTTAGTTAGGGGAGGTTTAAAGTAATATAGTTTTATAAAAATTAACAAATTATCAAAAATTTCTGGATATATTTGTAAGCAAGTTGTAATACTGCTGCTCCTAAAAACATTTTCCAGTTTATCTTCCTTCACTTTTAGTGAAATAATAAATCATTTAATTTATTTAAATAAATTGATAGGCAAGACAATATTTTTGCTATGTAGGGGGTCCAGTAACCATATTATGCAGCAAGCCCAGCGAGAAACTTATTCTGATGGGATTTAGAAGAGAATTCAGTAAAGTTAACAACTTTCCTGAATTCCTGAACCGGTGTGACATTACAAAAATTGTATAGCCACTACAAAATGACACGTTGCGTCACTATCACCGTAACTATAGTAGTTTACCTGAGACCTTTTTTTGTGTTACATGGTTATTTATCTTAAAACAGTTACAATCTGGCTGTTGCAAGATTCCTAAGCATTTGAATAACAAAACATCTGGAAATACCATAAATACACTAACTTACGACGCTACACTAGCAAAAAATTGACTGTTTTTAACAAGCTTTTATTTAACTTGACCTCTTTGAATTATGTTAATATGTTTGGTTTGCGATGCAATACAAAATGAATTAACTACCGCCATTTTGAATCCAATATAGCGGGTGCTACAAAATGGCACGTTGCGTCACTATCACCGTAACTATAGTAGTTTACCTGAGACCTTTTTTTGTGTTACATGGTTATTTATCTTAAAACAGTTACAATCTGAAATTATTACAACTCCCATAGAACTCATCTATTGTATAAGGCTCTGACTGTACTCGAAATTGCTTAATAGTCTTTTTAAATTTATGTAAACTGTTTGTTTTTAATTTCATTTGGTAGATTGTTGAAAAATTTTAAACACATGTAAATAGGGGTTTTTTCTGTGGAGGATAATCTATGTATTGGATAATTAACATTGGCTGTTTGAGTATCATAAACAGTTTGCACCTCAAGCTCAAATAAATTTTTATTTTTATATATACATAGATGGCATACAGATTCATGTTTCATTGGAATTTAGTCCCTTTAGCAGATGTACTGCTCTTTTTTTATTAACAAAATTACGGCTCTGAAGAAGAAGGGATCTATGTGGCCTTATAGCTACTAATAAAAGGAACACTTTCGATTCATTTTTAGCCTGCAACTTTATTGCTGGTTAGGTGAGAAATGCCAAAAACCGCATTTTTGACGTTCGATGGGTGAAATCAACCCCTTTGACGGCTCCGAAGAGGACTGGATCTATGTGGCTTATAGCTACTAATGAAATAAACACTTGTCACTCATTTTTAGCTTGTAACTGTGTTTCTGGCTAGGTGAGAAATGCAAAACACCGCCTTTTTGACCTTCACGGGGTGAAATCAACCCCTTCGACGGCTACGAAGAAGATGGGATCTAAGTGGCTTTATAGCTAGTAGTGGAAGGAACACTTTTGCATTCATTTTTAGTATGTAACTTTTTTGCTGGCTAGGCAAGAAATGCCAAAAACAGCATTTTTGATGTTGAAGTGGTAAAATCAACCACTTCGACAGCTCAGAAGAAGATGGGATCTATGTGGCCTTATAGCTACTAATAAAAGGAACACTTTTGATTCATTTTCAGCCTGTAACTTTTTTGCTGGTTAAGTGAGAAATGCAAAAAACCACCTTTTTAACGTTCTAGTGGTGAAATCAACCCCTTCGACAGCTCCGAAGAAGATGGGATCTAAGTGGCTTTATAACTACTAGTGGAAGGAACACTTTTACATTCATTTTTAGCATGTAACTTTTTTGCTGGCTAGGCAAGAAATGCCAAAAACAGCATTTTTGATGTTCAAGTGGTAAAATCAACCACTTCGACAGCTCAGAAGAAGATGGGGATCTATGTGGCCTTATAGCTACTAATAAAAGGAACACTTTTGATTCATTTTTAGCCTGTTACTTTTTTGCTGGTTAAGTGAGAAATGCAAAAAACCACCTTTTTAACGTTCAAGTGGTGAAATCAACCCCTTCGATGGCTCCGAAGAAGATGGGATCTAAGTGGCCTCATAGCTACTAGTGGAAGGAACACTTTTGCATTCATTTTTAGCATGTAACTTTTTTGCTGGCTAGGTGAGGAATGCCAAAAACAGCATTTTTGATGTTCAAATGGTAAAATCAACCCCTTCGACAGCTTGGAAGAAGATGGGATCTATTCATCAATGGTGTTAGCTTTTTTATAAGCTGCATACCTCTTTCTAAATATATTTGCACTGAGGGTGAAACTACCCTTTTTGAGGTGGTCTGTTGCTAAAATTAGCTAGAAATAAGAATGCAATCATTAAAAAGTCAATAGTTTGTACAAAAAATGGCTGCTAGAAACTGGCTGCTAACTTAACACTGGTAATTCCTGAATCCTAGATAGTAGGAGCTCTTCACCGAGTTATTGATTTTTTAATCAGATTTTATTGAGATAAGAGTATCTATGCACCTAATATTGACGTATTATAGGGGGAGGAAACAGATGCATTTAATTACCAAATAAAAAACTGAGGAACATTGAAGAATTGTAGACAAAAACGATAAGAAATAGATAATATGGTTGTTTGGAATGTTATTAGTGTGCAAACATATTACTGGATAGAACCAATGCTTGTACAATGTAGGAGTAGTATCTCAATATAAATTAAATTAATAATCATGACATTCCGTAGCGGATGGTACCTAGCACCTAGGTCTCTAAAAACCTCATTGGCTTGTGAAAGTGGGTTGATTCTGGGTGCAAAGCTATTGAACATGTGCAAAAATGAGCGATTGTTTATATTTACAGTTAGCTGTAGGTACATACGAAAGATTATAAATAACTCACATCTCTGAACTGCACCAGCCCGAGTTCTCCCAGTTCTGAAACACATGCATATGCTGCCTCACTTTGCAAAAATAACTGGCATAATGTCATTTCAGCACTACGAAACAGGGAGCCCATTTTGACGATTTTGTGCACTTCTACACACTTCAACTAGAAAATATGGATCATAAACTTATGAAAATCGATAAGCTACAACACCAAAATTCCACGTACAGTCTGTTGTGGCCCGTGGCCGAATGACAATGGCTTCGACATCAGCATTCAGCAATCCGGAAAATTGGGAATTTCCTTCTTGAGTTTGCGCTCTGCAGCAGGATACGACGTTCGTGGATCCCACGCAGACGCAGAAGACAAGAAAGCACGTCTATTGACGTTTTCCGTATTATATACAGGGTGGCATTGTTTGTGCTCATTTGAAAGTTAAACTCCAAAGTAGAATCTGAATATCGATATTTAGTCTAATACTACGTTTTAACTGTAAACTTGTGAATAATGTGTCATTTGACGTAGTTGCAGGGTCCAACATGGCTAAATTGTTTTATTTATTTATTTTTTAAACGCCCTGTTTAGGAAAATCCATTTGATGTCATCCATCACAGTCAGTTGTTTCATCTTCGGACTGGGACTTCTCGATACGGAACGAGTTCGCGATATAGTCCAGTTATAAAAAATACGTAATACATTAAAATATACTTTGCCTGCCACAAAAGGAGGGATGTGTTTTTGCAGGCTACAGACTGAACAGCTTGATGGATGGCCTATGAGGTATCATTGGATTCGTCTTAGCAGTGCGAGGGGCACTAGCTGTAAAAGTTTATGTCGAAAATGGCGAATTTTAATAAAAAAATTCAACCTTAAAATTTCTTTTTCGCGGGCTACAGCTTAACCAGCTTGATGGTTTTTAGCATATGAAATGTCTCTAGATTCCAAAATTTCAAGTTTCAAATTTCTATTTCATGAGCTACGGCTTCAACATCTTGATAGATTCTAACAAACGAGGTGACTTTTTTCAACCTTGAAATTTCTACTTCATGGACTACAGCCCAAACGGTTTGATAACAAGTAGAGAGCCGTTTCAGATCTTTCCCATGCTTTCACATCACATCACTTCGCCCGGGTCTCTCATTCATACATTTTATTCAGTTAGGCTGCGGTTTCCATGAATTTATCCAGAATAAATACGTGGAATGGGAGACTAGTCATCTACTTCCAAGAACCTGATACCGCTTGATATTTTTCTTTTTACAAAAACGTCGTTCACGTACGGTCTTTATGAATTGGAATTACCAAGATTACGTCGAAAAATTCGAAGTAGGTACTGACTAATGTGTATATCTATGTTGTATGCGAAGGCCTAGCTCAGACCTAGAAGCGAGTATTCAAATTCAATGGTGAATGATATTGCCTTAATAAAAATACTAGAAGCCTAAATAATAGGGCACGACGATCGCTATGAGGAGTTTAGAGATGCTTTGTTAGTCGGAATTTGGAACTAAAGTTAGTAGAACTGGGAAAAACCTCTCAAGGCAGATTGTTCCAAAGTCTCGATACCTAAGGGACGAAGAAGCGGTCACAATAGCCAGTTCTGAATGAGCGAAGTTCATCACGGATGAGAGTTCTGAGGAGCAAAGCCGGTTAACATGGCTATAGAAGAGAGCTAGATCGCCGACAGCCCGTCGGTGCAAAGAGTCATCGATCAGTAGGTCAGAGTTTAAGAGTAGCACCTCAAATATATGAGCAATAATAGGTCTTATCTGGGCCTTGTATACGATGAGGAGGTTATATATGGAGAAAAGTACTTCTTAGCCCTATATACAAGTAGCCTTGCTTTTTCCCAACAGCTGTCACGATTGATGAGATGTGTTCGTATCTGTCCTCGGTGATCTGGAATCCGACCAGCTGAAATGAACGACTCTTTGGTAGATTTCGGCCACCCATCGAAACCGGATGAGCGCTAACGCACCTCTTGTTAGTTAAGGTGCAGTACTGTGCTCTTGAAGCATTAAATTGTACGGGATTGTTGCATTTGACATTGATCAGTCTCGAGAGCACAATACAAAATGTATTGTTTTCAGTTATTGCAGTCAGTCAGTCAGATTTTTGTAAATTTTAAAAGTGTACTTGTTATTTTTCAAACTTTGAAGTCACACAATATCAAACATTCAGAAAATGTCGCTTTGGCAGCAATAAATAAAATAAAAGATACATTTTGGGAACAAGATTTTATTTCGCAGTTCAAATAATGGACTAAAAATTTTAAAAATTGTATCCGATTGGAAATATTTAAACGATAATAAAAAGTTCCTTCATCTTAAGTTTTCAAATACAAGCGTGTTACACCCTTTCCATCCTGTTGTTAAAGCGAACCACGTAAGCTTGAGATAAAGGATAAGCTTCACTATCGCTTAAATATTTCCAATCGGAAAAACTCCTAGGTCATTTCTTGAACAGCTAAATAAAAACTTGTTTTTAGAAATGTATTTTTTTGTTTTACTCATTTTTTTACTTTTCAGTATTCATTATAATGTCAAAATACTTGTTTGGTAATTTCTATATAATGTTTATATATCCTACTAATAGGACCCCATAAAATTGGTTACTATATTTGTAATATAAAATTTCGGTAGGTATAAATAATATAATTTTAAATATCTTGCGGTGATAGTCATATCGAATTAAGAATCACGTTATTGACTTATCGGGTTCCTCAATTTAACCCCTTTGATTTGATACCCATATATATATATATATATATAGCGGCGACCTTGGAATTTATAAATCACCATTTTGCAGCGACCGCCATCCGGACGTGTGGAAATTATATTCAATTATCGATCTTCAGTTGGAATGTGGGATACGTTAGTCAATGCGATAACTTCATGTAGAGTGGTTGCCGAGATACAACGGGCGTCCTTTATTAATGGCCTCGGTGCACCCGCAGGGGTATTGTGTAAAAAAACCAAAAAAAAAACGTCAAAAAACCGAGGAAATGTCATCTTGCAGACTAGTTTTTAGTGTGCAAATAGTTCATTCCACGCTATGCTCGCTGTTCGCTGGCGTTTAAGCAACACGTACAGCTACAAAACGAGTTCACAACAAGTTTACAACAGCTTGTGCTAAGTTAACGTCTTGTAGAATAATCTAGGCTGTCACAAAAAAGACGAAAAAACGTTACTTTTCAAGATACGTATTACCCCTGCCGGTACAAAATGGCATGCGCTAAATAAATAAATTATACAAGCATAAGCATACGTAATATAGTGACAGAAATTTTAAGTACTGTTCCACCGGAAATTCACATAATATTCCGTCGAAAACATGGCTTAATAGCGTTTACTCCAACCAAATTAAGAAGACGGCATCGGAGTGATATAATTGTGGTTGTTTGAAAGTCTGTGATTCAGGTGTACATACGCGGCCCATGCCCATTATATTTATAAGTTAATAATGAGTTGAACGTCTATGCCAAAGACTTCACGAGAATGAAAACCAAAATACTAACTTCAAAATGCTTCTTAACTGGACTATGACTATACCACCGACTCGTTCGGTATCGACAACGTAACTGTCCTGGTTATCAAATTAAAGTGACAGTTATGACGTATGACTGCCAGACTGCAGACTGCCTCTTCAAAAGTCAGGGGTATGTTTTATGTACAAAAATGTAGGTGAAAACTGTAAATACAGGTGTTTCAATTTTAATTTGTATACCTATTAATACGCTCTACGTTGTCGTTTACTTGCTTCGACGACGTAGTCTGTGGCTTATTGTGTAGTCAACATGGCTCATCACAATCAAAGCCTGCCATTATCTCAGATCTTGAAAACTAAAAGTGAAGGAGACGATGAACCTAAAAAGAAGTCGAGAGAGGAGTGGAGAAAAGCGAAAGAATTAGAAGAAGCTCGTAAAGCGGGTACAGCTCCAGCAGCTGTCGATGAAACAGGAAAGGATATCAATCCACACATCCCTCAGTACATCTCGACAGCACCATGGTATTATGGAACCACTGGCCCTACATTGAAACATCAGAGACCTCAAGAGGAAAAGCAAAAACAATATTCTCAAATAGATGAATGGTATAAGAGAGGTGTAGATTCAGTAAGTTTGACTAAAATATTTAATATTAAAACATACTCTTTTTGCTTGTCTGACTAAAGACAGCCAACCAAGGACAGCTTTTTTGTGCTTGTTGGCCACTCATTAGTTGTGTCTGGGCTTGGTCAATCATCTCTGAAAATTAAACAAACACATAGCAACTATCCTTTATCCAGGAGGTCTGGTCTATTGAAATAAGACAGTGCATTGTGCTGTCTTTTAAAATTCATCTTTGTTTTTCAATAAAATGCAATGCATGAATATATGCTCACTCACAAGTTTAAGGTGTCTTAATATTAATAATCATCATATTTATTTATATGATAATAAATCATATTCAATCAATCAATTCTTTATTCATGTCACAATACATAAAATATGTTTACATATGTCAGTAGATCAAATGAGAATTGCATTAGAATTAAAACAAAGGGAGTGCTAATGATCATAAAAAATTACAAACAAGTACACCAGCACTCATAAAGATATAACGCTAACATAACATATTAAGATTTATAGTTAAAATTTATGTCTTAAAAACTCTTCAAACATGTAAAATGAGTTATTAATAAGAATTTTCTTGATTTGAACTTTAAAATCTTTAAACGGAAGCGATTTTAAGCCATCTGGAAGTACATTAAAAAATTTGACCGCCCAATAACCAGGTCCATCTTGACACCTTCTCAGTTGCCAATAAGGAGGTACTAGATTGTTCTTATGCCTAGTATTGTGCTCATGGACGTCCCCATGAGTTACATAGTTAGAGTTTCTTTTAACGAATAGTAGATTTTCAAAATATATAAACAAGGCACAGTAAGGATTTCCAACTTGACAAAGGTATCTCTGCAATCGTCCCTGTAGCCCAGACGGCTCACAACCCTAACTGCTCTTCTTTGCAAGTCGAACAGTCTATGGACCCCTGAAGAATGCCCCCAAGCCAGAATGGCGTAGGATATATGTGAATGGCAAATGGCAAAGTAAGCCATTCTCAATATTTCTATATACCTTTGGTGGCCTTTCCAGCAACACTGTCAATGTGAAGGCCCCATTGCAATCTTGGATCCAAAGTAACCCCCAGAAACTTGGCTTCATCAACCAAATCACTGGCTCCAGGCAGGCTTCGCATTGAGAACACCATTCTCTTTGTCTTATCTTTATTTAGCAACAGCTTATTGGAGCAAAACCACAGCTCAGCCTCATCCTGCGCAGCCAGAGACTGTGCCATTGAGCGCTCAAAACTATTAGCGGTGTGAGAGACGGTCGTATCATCCGCGAAGAGAGTAAAGTTTGCCATATTGTTATTGAGAGGTAAATCATTTATGTAAATTAAAAAAAGAATTGAGCCCAAGATGGAGCCCTGTGGGACGCCAATATTAACACTTCGATCCGCTGATGTCACTCCATCACATCTCACCACCTGAGTTCTATTACTAAGGTAAGACTCAATTAGTTTAACGGAATCATAACTAAAGTTGTAAGCAAGGAGCTTTTTTAAAAGGATGTCATGGCTCACACAATCAAATGCCTTACTAAGATCGCAGAAAAGAACCGTGTTATACCCTCCTCCATGGAAAGCATCAATTATAGAAGAAATCAGGTTAAGTACACCCATAACAGTGCTCTTACCCTGGCGAAAACCAAACTGATATTGTGAAAACAATTCATTTGCCTCAAAAAAGGTTACCAGTCTCAAAGCCATACATTTTTCAAAGATCTTAGAGATAACTGGAAGAAGGGATATAGGTCTGTAGTTCTCTGGTGAATCAACATTGCCATTCTTAAAAATAGGTGTGACACTAGCTCTCTTTAGAACAGTTGGAAAAATATTTTCTCTAAGACAAATATCAGTCGTGTTAGAGGGATCAAAATTATATTCTTTATACATTTTACAATTTTTAAATTGAAACCAAAAATATCTTTACTGTTTTTATTTTTGAGATTATCTATTACATCGCGAACCTCGTTAAATGTGACTTCAGAAAAAGAAAACAGAGGTGGCGGTACCAGGAAATCAATATTATTAACAGGATCTAAATGTACATCAGGGATGTGATTTACTATATTACCTGCTATGTTACCAAAAAAATTATTAAAGTCATCAGATGACAGGTCACTGCTCCCAGGGCACTTATTACTCTTACCTCTTTTTTTGTTAATGATATTCCACACGGTTTTAGCAGGATTACTTGAGCTCTTTACAAGGTTGTCATTAGCATTTATCTTAGCTTTTCTTATTTTATTTCTATATAGATTTTTGTAGTTTTTATAATACTGGTCACTCACAAAACCATACTGCCCTTTCAGCTCTCTCAAAAACCTCAAATGTTCCCTCATTGCCCTTAGTTCGGTATTAAACCAGGAAATATTATTGCCTTGGTCGGATCTTACCACATAAGTTTTCTTTGGAAAAGAATATGTATAGGCTTCTTGAAGAATATCCATGAAGTGGCTAAACTTTTGTTCACCGCTGGTACTATCAACAGTAATGAAATCCCAAGATATCTCCGACAATCTACTGTGTAACATAAACAAACCTCTTTGTGTTACTGGTCTATACATTTTTTTATTTTGAGTAAAACCTGTGGTTTCACAACCAAGAAATTTAACCAGCTGACCTTTATGATCTGATATTCCAATATCACATACCTGAGAGCCACACAGCTCCATCGCACTACTAAGGAAAACATTGTCAAGACAGGAGTCCCCACGAGTTGGTTCAAAGATTGTTCTTTCTAAGCCAAAGCTAGCTAGAAGGTCACACAATTTACTTGTATTAACATCTAATGTGTTGAAACTTACATTGAAATCCCCAGCAAGAATAATTTGCCTATTCCTACTCAATTGCGTTAATATTCCCTCCATTGATTCCAAGAAGGTATCAAAATTCCCTGAAGGAGATCTGTAAATAGTTAAAACATAAACATTCAGACTCTGACAATAAACCACACAGTACTCAATACATTTCTCAATATAAAAGGCAGGATTAATACTTATAACACATGAATTAAATTTATTTTTGGTAAAAATTGCAGTTCCTCCACCTGTGAAGTCCTTCCGTTCAGAAAACCCTTTCATCATGTATCCCTGCAAATGGACAACTTCCATTTCTTCTTTGGTCAACCAATGTTCTGTCAGGCACAGTACATCAATGTCCTCATCAACAAGAAAGGCTTCCAACTCATCTATTTTTCTTCTTAGGGATCTCACATTTATATGCAGAATCTTTACTTCCTGCTGTTTAGGTTTTCCTTTACCATATTTTGGCGCTGCAAGTTCCGAAAATGGTTTATTAGGATGCCCCTTGGCCACAGATCCGGACATAAATATTTATCAATGTCATCATGAGGAACAGTAAGTCGAAATGAGCTGCAGTACTTTTCTTTCTTGGTTTTCATTTTTTCGCAGGTGTATTCATTAAAGTTGTTTTCTTTCAGAAAATTTTTCACGCTTTCGCTAGTAACTTCTGGTGCCAGGCCAGATAAAAACAAAGATGATACTCTGGATGCTGGTCTAAGGCTGCATATATTTACATTGGAGCCTCTCAAAGGTTCAGGTCGACTGGATTTATCAACAGGTCTGTTTCTGACCGAGATTTTATTTTTATTTCGGTTTCTAACCTCTATCCATTTGTCTTCATCTTTCTCAGTCCGAGTAGCGATGGGCGCTGAATTCACGATGACAGGGGAGTTGGCCGCAGGCAGTGCGCCACTGTCGTCAACTGGTTCAGCACTTAAGATTTTCCAGAATTACGATTTCGTTGTTTGCAACCGCATTATGGATTTTGCGAGGTTCCTCGTTAGATGTCACTGAATCCGATGGATGTTTGGTATTTTCGTGTTGGACCTTTTTATTTAGATAATCAACTCTATCTTCAAGGAAATGCACCTTTTCTCTCAAAAGTTGACTGTTTTCTTCCGCGATTCGATTTTTGCTTTGCAGTTCTTTCACCAGCGTTCTTAGAAGATCCAACTCCGTTGATTCTTCACAGAGCAGCATGTTTACACTCTCTCTTCTAACCTTGCTTGATTCGTGCATACAATTGGTATTTTTCAACTCGCCTGCCTGCTCCAGACAAGCAGGATGAAAGGAGTTATTACACTTTTTGCACTTCACTACGTTCACAACTTTTTTTTTACAGTGTAGGCACAGTATGACGTTCTTTTTTTCATTCTTTTTAAGAGACGAATTTTCAGACGACTTCTCACTTTCCGCCATCTTTGCAAAAAAAAAAAACTGAGAACTAGGTAACTGTAAATAAGTTTCAGTTCAGTAATACTTATCTAGCTTCAAGGCTCACTAACAATATTTATTCTTATATCTCATTTATTTATGAGATATCATCAAAAAGTTATGATAAAAATAAGGGCATACTTAAGACAAACTCTGATTTTTTTTTCAAATAATATAGTTTGTAAAGGACTTAATGTTTTGCAGAAAATGCTTAGATCCATTGTAACTGATCTGATAGATCTTTCCTTTGAGATATAAACAAAATACTTATGCTTTTATTTTTTCTTAACTTTATTTGAGATGGGATTTCAAAAAAAAAAACATTAACATTGCTACTTTTTCTCCTCTACAAGATGGCATAATTAGCATTTCAATATCATGTTCTGTCTCTTGTCCTAAATCATCAACTAATAACTTATTTTTTCTTATAGGGGCAATATTCTGATTCCAAGAATCTATAGTATATCTCACATTGACATTGCTAAATCTTAATTATTAAAAAAAAACAGGATTTCCTACATGGGACTTGAAATTATCAAATATTCATTTGTTTCATATCATGCGCCAAGCATTCCTTCAGTGTTTATGAACTATGCATACATGAACCATCCCCATTTCTGATTTTAATGATGCGATATTGTGCTGAAGTAACACTTGTTGTAGTTGATGATTGAAGACAAGAGGCAAACAGTCATATTAAAACTCTAATTATCCCATATTGTAAAGGAAAAAAACTGAAAATGTAAATGTACTTTTTATTTTGAGATCCCATCTCAAATAAAGCCAGGGAAAGTAAAGACTATTTTGGGAAAATTCAGTATCTTTCGACTCCACGAATACTCGAGATTGCAAAACTTTCCAAATGCCACTTTTTTTATCTTACCCCTATTTAACTGACTACATATTTCTTACTGTTTCTGAGATCCCAATGGTGAGAGTCAAATTTGAAACATCCAGTATAAATATTTATTTCTGTCCAGTCTGTCAGCATGGCATCTGAATCACAATATGGAGAGGAATTTATACACTTACTAATTGATATCCAAGAAAAGTTATAGACTTGGTTTTATCTTTTATCGTCGATTTTCAATTTGTTGTTAGAGCTTCACAAGAAAACACTCAAAAAGTAGTTGTGCATTCCACTTTTATTTAACCCTACAGCGGTAGCATATATTTTCATATTTTCTACGCCCTGCCTCTCCCATATTAGTTAAGATACATCACTCGCCTCTTAGGTACCTTCCTATTATGAACTACTTATCTACAAACCTAAGTACATGTTGCTTTGTTTACATTGAGCTGTCTACTTGAACGGAGCTCTTGCGGGTCACCGTGACACGCAGCGACTGTTTCCGTTGTCATATTATTTTGCGACTATTTTTGGTTCTATTGTTTATTACCGGCATTTTGGTATCTAAGAGCCGTTTTACACACAAGGGAATTACTCCGAAAATTATGGTCATAATTATGCCGAAAATTTGCATGGAAAAAATATGAAGATTTTCTCTACAACCTGTATGACACAAGCAAACAAAATTTCCGAGTAATTTATATGATACGCCTGCGCATTATAGTAATATTTTCGAATGGACATAACCTTAACGGGTATGACGTCCAATATAATCGGAAAGACAACAGACGTCGTTGATTTAAATTTATTTTTGAAATCGAGATCTTGGTTAATATTATAAAACTTCGCAATGCTTGGACTATCGCATCCAGCGCCTGACGCCGCAAATTTCTGTTTTTGTAATTGGGTGACTTCACCTTGAACAGGTTTGCCCATTTTTGGTACTCCTACAAAAACAGTGTAACTTCTTCCTGATTCCACGACATTATGAATAAACAATAACAATAAACGCTTCTTCGTAGTAGGACCATACCCACAAATGTTAAGTGGGGTTATGTTGTTATGTTGACGTTGACATTTGATAATGACATGCACGGAAATAATCCTCTGCGCCGATTCTCGCGCATATTCTATAGAACGGGTTTTATATTTTTACCATGAAAATTTTCACAAGAATTCTTTTAGGTGCAATACGACAGCAAACATTTTCGGCATAATTATAACCATAATTTTCGGAGTAATTCTCTTGTGTGTAAAACGTAAGTAGGAACCATCAGAAAAACCAAACCTCAGCTTCCTACTTGTTTTATAAAAAGCAAAGACGTGAGGTAAGCTCGTTTGTTTTTGGTTTTGGAAAAAATAGTACAACGCTGGTATCATATGTACCAAAAAAGGGCAAGTTTGTTGTTCCGTTATCGACTATGCACCATGGTAAAACAATTGATCTTCATAGTAGTGCCGCCCGAAAACCAGAGATTATCACATTTTACAATTGCACAAAGGGTGGGGTTGATGTAGTAGATGAGATATGTGGCACATACTCAACAGCGAGGAAAACCAACAGATGGCCCCTTTCAGCCTTTTTTCATCTTCTGGATGTGGTTGGGGTCAATAGTTTTGGCATATCATCGTACAATGAAAAACGAGATCAGCGCTTGATGAGAAGAACTTGGCTCAAAGAGTTAGCCAAGGAACTTGTTTCTCCATACATGCGATCTCGACTGCAAATTGCAAATCTTCCCAAGTTTATCAGGACCAACATTATAGAAATTCTCCAGGAAGGTGAACCTGCTATTGCCGAAGAGTAGCAAGCAGAACAAGATTCAAGAAAAAGGAAGATATGTAAATTATGTGCGAGAACTGGTAACAAATCTTATCACACTTGTGCGATTTGCAAAATATATATCTGTGGAAATCATGGCAAACTTACATGCCTGAATTGTCTGAAAAATACTCCTTAGAAATGGGCACGCCATAAATACAGTTTATAAATGGTTTCAGAGATATTTTTTTGTTATAAATTTTAATTTAGTATTAGCAGAAAAAATAGATTTATGTTTTTCATTATTTAAAGAAGGATTTTTTTTAGAAATAAAAATTAATTGACCAATGCAAAAAAAACTTTTTTTAGCTATTTTTTTGAAAGATACCTAACTTTTAGATTTTAAGGTTTTTCTATACCAATGTTAGGTTATATGCTTTAGTTATCTTCGCAAATAAAATCTTTAAAAAAATAATCAAGCAATTTTATTGTTTATACTAAATTTATAGGGCCTAACATTAGCGGGTCACTATGACCCGCAGCGACCTGATTAATATACTTTGGGGGTGCGACCGCTGTCTGGTTAAGAAGCATTGTCAGACAAATAAAAATGAATCGCATACCGTCTTCTTCAGTGTACTTGTACAACAAATTGTACTATTCAGCAGCAAGATGGAAGAGTTTCGCCAAGTGAAATCACAATCTATTATATTTTTTCTTATTTCTTGCTAATTTACATTGCTGTACATAGACTATACAATTATATCTCTCATAAAACAATCTAGATCTGTCATTGTGACTTGTCTGAATTTGTATTTATATACTTACTAATAATTCCAAAAATGATATTAGCCTTGTACCATCTTTTAGCTTTAACTTTCCTAGTAATTCATAGTACCTTAATAATCTACAACCTTTCAGACAAAAATAGTGACAAAATATAGAAAAGGAGCTTGTGAAAACTGTGGAGCTGTAACACATACAAAGAAGGAATGCATGGAGAGGCCAAGAAAAGTTGGTGCTAAATATTCTGGAGCAAATATAGCGCCAGATGAGTTTGTACAAAAAAACTTGGCCTTGAGTTGGGATGGTAAAAGAGATAGGTGGAGTGGATATGATCCTTCAGAACATAAAGGTGATTTTTCATTTTTCTTGTTTCCATGCTACTTGTTCATTATAGCTTAATAAATAAAGTTATAATAATTGAAACATGCGCTCACATAGGGCTAGCTAGGTGGATCCAATGTAACCATTCTAAGCCATACTTACTACGAGATGTTAGCTAGGTGGATCTGAATGTAACCAATGAGTTTTATCTATACAAGATTTGACAGGGTGTGTCAATATCAAGTGTATGGAACAAATCCCTATAGAAAGTATGTTGAAAGAAAAAAAACAATTTTGAAAATGTTGTACATCATACCTAAGGAGAAAATTGAAGATTTTGCAGGGCAGCTTGGTATAAAGTTTGTTTGTTTGTTGAAGATTTATTTAGTATTAATGCTACAAAGTCAATTTTGTATAATTATTACACATTATTCTTCAATCCATTCTCTGTAATTTTACATTCTTGTCTATTATTTTACATCACTATGCATTTTGAGTATTCATGAGTGATTTTCTAATTTCACCTTAAACATTTTAAGTTCGAACACTGTTTAATATCATTGTTCAATTTATTAAATTCAAATACTCCTTTTTGAAACAAAGATTTTCTAGTTATGTTACTGTTACAGTTTTGAAGATGAAAATCTATACTGCCTCTAGTTTCTTAGTTATGATAATGACTATTTAATTTTATGAAGTTTTCTAAATGTGGTGGTAATAAATAATTTTCTAATGTGAATATGAAAATGAGGACTAAATAACATATGAAATTTTTCACATTAAACTACTGTAGTTTTTCTAACATTGACATAATAATAGCATATTTGTTTTTATTTAAAATGATTTTCATAGCTTTATTTTGTAGAATTGGTAATTTTGAAAATATGTTTATTTGCTGTAAACAAGATGGTTGAACAATATAAAAAATGGGGAAGAATTATAGTGTAATACACAATTTTTTTGGAATACATACTAAGATTATGGGAAACTCTTTTTTGATATTTTTGAAATAATGTATGAGCCCCTTCCCACTTCAGTTGGCCCAACTATTCGTGGTACAGTGTGAGAAATATTGTTAGAAGATATAACGTAACTGGTTCAGTTAATATTAAGCCACGATATGTGAAAAAAGTAATAACACAAATGCCGACCGAAGAGCATTAAGAAGAATAATCGTGAAAAACAGGCGTGCCAATTATTTACAAATAAGTGCTCTGTGGAGTGACGCTGTTGGAAGGAGAATTTCGAGGTCCACAACTCATAGAGAGGCCCACAAACTGGGATTTAGCACTTGCAAGGTAAGTTTTCTTATAAAAAAGGTGAAGTAAAAATCCTAAAGTTGCACAACCTGATTATAGGCCAAAGAAAAGCCACTATTAACTCCACTGCAAAAGAAAAATCGACTTAGATGGAGGCAATGGACATCTCAACAATGGTGTGCAATACAGTGGAGTGATAAGGCCCGATTCGAAGTTTGTGTTGGTGACAGTCGCAGTAGAGTTATTCGCAAAAACATGAATCATTCCATGTTGACTGCCTGAAGAGAAAAGTGAAATTTCCAGCATCTATTATGGTCTGGGGCAGCATGTCATCAAAAGGAGTAGGAAAAAACCATTTATTTGATGGAAATGTGGATACAAACAAATATTTGGCAATTTTAGAAGAATCGCTTTTACCAGTGATGGAAGAATGTTTGACATTCGGCCAAGATTTTGTGTTTCAGCAAGATGGTGCAGCGTGCCATACCTCAAAAAAGGCTATAAAATGGATGGAAGAAAATAATGTACCACTTTTGAAATGGGTTTCTAGTAGTCCAGATCTGTCACCTATTGAAACTTTGTGGCACGAGATGAAAAAGGTTCTACGACAACATCCTGCTCGTACAATCACCGAACTGAGACAAAAGCTTCAAGAAATATGGGATTGTTTTACACCAAATTTTGGCCAAAACTTGGGTAACACTATGCCCCAAAGAATTTCAGCCGTAATAAAAAATAAAGGTGATGTTACCCAATGGTAATCTTTCAATTGTTGCTTTGTTAACTTCGCGCATTTATTCGCACATTGTTTATTTGTTCAGATGTTCTATTAGTTATAGGTCTAAGTGATTTCAAATATGTATTTTTTATAACTACAGTGTATCTAAAGTGTTTTTGAGAAAATAAATTGTTTTAGAAGTAAATAGTTTCGTCATGTTTAGTTTATAAAGGCATATTTTGGTACAAATCTTGAAGTGGGCCAACTGAAGTGGGAAGGGGCTCGTACCTATTCATAATGCTCGTGAAACAGTAGTTTACTATCCACATGTATACCCAGATATTTAAATGATTCGACTACTTCAATTTTTTCATCATTAATCATGAGCCTAATTGTATTGTCACCTAAATGTTGCCGTATTGATATACATTTTGTTTTATTAGTGTTTAAGTTTATTAACATTTAAACAATTCATAATTTTTTTTAATATCACTATTTAACGCAAAGTCCAAATGCTTATGTGCTATACATAACATATATATGTTATATATGTATATATATAACAAAAATAGGAAAATAATGGACAAAATCCGCAAAAAGTGGATTCGAGCAGAAAATAGGATAGGTAACCCGAGCGATACGTATTTCTGCTGGTTGGCTTCATCAGGCCCGAAATGCATGCACATATGCAACTACATGCATGTGTCTCTACTTTTGTAGTTGCATTTCGGGCCTGATGAAGCCAACCAGCAGAAATACGTATCGCTCGGGTTACCTATCCTATTTTCTGCTCGAATCCACTTTTTGCGGATTTTGTCCATTATTTTCCTATTTTTGTTATATACCCTTCTCCGCATGATAATTTTCTCTTTATATATATATATATATTGTACGCATACTAAGCATCCTTCCATGCTCTTCAAACTGCTTATTAGCGGTGGCTCGAGTACTACTGAATCTGTCTCTCAGGGCCAGAAGTCTTAATCGGCGGTCTTGTCGCTCTGTGGTCCCCCTGGGACGTCCAGAACCCTTGTTGTTCCTCCTAAAAACATCTCTTATCGATAGACCGACTTCACGCAACCCGACAATTGGAGCCCTCTCAAAGTCACTTAGCCGGGACACCCACCGAATTCTACGCACTCTAGGCATTTTGAGCAATCACAAAAAGGCTTCACAATACCCGAAATTTAACATTTAACTGACACCGTAAATGTACGAAAACTGAATGCTTCTTTATCACCAAACAATACACGCAGCCACCACAAAAACTTGACAGAAAAACCTGACCACTTTATCACTTGCTGTTCATGGCAAGATAAATCGATATGTAAAAAATTCTTGAATTCCTATAAACATACGAGTACGTAGGTGTTTACCTTTTTTGTCACTCAGTATAGTTCATTGAACTGAAATTGCTCCTGTATAAGAACAGTTAGGTGGTTTTGGGGTAGAATTTTTTATATTGCCATCTTTTTGAGAAGAGTTGAAGATTATTATTATATTCTCGAAAATGAACGGTTCGAAGTAGATCAGCGACATAACTGAAATTTTTTTGTCACTGGTGACCCAGTTCTCTACATTAAAAAAGCTATGCTAAACGAAAGCAAAAACGAAAACAGAAACACAAGAAATGCCGAAAAGGGAAATGAAAAGGGATTTCAAGTGGAAGATGTGATAAAAATTAAGGATTATACAGGGTGTTCCATAATTATTGCGACAAAATGATAGGGGTTGTAGAGGGCATCAAAATGAACAATTTTTCCTTATAAACCCCTGTTCGGAAATATGCCGTTTGGGCTGCAGCAAAAAAAAAAGATCAGTTTCTTGAAACAGCTTACCTACAGTAATTGCTCAAAGTGTCATCCACCTTGCTCAATACACAGCTGTGCACGATTGTTCAATGATCGGCGAACTCTGTGGCATACCCCCGGTATGTCCTAAACATGTGCGGACGCGGCCATCACTCTTCCCAGTAGCTCTTGTTGGTTGGGAACAGGAGTTTCGTACACTAAAGCTTTCAGATAGCTCCAGATAAAATAATCCAGTGGGGTCAGGTCAAGTGACCGCGCAGGCCAAGGCACAGGGCCACCTCGGCCTATCCACCTATTTGGAAATTTGTCGTCCAAATACTGCCGCACTTGTAAAGAAAAGTGGGCTGGACCGCCATGGTGTTGAAACCACATGTTGGCTCTTATATTCAGTGGCACATTTTGTAATAGTTCCGGTAGCACATGCTGTAAGGATCGACCATACGCATGCCCATCCAAACGTGGTGGAAGCAGATATGGCCCGATGATATGCTCGTCCACAATGCCGCACCAGATGTTAATTGAAAACTGATGTGGGTCTCTATGGATGGCTATGGCATGAGGGTTTTCTTCATCCCAAATGTGACTGTTATGGCTATTAAAATAACCGTCCTTTGTAAAACAGGACTCGTCAGTTAACAAAACGTAGCGACCAAAGTTTGGTTGCCTCAACTCCTGCTGCAGCCACCAACGGCAAAAACGTCGACGCGGCAGATAGTCTGCTGGACCCATGGCTTGGACTTTTAAAAGGTGGTACGGGTGTACGATAACAAAAATGTAAACACAGCAGGCTTTTTTTACAAACCGGTGAGACCCTGAAATGTGCTAGACGAACATTTTGCAGCTGGTGAATTTTTTGTTTCTCCTATGAGCTCTTAAGGTAAAATTAACTGTAGTGCTCAAACGGCATATTTACGAACAGGGGTTTATAAGGCAAAATTGCATATTTTTATGCCCTCTACAACCCCTATCATTTTGTCGCAATAATTATGGAACACCCTGTATAATTCACATACAAGAGTTGTTGATAAAAGAGCTGCGAAAGAAGAACGCATATCTGCAAGCGAAATTACAAATAGAAAAAATGAAACTAAATCATTTACAAATGCTGTGAAGTACAGCAAGAAAAAATAGTAAATCTAGATAAAGACACTGACATTACTGAAGTTCCCACTCTATCTAACAACAATAAAACAGAAACACATGCAGAACACCAAGTAACAGTCAAAGATACAAACATTATTAGAAATTTGGTTACTTCTACAGTACAACCAGAAAAGGCAGTTATAATAAAACCAAATGATAAAAATCAAAACTGCTTACTCACAAAAAAGGTACTCAGCAAACATATAAATCCAGCAAAAATGAATATATAACTGTATCATCCGCAAATATTTGAATTTTGCAGTGTTTAAAATTATTTTAAATGTTTGCTCATCTAATTCCAGAATTGCCTTATTAATTATTGCCCCTACCTTTATTATTGAATCGCCTCTTATAATATTGTCTCTTTTAAGCCTCTAATCAGCTCTTCTTTTTCGAATTCTTCCCTGAAGCCTACTACTTTATTCATTGGTAATTTTCTATGTCCAAGATTCACTGTATAACTGTGCCCTGTATGTTTTTATACTTCTAACTTCAGTTTTGTGATGTCACCATTATTACATTCAATTTTCACTGCCCCATCTTTATGATCGCTATTTTTTTTATGCAAACATTCATTTTTGCTGGATTTATATGTTTGCTGAGTACCTTTTTTGTGTGTAAGCAGTTTTGATTTTCATCATTTGGTTTTATTATAGCTGCCTTTTCTGGTTGTACTGTAGAAGTAACCAAATTTCTAATAATGTTTGTATCTTTGACTGTTACTTGGTGTTCTGCATGTGTTTCTGTTTTATTGTTGTTAGATAGAGTGGGAACTTCAGTAATGTCAGTGTCTTTATCTAGATTTACTATTTTTTCTTGCTGTACTTCACAGCATTTGTAAATGATTTAGTTTCATTTTTTCTATTTGTAATTTCGCTTGCAGATATGCGTTCTTCTTTCGCAGCTCTTTTATCAACAACTCTTGTATGTGAATTATATAATCCTTAATTTTTATCACATCTTCCACTTGAAATCCCTTTTCATTTCCCTTTTCGGCATTTCTTGTGTTTCTGTTTTCGTTTTTGCTTTCGTTTAGCATAGCTTTTTTAATGTAGAGAACTGGGTCACCAGTGACAAAAAAATTTCAGTTATGTCGCTGATCTACTTCGAACCGTTCATTTTCGAGAATATAATAATAATCTTCAACTCTTCTCAGAAAGATGGCAATATAAAAAATTCTACCCCAAAACCACCTAACTGTTCTTATACCAGGAGCAATTTCAGTTCAATGAACTATACTGAGTGACAAAAAAAGGTAAACATCTACGTACTCGTATGTTAATAGGAATTCAAGAATTTTTTACATATCGATTTATCTTGCCATGAACAGCAAGTGATAAAGTGGTCAGGTTTTTCTGTCAAGTTTTTGTGGTGGCTGCGTGTATTGTTTGGTGATAAAGAAGCATTCAGTTTTCGTACATTTACGGTGTTAGTTAAATGTTAAATTTCGGGTATTGTGAAGCCTTTTTGTGATTGCTCAAAATGCCTAGAGTGCGTAGAATTCGGTGGGTCTCCCGGCTAAGTGACTTTGAGAGGGCTCCAATTGTCGGGTTGCGTGAAGCCGGTCTATCGATAAGAGATGTTTTTAGGAGGGACAACAAGGGTTCTGGACGTCCCAGGGGGACCACAGAGCGACAAGACCGCCGATTAAGACTTCTGGCCCTGAGAGACAGATTCAGTAGTACTCGAGCCACCGCTAATCAGCAGTTTGAAGAGCATGGAAGGATGCTTAGTATGACTACAATATATCGCCGAATACGACAGTTTGGCCTTTTTTCTTATCGTCCACATTGGCTGCTACCTCTCACAGCTGAACATCGGCGTAACCGTTTGCTCTGGGGTAGAGAAAGATCCCTATGGGACCGGGAATGGAATCAGGTGGTCTTTAGTGACGAATTCCGCTTCTGTCTGGGGATGCACGATGGTCGGGCAAGAGTGAGAAAGCGGCGTGGTGAAAGACGTGACCCACAATTTGACAGAGAGCGTCACGTTCATCACCCCGTAGGAGTTATGGTATGGGCTGCTATTGCTTATGGTACCAGATCACCAGTAATTTTCATCAGAGGCAATATGACAGCCGGACGCTATATTCAGGAAGTAGTGGAGCCTCATCTTATTCCATACCTAAACACCATCCAAAACCCAGTAAGACAATGACAGACCGCATGTTGCTAGAGCATCGTTAGCCTTCATGGATCAACATCGCATCAACCGTTTACCTTGGCCACCACGATCACCCGACCTATCTCCAATTGAACATGTCTGGGACATGATAGGTCGCAGTCTCTTGAATTTGCAACATACCCCAACAGGATATCGACCACCTTATTAGCACGATGTCCAGGCGTGTTAATGAGTTTATGAGAAATCGTGGATCCTCAACACATTATTGAACCAGGTTCTGCAGTCAGCTGACGAATCAAGCTAAAAATTTAATCATTTTACTAGTAAGGGAGACTGATCATATATGCCAAAAATTATTAAAATCGGATAAACATACGCAGGTGTTTACCTTTTTTGTCACTCAGTATATACCGAGCGATATGTATTTAATGGAATGCCCTATATTTTACTGAATTCCTGGATAGGAATAGTCCTTTCCCAAAGGTTAAACCTACAAAATATGAGTTTGATGATTCGTTGTTTAGTGTTTTAGAAAACGTCTAGGAGCAAAATTCTAACACAGTGTTGGCCACTTTGTATATTTGCATATATCAAGAATATTAAATGTATATTTGATATTTGCAGCTGTTATAGAGGAGTTCCAAAAGGTAGAAGAAGCAAAGCGTCATTTAAAAGCTGAGAAACTAAATGCCAATGAAGGATCAGAGGATAATGATTCTGACAGAGATGAAGATAAATATGTTGATGAAGTTGACATGCCAGGGACAAAAGTTGACAGCAAACAGCGTATTACCGTGCGCAACTTGAGGATAAGGGAAGATACAGCTAAATATTTAAGGAATTTAGATCCAGAATCAGCATATTATGACCCAAAGACGAGATCTATGAGGGAAAATCCTAACCCCAGCAAGGATGATGTGTATGTACTTATTCTTTAACTCAAATCTTACTGGTTAGCAGTATTGCTATTGGTGAATTCTAGAATGAATGGACCTTCAGATGGCAATAAGATTAAGCATTACAGTATGTAGTAGTAATGTTCGATATAAAAAGATGTTTTGCATGGAAATATATTTTATTAAACTATAATCAAATTCAAGCAAATAACCAAATGAAAATGGTATTTACCATTTTGGATTGGTATTTACCGATCCGTTCAAGCGAGTTTGATTATAAGATCCGTGACGTCATGAATCAGCTGTTATAATCGCAAAATTGTGGCATTTACCCAACTCAGGAGTAGTTTTATATTTCTAGTTATTATTTGAAATGTGACAAGTTAGAATTTTGCCGAGTATTGGATATTTTTGATGTACTTCAGCTTCATTTTTGGGAAACTTGATGCAGGCTGACTTCAGTTGTAGCATAAAGTAGAGCACCTTATTAGTTATACTCACCACTGTTGTTGGGGACACTTTAAATCTAGTTCTTATGCTTAACAAAGTATCCTGTGTAGCCATATACCACAAGAATATTAAAATATGGCCATATAAACTCACTGGATAATGTCCACCTGTATACGGTTTTGCTAATATCTTTTTTCATCGCTTTTCCCTACTATTTCTGCTAAATCAATAAATGTTTTTTTTGACATGCGCAAGTTTAGTGAATTGAAAGTTATCATAGCTACAAAGCCTTGGTTCCATTATTAAAAATTATTATCTGAAAAAAAAGAACATTTCTCCCATTAATATTATGAAAGGTTTTTTTTTCTCTCCATACACTTGGACGAAAAAGCACCGATTATTAAGTGATAATAAAAATAATCAGAAATTATATACGCGCTTCTCCAAAATAAACAACTTGCAACAAAACCGCGGTTAAAACCAACGCGTTCAAGCGATTCGTGTAACTGACGTCATCAACCCGTGTGTCATCTTAAACCATATTATAACCGCTGTACATAACACAGAAATTTTGGTTATTCGCTTGGATTTGATTCATAAATCCTTTTGCCATATAAATGGTTTTCCAGTAAGAGTTTTTTGATTTTGAAATGGAATAAACACTCTGTTCGTGAGGTATTATCGGAGATTCGCTTTGGCAGAAAAAAAATCCATGCATGCCACTATACATGGAAGTCAATACTTTTCAAACCACTCTGCCTTCACCTGAGTTATTTTGGCTTTATAGTCATGACTGGATTGCGGCATATAACCAGGTTTGTTTACCGGAATAGCAGCCTTAAAACGGTCAAACCAAAAAGGTTAGGCATGTAGGTATAACTACGACTTACCAAAAAACTGTCAAACCAAAAAGGTTAGACATATAGGTATAACTACGAGTTACGAGTCAACCAATAGGAGGTTCTCTGGATGAAGTTAACTACCATGTTAGAACAAACTTGACATTAACAGAACCTACGATTGAATAAAACGACCTCAGATTTTCTTGTGACGTTTTAATCCATAATACACTGATATCTTAAGATTCAACATAACCCATTATATAGCTCAAATTCATTAAAACAATATGATTATCGATCGCCTTTTATCTTTTTGAGTAATCAGCTATCTTGTTATAGATATCGAGGAGAAAACTTTGTCCGTTTCACTGGAGATACAAAAAATCATGCTAAAGCTCAACTCTTTGCATGGGAAGCACATGAGAAAGGAGTTGATGTGCACTTGTTGGCCGAACCTACAAAACTAGAATTATTGAAAAAGGAATATGAGAAGAAAAAGGAACAGATAAAGACCACTATCCAAAAGAGTGTTCTGGAGAGATATGGTGGGGAGGAACATTTAGAAGCACCACCAAAGTCGCTGCTATTGGCACAAACTGAGAATTATGTAGAATACTCCAGATCAGGGAAAGTGATTACAGGTTGTGAGAAAGAAGTTATTAGATCCAAGTATGAGGAGGATGTATTCATAAATAATCATACTTCAGTGTGGGGGTCTTACTGGAAAGCTGGAGAATGGGGCTATAAATGTTGTCATTCCTTTATTAAGGTAGGTGTTATTTATATACTTGTCAGTTTGATGTAAAACTTCCAGAAAATATTTCTTTTGGTTTCCTTAATCTACCATTTCACATACTTTTCCGCCATATTCTAACATGCGCATTTATTTGAATGCGGGTTATAATAGTTATTTATATATTTAGGGCGTTAAGCAGTTGGTTATGATCCGCGGCGTGAAATTGGAGCACAAGGAGTTAGACTGACTCTAACACTCAAGGGGACATAAGCACTTACTACAAGCGAGGTACATACAAAATGTTGTGCCTATCAACGAATAAATAAAGACAGTTCCGAATGTCGCCATTTTATGTTCATCATAGCTTAATTTATACATAATGGGCGCTACTATTACTTTATCGTCCTAGGGCATTTCCTTCCGGTCGTAGATGAAATTCCCTTTTTCCCAAAAACTATGTGTAAATGGCGTTCATCTAAACATATCGGTATTCGAGTGATAGATCATATTGAGGTTTACATTCAGCCTTAACATGCTTTATGGGGTTCTTGCTAGACATTATTGGACTATCGGTGCAGTCTGACTGTTTACAAGCAACATACTATGGAGGTAGTCAGCTCGCTACATATAGCCACTTTTGCTACTCGTCGTCCGCGCAAATTCGAGCACAGCCACCAACCCACAAAGAATAGTAAAAGAGCAAACGTAGTCATGTCGGTGTGAGCAATCGATAAAAACCGTCACTACGATTGCATGACGATATGTTAGCGTGTAACAAAAAAACAAGTTTTCTGTATGAGATAGCGCGAAGCGCCATCTATCGCACCAGAATCGAACCATTGTGGATCGCGCACCGCTGCTATTAGTCGGAACTGTCATGGATCTCAGTTCTGGCTGAATGTAGATGTGGTCTACTTGCCATTGAACAGGTTAAACAAGATGCTTTCGTCCGACCGACCAAGGAAAGAAGTCAGCCAATCATGGACAGTTGTTTCGTGCTTCTCAGCTACTCATCAGCATTGTATAGGCTTGGGCTCTTATCTCTGGACGAACAAACGAAAGCATCACAATGATGATGAGCTATATCATGCTGATAAACCGTACCTCCGTTATAGAGGATCATTGTGTTGCACTGACGCATAATGCTCGGGTTACTTGGCCTGCTGTGATCAAGTAATGAGTTCCATGTGTGAGGATATATGTATTTCACCGAAACATGCCTGATTCAATTGAAAATCGTGTCGATCACCGCATTTGGCGGCAGTCCCGTATTGGCGAAGGAATTAGCTAACCAACAAATTGCTTCAACAAAGTCATGATTTTACTTGGTGTGTGGCAAATAGCGTCGTTTAGTTGAAACTGAATGTTCTGAAGAGCGCCAGCTTGACTATCAGGGAACATATCATATCAGTCGGCCGATTATGTGAATCATTAGTTCCTCATAAGCCCTGTTCGTACAGCTGTCACCAACTTGTCAGTGATCGTGTCCAAGATCCCGCCACACAAATTCCGTTCATTCTGCTACGCTATAGTAGTAATAATAACTTGGGATACAAATAGTGTTAACCAAACATAATTAAGGATAAAATCTTACTTTGAAGCATAATATGCAAATTTGTCTTGAAAAATTCATCAATTATTGTATATTTTTCTAGATTTAGTAATACCTGTATATTATATAATATTTTTTTTAAATGCACTTAGTTTTACAATCTTTTTCACAACTGCTGGTAAATGGTTAAAAAGTTTTAGACAATTATAAAGAGGTCCTTTTCCAAACAATGCCAATCTATGCTAAGGATAAATATAGTTAAAAAATCTAGTATGGTTACTTATGGGCTTAGAACTGTGAACATTCGCTTATTTTTAAAAACGGTTAACCTACCAAATTGCTTGAATTTCCCTCTACATGATTCATTCAACTTCAATCTTAAAATATTCCTCAATATTCTCTTTTGTATTACAAAAATTCCATCAAAGTCACTACAGCTTCCGAATAACATAAATCCATACCTTAATCTAGATTCAAAATTTGAGTGATACACAGCTTTCAAAGTTTTCCTATCCAAATATTTATCAATAATTCTTATAGAATAACATACCTGGTTGAACTTATTTCTTGAATAACTTATATGGTTGTACCATTAAGACATATTGAATTTTTAAAATTTGCTCTACAGTGAGCAGTTCGAAAAAACAGCACAAGACTTAGTTTTATTAAGAATTAGCCTATTGTTAAAAAACCAGGTTTTTACATTGTCCATATTATATCGCCCCTCATCACATGCATTCTCAGGATCTGTAGCAGTTAAAAGCAAATTTGTGTCTTCTGCATACTTCGTGATTTTGCATGCATCAGGTATCGATGTCATTTAAAAAAATCACAAACGCTATATAGACCGAATTTACAAGGCCGGCTCCCAGACACTGTCACCGAGAAGTCACCGACTACTGTACGAACAAACCGTAAGTGCACATAATAAAATTGCTTGTCGAACGCTGATTTGCGTAAAACAGCTGAACAATTTGTAGACACTCAGCCCGGCTTTTTTTTCCATGAGGAAATGCCAGACAGTACTGGATATAAATGCTAAGATATGCCAAAACGACTGATGCGTTACCTGTGAAATAATAAATGGATCACCAGTCATGTAATTTTTATGTGTTAAATGTTCGGTTCCTCCTCATTTCTATGGCTATACCAAAATGGGAGAGCACAGCGAAACACATCACACGCTGGCGCTTCATGCCTTTGAACTGAAAAAATCGGTGCCCCCTGTATCTTGCTCCCTTTTTGGTACTCAAGTATACATAGTTTGTGTTTTATTCCAGAATTCTTACTGTTTGGGAGAGGCTGGCAAAAGTGTGAATAAACCGCCGGTTTCGGTTGTGAAAAAGGAAGAACTTCAAGATGTAGCACAAGAAGTACAGAACCAAAAAACGAGCAGTGACAACAGTAGCAGTAGTAGTTCCAGCTCAAGTGAAGAGGAAAATGAAGAAAAGTCAAAGAAGAAAGATAAGAGAAAGAAGAAGAAGAAAATAAAAAAGAAAAAAATGAAAGAGAAGAAAAAGTTGACCAACAAGAATGTAGAGGAAGAAGCAGTTATTTTGGACGATAGGAAACGTCCTTACAACAGTATGTACGAAGTAAAACAACCCACAGAAGAAGAAATGGAAAGCTATTACCAGAAAAGGCGACGGGATGAGGATCCAATGAATCAGTTTTTATAAATTGCTTGTATTATACATATGTTACAAAATAAATCCTTTTAATCATATATTTAAATGAACATTTTTATCCTAACGCCCTCTTTATTAATATTCCACGTAAACCAGGGTCTGGCCAGACGCATACCTAAAGAACAACTTTTCGAAATGTGTCCCAGGAAATAATGCAGAATGCATATATCCTACTTCGGCACAGTCTTATACACAAGAGCGGATTGGTAAGGACCTCTAGACGCCAGTCTGCCATTTTTTTTTTAAAATGGTATGAATGCCGTATCTTTTGATGTAAAAATACCTTGCTAGACCTGAATCGAGAGACCTGCCTCCCCCTCCATAGACGCATCCCACCCCCGCTTTTCAATTGTCAAGTTCATTTGGTCTCAGAAGCGCTGATTAAGTGCTAAGTTAGTAGTGGATCAACGGAAGTCAGGTGATAGAGGGCCTCAAAACATATCGAATGAACTCCTATATGTGTGGTCCGAAATTTTATAGTTCAGGAGATATTTGCAATTTTGTGAAATTTCTGAAAAAACGGGATAATGAACTTGCAGTCGCAATTACAACTAAACCATTAGGTTTAGAGCAGTTATTTTTTTGAGATGAGATAAATGGTTATTCTTAGCAATGGTTATGACACTTTTTAACAGAGCTAATTAGAAATCAACGGAAAAAATGTTAAATCTATTTTTCTTGTGAAAAATCTCTTCCATCCCTCAACTTAGGAAGGCTGTAAAATAAATTGAGGTATTTCATTATTCATTTTATTGTAAAAACTATTTCAATTCATGTAGAATAAACCCTGAAAATTTCAGCTTGCTATGATAAGTGCCTCACCTTGAAAAATCTGTACGTTTGACGCAGGTGGTATCTATACATGTAAAGAAGAAATTATATTTTACGAGCTACAGTCCAAACGACTTGATGGATTTTGACATATGAGGTATTGTTAGATTCGTCCTAGCAGTGGGAGTGATACAGTGTATGTTAACATTTTGTAAAATCAAAATGGCTGATTTTTTACGTAAATAGCCAAATCAGCTTAATGAACTTACGATTCAACTCGGCATTCAAGATGCGGGAGCGTTCAAACTTCGGTCCGACCGAAATTACTGAGTCAGGCAATGGTCCAGCGCGGAATCTGTTTCTAACGTTTGGCATCTGAGTAGAATCATACCACATTCTCCGCCAGATTATGCAGAAATGCATTACTATGTATTATGAGACACGCCCAGAAGAAATAGAAGATATAATAGAAGCAGTCTAAAGAGATCCCTCTATAAGCACCAGAGCCATTGCCCGAAGCAGAAACATATCCCATACTTCAGTGCACACAATTCTACGCTCGGAGAACATGCATCCTTACCATGTACAAAAAGTACAAGAATTGATTCCAAGCGACTATGCACAACGGGTTGAATTTTGTGAGAATATGTTGAGAAGGTGCGCAGAGGATGAAACTTTTTTCGACAGAATCTTATGGACAGATGAATCCAACTTTAACGGAAATGGAATATTCAACATGCACAATTTTCATTCATGGAGCGTGGAAAATCCACACGCTATTCGCCGTCACAGCTTTCAATGTCAGTTCGGCGTTAATTTATGGGCTGGGGTACTCAAAAAAAAATTAATTGGACTATATGAATTGCCCGCCAGGTTGTATGGTCAGTCATATCTTGCTTTTCTACAAAGCAGTTTGCATGAGCTGCTAGAGGATGTACCTTTGGACGTTCGAAGCCGCATGTATTTTCAATGCGATGGTACCCCATGTCACTTTGCACGGGATGTACGGCATTACTTAGACAGTGCCTTTCCTGGGCGTTCGATGGGTAGTGCACCTCTACCTATCCACATACGATGGCCTCCAAGGTCACCAGATTTAAATCCTCTAGAATTTTTTATATGGGGGTTTTATAAGGGGATAATATATACATCTGAATATACAAATGTCAACCAACTGCACCAGAAAATTGATGAAGCAAAAATAAAAATTGTGGAAAACGCAAATTCATTTCAAAGACTAAAGAACAATTTTATTAGGTGTCGCTTGTGCATAGAAAATAATGGAGGCCATTTCGAACATGTTATTTAAAAGTCACTTAAATTAAATTATCTTCCACATTTGTCGGTAAATCGCAATAAAGAGCGGCTAAACACAATATAGGTTATGTACTTGTAGGTGGTAAGGATTCTATAGCGTTTCTTACGTTCATCGCATCACAACAACGAATGTGACATGATACACTCATCGTAGCAAGCTGAAATTTTCAGGGTTTATTCTACATGGATTGAGGTAGTTTTTACAATAAAATGAATAATGAAATACAACCTCAATTTTTATACCGCCCTCCAAATTTGATGGATGGAAGAGATTTTTCACAAAAAAATGTATTTCAGATTTTTTGCGTTGATTTCTAATAACTCTGTTAAAAAGTGACAACCATTGCTAAAACTAACCATTTAAGTTTATTATCCCGTTTTTTCGAAATTTCTCAAAACTGCAAATATTTCCTGAACTATAAAATTTCGGGCCACACATATAGGGGTTCATTCCATAGATTTTGAGGCCCTCTATCAGCTGGCTTCCATTGATCCACTACTAACTTTACACCCTGTATATATTTGCTATCTGAGAAATTATTACTGAATATGCTGCCAATGAGGTATATCTATTAGCTGTGCCCGATTGGTTATTTATATGTTGTCCTTTCTGGAGAAAGGTTGGCCAATAGTAATGACTTTTTTACGTTTCATAAATATTCCTTTGTGTAGCATATTTCTCACCCCTTACATGTAATATACTTCACCAACAAGGGACTTTCTTTTCCTATCTCTCACATTCTTTAAATTCAACAAATTTGCATATGTAATTTCCAGAATGAATAAGAAAAAGTGGATGCGCAACTAATTTCTAGCTTTGAATACATCTCAAGTACTTATGTGAATTTGAAACAAGCTACCAATGGAATTATCATCAACACAGATTATTTATTAACACACAAATCCTCACTATGCACCTATACATCAATGCCGTTTCCTTCCAGCTATAGTATACAACTTACTGCTTAGACCTCCAATAATGCCATCTCTCAAGCAGATGTTATGTCACATCAAAGCCAAACATTGATAGCTGAAGTACCATGACCCTAGGCAACTCATACACCTACAATACGAGTTTACAAAAGTGTACAACAGCTAGTGCTAAGTTTACATCTTGTGGAAAAACCTGCGTTATATCACAAAAAAATGATAAAATGTTACTTTTCAAGATTCGTAATACTCGTGCCGAGATGATTAAGTTTCAGGGCCCAACGCGGGAAATTACACGATTTATAGTCTGGCACCAAAACGGAAGCGAGTGGCATATTACATTGTACATTACTTTGAAATTTTTCAAATATCTTGCGAACTTCTCAACCCTAACATTAAAACATAAAACAAACAAGGCAAATACCTCGTACAAAAATATAAACCACCTCCCTCTTTGTCCACCTTTAGTTACGCCTCTGGTAGCTTTTCTATTGACGTCACACTGCGTCACGTCTGACGTCATACTTCAGACACTGTTGCCAGTTGCCCCATATCTAGAGCCCGACCAACCAATCACATGAGTTTCCTATCTTCACGCACGGAATTTCCTATCTTTCTTTTATTCCATCTACGCTCCAGTCCCTTGTTTTGAGTCAAGGCCACCAACCTGCGAATTCAAAATAAAAATTGACGCAATATGGCTATCGGAATATCTCAAATGTTTTGGATATTAGGAGTGTTTAATACGAAAACCTGAATTGATAAGTAAGTTTCTGCTTAGAAATAAATGAATAACTGATTGACAAGCATTTGGTTTCAGGTAACCTCCAATGATGTCGATCATCCTTTGAGGGATTTTTTGGAAGTAATGGGAGGTCAAGTTAGCCAGGTTTTCCAGTCTGGCAGTGCCTTGTTGACCAATGGACATGGACACAAAGTATCCGATTCTACCAGGCAGAAAGTTCAAACAATATTTGATGCACTTAGAGCCAATCCAAAGATAGGGGTGCAAAGACTAGAAGGGCTGTTACAGCAACTTCCTAAAGTAAGAAGCTACTAAAATTTGATTAAAAAACTATGTTATTTTTCCTAAATACTTATTATTATTATTATTATGATAATTGAGATGAGCAGAGTACACAGTACTATAAGCTCATGCAGTAAATATAGTGTACGGACACGTAACACAAATACATCAAATAGAAAAAAATAAAAAAAATACAGTTCACAGCTATAAAGTTTGTATATGTCATTCAGATCTGACTGGAAAAATCAGTGATGTTTTTTTACTGTCAGACAGTGAAATATAAGGAGATTATGTTTTCTGTTCCAAAAATTGACAAACATGAAGCGAAATTGTTTCATTAGATAAGTGTTGTTAATAATAGAACTGATTTGAGGCATGTTTTTGCATTAGTGTAGGGTGCCTCAAGCTCAGTCATGTGGCCCAAGTGTGACATGCGATTACTTCAATTTGGCTAACAGATTAACATGACTAAAACAGGGGTTTACTACTCGCCAATCTGGTTTATCAAACACCCTTCACATGTTTCGCTATGTTGGGGGAGATTAATAGTTAAGATTTTATTTTTAGTCTTTCTCTGAAGATATTAACATAATTAGTGAAACACATATTGGGTGTTTGATAGACCATTTTGAAGAGTGATAAAACTCTGTGTTAGTAATATTTTCTATACCAAAGGATCCTAAGTCAGATACATTCAACAGATTAATGCTATTTCTGAGTGGGTATTTACAAATTCTTTGTTTTTCATTACATGCCACACATGCCACCCATACTTTTTAGTGTAGATTCTCTATTATAGGGCTTTCACAGTTTTTGGCATGTCACAGTAAAACTACAAGGTTTGCTTTCATACATCCATCTCCCTCAAATATTCATTTGCAATCAGCCTTGAAGCATGGACATCAGTTTGTGAAAGCTCACAGACATACATTTTTTTGTCTTGTTCACAGCCTTGAGAATTTTATTGTCAACATACAAGTATTCCACATTTATTCCACATTTATGCTTGACATTAATAATTAATAATAATAATTATTTATTGGTACTATTACACAAAAATGTGTTTGTACAGGTCATTTAAAGTAGAACATAAAAGAGTAAGTAAAAGTAACAAACAATACGAAAATAAGACAAACGTATAACACAAAGTGGCAATAAAAGGTAAAAAAAACTTGATAAAACTATTTTAAAATTTAGAGGAACAATAAAATAAGATGGTTAAAAAATTATGAAATACTAATCATTTTTTCATGTTTGTACTCAAAAGTCCTTACACACGTCTGGAGAACGATAAAATATAATACAAAAATAACACATTAAAAAAAAACACAAACGAAAACAAAGTAATAAATAGTCAACAATTATGGAACAAAGTCGGTAAAATCATTATTTAAAAACTCATCTATGCTGTAAAAAGCTTTCGTCACTAGATATCTTTTCACAGTTGCTTTAAAAATGGTTGAGTTGAGTGTTTGACAAAACTTGGGCAGCGCATTAAAAAATTTCACACCGAAATAATTACTTCCGTGTCTAGTTTTTGAAAGTCTTGTGTACTCTGGTATTAATTCATTGTTGAACCTTGTGTGACAATCTAACAACTTTCTTGGCATGAGCATTCCAGTTCCTTTTTTTCATCTTCAATATAAAACTTAGCAATGCCTGAAAATACACAACTATAATGTTTTTCTTAAATTTAATGGAGTATTTAGAGACAACAATGAAAACATCAGTCTTCTATCACCCAGTTCATGTGGCAAGAGTGAGTGGCAGCTGAATAAGGATCAGCTTGTGAAGTGTGCAGGTTCCCTCAGCGAGGTTAAGTCTACATATGGTTCAGTTAGTCAATCTGTTTATTTATTTCATATTATGATATTGTGATGTAACTGCCAAAAACTGTGAAAAGAACTAACTTTTGTTGTGGATGTGCATGTTTTGACTTTAGCTTTGGCTTTAGATAGTGAATAGCTGACATTTTATGTACAATACTTCTTACATTTAGCTATAGATTTTGTCAAGATTTTTGTTTCGCTAGGTGATATTGCTAGCTGGATACTTACTTTTTGGTCCTTATAACTGTTGTACAAATAATGTAGCTATTGGTGAATAGCCTGAGCTCCCGTACATCAGAACAGCCTAAAAATCAGTCATTGTTTTCCAAGCATCATTCAATCATTTTATTTTCAGTTGCTTATAGATATAGTATAATTCATTTTTTCATAAGAACAAGAAAAAATATACCTTGATAGTAGAACTCCATGTTTTTCTGGCCAAATCAAACCATGTAGTCTAATCTAATTAAATATTTGTAAAGTCTGGTTTCATTGGTGCAAGTTGTTCATGGCGTTATTTGAAACATGGATGCATAAAATGGTTACACCAATTTTTGTGGGAAAACTTTTTATTTGACAACAAAGAATGAGAAAACGTATTTTTTGGGATTCAATCGAAATTACTGACAGGAAAGAAAGAACTTTTCATATAAGATTTTTAGGTATTTATGAGACCTACAAAATGAGACTAGACATGAAAAGATCTGACTAATAGAAAAAATCTTATGGCTGAAAAATGAGGCAAAATGCAGCTTTTGACACTTGAGGAGGTGATCTGCAAACCGCAGTTTTTGAAAAATTGGCAAATCTGGGTTAGGCATGTGATCGTATATTTTCAATGGTCCTCTACCCGATAAACCTAATTAAAAACGTCAAACTGCAGTTTTTCCCTTTGTAATAGCTAGTGAATTATTGTGGTGTTCTACAAAGCGCAGTATTTTGTTTCAACTAGGAATAACAAAACGCAATTTATTACTCCATGCTTGGAAAATCATAGCGCAACTTTTCAAATCTTAACTTGCTGATCAAAATTACACATGCACGACAAAACGCAGTATTTCTTTGAATAAAAAGAATATTCAGACCGTCTGTGAATAGTTCAGTTGTTTACCGGCAGTTACGAAGTGTGCGATCTGTTGCTGCTAAATTACGCAATATTTCGAAATTAAAAATGGATGATGGTAGTCTAGTGCTAGTTAGTGACGCATCTGATGGTTCGAGAAAAAGAAAACGAACTATGTCTAAACGAGAAAGGGCAAAAAAAATGCGGTAAGTTTGAATATAAAAGCAAGTAAGTGGAGTTGTTTTATATTTTTTATTGTTTTAGATACATGAATCATATGCCTAATGCTGAAGATTTTGAAGTGAAGTGCAAGCATTTAAAAACTGCACTCCAGTGTCATGAAATTTCTACAGAGGATGTAAAACGTGTTAGAGAGTGTGTCTATAGACAACCAGTAAAAACGATAATAGATAATAAAATAGCCCACTTGATTGAATTTAAGCATCCTAAAAGGAAAAAAAGTGAAGAAACATTGACAAATAAAGGCCAAGCAATTAGGCTGGAATATTTTTTAAGAAATATTAACTCTGATAGGCCGTTAGTGTGTCAAAAGACGTTTTTGGCTGCTTTGAAGATCTCACAATGGAATATCCTTACTATCGGAAAAAGAAGGCAGAAGGGCAGATAATTGAGAGAAGGGGAGGTGATCGGAGAAGCAAAAAATACGAGGAGCAGAAAAACAGTGTTAAAAAATTCATTGGGAATTTACATGCAAGTGAAAGTCATTACAATCGTAAGAAATCGAAGAGACTTTATCTTTCATCTGACTTGAATATTGCGAAACTATCAAAACTTTATAATAACTCTGTAGAGCTGAATTTAAAAGTGTCGCGTCGTTATTTTTATAATATTTTTGTACGCTTTCAATCTCGGCTTTGGGAATCCCGCAAAAGATGTATGTAGTCTATGTACCCGTCTGAAAAATACAATTAGATCCACAAAGAATGCAGCTATGAAAGGAAAATCTATTACTGAGCTGAGAATTCATAAATTGAGAGCTAAACAATTCCACCTTTTTTTTGAAAGCAATTCCGGAGAACAGCTTCACAGTATGCTTTGACTTGCAGCAAGTCCAAGCGTTGCCTAAAATGAAGATAGGGGAAACATTTTATTTACGTCAACTTGCTCTATACAACTTTTGCATAACAGAACCTAGTACAAGACATCCTTACTTTTATACTTGGACAGAGAATCAAGCGAAAAGGAGACCGAATGAGATAGGATATACCATTTCTTGACAAATCGCGAGTTTCCAGAGAGTTGTAAATTAATTAGACTATTCGCCGATGGATGCGGAGGACAAAATAAAAATTCTTTTATCATCCACATGTTGACGTTTTGGCTTTCCACTAAGGCACCTAAACATATTGAAGAGGTGGTCCTGTATTTTCCGGTGAGAGGTCATTCTTATCTACCTGCAGACAGAGTATTCGGTCGGATAGAGAAGATCTGAAGAAAGCGGTCTGAAATTACCACTAAGGAAGAATACTGGAATATCTTTGGAGAAGTTGGGAATGTTGAAGTGATGGGACAAGATTGGGACTTGTTGGATTGGAAGGATTTGTCTAGTACAAAATTCAAGAAAATCAGTGGTATACAAGAAGTAAAGCGAGTTCATTTGAAAAGGGTTCGTGAAAAGTGTTTGACAAAATTAGAAGTCTTCTACAGAACAGACAACGATACAAAGTATCAGAACTACTTGAAACGAGGTGCGAAATTAGAAAATTACCAACCTAAGCAAATTGAACTGCGCAATAGCATTAAAAAAATTACGCTTGAAAACGTTGAAACCCTATTAAAAAAGTATCAAGAAGACTGGGAAGATAATGAAATCTTCGCTTGGTACAAGAACCTACTAAATGAAAGAAGACATCCAACAGGAGACGAGGAAGAAACATGCCCGGAATCCGACGATGTAGATCCAGAGTTGTGTGATTGTGCTGAGGAAGACATTGGCTTGAAAATATAATTATATAACTTTCCGTTTCATTTATGAATAGATTGGTTTTTCAAAACGCAGTTTTAATAGATGTGGAAAATCAAAATGCGGTTTTTTGTTTGTTTTTTGGTGTTAGTCAGCAAACGATAAGGACCAGATTTCAGCAGGTTAGTGTAGCCATTTCGTTGTCTCTGAAATTTGAGGTGGTATGTTTGGCTTAGCATTCTACTTCTCCATTTACGCACCTTAAAAAAACGTCTTTATCTCAAAACGTTGAAATTTCAAAGACTGGTTTGCAGATCACTTGTTGGTAATGCGAAGATAATTTCATGCAACTACTTGAAATTCATCAAATCTGTAGGATTCATACTTCTAAATAACAGCAATTAAATTAGAGTATATTAGTCAAGTAGTTTTTTGAGGATTCCTAATTGTTCATCCCAAAACACCTGTTTTCTGGACATCACTACTAATTGCGAATTACTCACAAATATGAAATGTTTGAGTTTGTTTAGAAGAAAGAACGTAACCCATCCTTTTTTGCATAAAAATAACATTTATCATCCACAATGGTTTGAGATTCATATTGGCAAGGTAAACCAGTATGTTTTGCTATAAATTGCCCTTTGAACTAACCCTGCAGTTTGCCTTGGTTTTTGGCCATAACTTTTTTGATATTAGTCCGATCTTTTTACGTGTGGTCTCATTTTGAGGGTCTTATAAATACCTAAAAATCTTATATAAAGAGTTTTTTCGTTCCTGTCAACACTTTCGATTGAATCCCAAAAAAAAAAAACGTTTTGTTTTCTCATTCTTTGTTGTTGAATAAAAAGTTTTCCCACAAAAATTGATGTACCCATTTTATGCGTCCATGTTTTGAATACCCCCTTGAAGAACTTGCAGCAATAAAAACAGACTTTACAATTATTTTGAAAATCATGGGTATTTTTGTCTAATATGGTTTAGACTGATATGTATGTTGAAATTACTATTTACTGACGTTTCCAAGTAGACAGATAAGTAAAATATATTGTAATTGATGTGTACTTTGAAGAGGTAATTGTGATAGCTGAAACATCAGTAAAGAGTAATTCCAGCACATATGCTTTCATCTGGCCACAGAAATATGGGATCTAGTAGCATGAAAACTTTCAGATGTTACATACCATAGTTTTGGGAATCCAAAATTGGATCTATTAGGAAATTGTAGCTCCAACATGTAATATCACTGTCCGTTTTGTATCAAAGATTTGACAGAGTTCATCTGATACCAAATATGAATTGATATGAAATTGGCATTAATACATAAACTGCCATGGAACGTTTGCCTTGATAACTGCATTCTAAAGAAGACTCGTTATCAAGGATCCAGGTGTTGTTGTGGTCTACTGACTTTAAAAACGCGCGTGACGCCATTGGAGACCTGGAGTGATCTGGATGTCCTTCATTGAGTCTTGTGGGCGAAACGGTGGTCAAAACAAAATTGTCCCAGTTTTTAACTATCTACAAGTAATTGCATATGAGCTGTACATATCTAAATTTGTGGGAGACAGCTATGAAGGCGACTGCATAATGCTGCTGTACAGACAGCATTTATAGTATATGCCCAACATGAGCACCCCTTACATCTTCATATTTCCAATGGTGGAGAGGAGCCTCAAAGGTCGTCGTTTCCCTGGCGTTACCGATATTCAACGTGCTGTCGTGTGGCTTTAGCTGGGGTCACTAAAGCGGACTACAAAGGGGCCTATGGAGCGAGGAAAGATAGCTGGCAATGCTGAATAGATGTTCAAATGATCTATTTCGAGGATTTTATTCTTTTTGAATTGAATCAGTACATTTGTTTTTCAAATGTACCTTGTAATAGACTGAGATCATCATACAAATATAACTTACAAACATTCCATTTTGCAGAATGAAAACATTCTAGCTATACATGATGAAGCAGGGTATAATTTATTACAAAAATGTGTGGGAGCAAATAATGTGGAGCTAGTTAGATGGCTTCTCGCTCGGCATTCAGCTGCTGATGTGAATAGGTTTCCTTGCAGCCTTCCATTACATATAGCATGCTTGAAGGGGTAAGCTACTTTCTTGTGGATGTAACCCATAATTCTTTAATGATCACTATTTTTATAGACATGATGAATGTGTAGAACTGCTATTAAAACATGGTGCAAAGTCTGATGTTGAAGCTAGAATGTGTTGGCCTGGACCACACAGTAGTAATTGTGAAGAAAGAGGAAAATACTGTAAGTTTATACATTTGAAACATTTGAGTTAAAAAAATTGCCATCATTTTCTATAGCTTTATGATATTCATTCATTTCTGGATAGATAAAAAATTTTAAAAGTTCTAACAATCTTAAATATACAAGTTCATACTTTACTTGTCTATGCGTTTCTTTAACATTTCTTGGATTATATATCCCATATTGGTATTTATTTACCTCTAATAACTCAATTTATTGAATTTGCAGCTGCAGCAATTCAACAAGAGGAAACATGTATAGAAAGGGATACAAGAGAAAGACTGCCAAGTAGTAAATTACAATCAGCAATTTATTATGCTTTAGATGGTGACCAAGTTAATATTTTAACATTATTATCACAGAGGGGTGAAGATCCTTGGGTAAGTTATAGTTTCCTTGTGTTTTCAGTGAAAATTTTATATGAATTGATTTTTTTCCTTTATCTTGATTAATATGTATTTTATTCCAAAGTCATCAGACTCATTGATCACATCATGGCACTGCAGCCACAATGACTGAACTGCATCTACATGTTATACATTTGATGCAGTAATTTCATCTAATGTGTCGAAAGTATAAACGCAGTTGAATCATGGCGTCGCCGTCGGTAACAATATGTTTTGATGAATGTAATGGGATAGCAAGTCATCTTTATTATGTTTGTATAATAATTGCAACCCAGTTGGATAGGAACCATTGCTATCAAATGTAGAACTCTATATATCTGTAATATTGACTGTGTTGTATTCAGTTTATATGCACTAACAGTACCACCCAATGATTTATTTTTGAACATTGAAAAGTTTAGTTACAATCTTATTCTGAAAAATGGACAAATGAAAATGCCCCACAAATATTGAAATTTGTCTAGCAACCCATAATTCACCGAGACGCGTAGGTGAAACGATGGTTGCAGAGGCGAGGCGAGGTGGCTAGGTATTGTAATACTGTACGCTGTAATTGTCTGAGATGGGAAATTCATTTATGGAAGCTAAATATCTAGTCAGTTTGTTTTATGTTGAATAAGCACTGTGGACGCTACCATTGATATGGTATATTAATAGATTTTAGTATAAAATGTAAGTTCAAGCAGGCAGTTTTTGAGCATTGCAAACGATTTTAAAAAGTTACAATCCAGTTTGACAACTAATTAGTCTGTCCTTCCCCAACAGAAATCAGATCTATCTAAGAAATATTCCTATAGATGACAGGATGTACATTAAAACACTTAGATTCATGAAGCCTAGTGTTAATTGTTATTAAATCGATACTTAAATAGAATCATTAATATTAATAGTGTCTTGAAGTTACGTTTCTCCTCTATCGTGGATCAGACACCAGCACAAATGAGTAGTCCGGTTCGTGCTTACAGGATTCTTCCAAGCTAACTCAATGGTACCAATCAGTTCAAACCTTATGTATTTTCTCTAGTTTAACTGCGGCGGAAAAGTCCAATGGCTCTATTATTCATAGCATACTAACGGTTAATAATGAAATTTTAGCAACGTGTCTAATACTCATATGGTGAGGTTGAAATTTAGCTGACGCCATAATGTGCAGGAGAGAGAAGCGCGAGACGCGAGCAATATACGTATGTTACAAAGGGTGCTGCAATGGCAACGCGGCAAGCCACAGCTGCTTCGGTGGTCTCATCACTCGGTTTGCTTTCTAACTCACTTACACATTACGACGTCAGTGTTATACCTAGTATGAATTTTTAGTTTGACGGAAACGGCTGTACTGTGTTGTAAGTTTTTGTGTGCTTAGGGTGCCCTTCTTTGACAACGAGTGAAGCGCATTGAGCTTATTACTACTTAAAAATAGAAACTGAATTCTTTTCGAGCTTGATCCTTTGTGTCTGCGGTAGAATGGCATGTTCCGGGCGCGCAAGCCTCTGCTGCATGCGGCGGTCGAGCGTGGCGCTTGGCGGTGCACCGAGTTCCTGATCAAAGAGCGCTCCGACGAGATCCACGTGCTGCGCGATGAGTATTACCCGATCCACTACGCAGTACTGCATGACAGCCGCTTCCTGGAGCTGCTCATCGATCATGGTGCCGACGCGACGGTGCGGACCTGTACACAGCAAATGACGCTTCTACATGTCGTGTTTTTAGTAGCTCATAAGTCGGCAGAGGATACAATCTCCACCATCAGGTGAGCTAACAATTGATAAATGTATAATAATCCCTCATGTTTGTCTGGTCAATGAAACAACATATATTTGGCATTCTTCAGTACATGGCACTTTCGCAATATTTTATTTGTCTTTCTCACACATTACCCCATCAGTCATATATGGATTTCTCCGTATGTTTGTGACCTAGTACTATTTTATTTATCATCAAAATGATCCATCCCCGTGGCGCAAGTTTGACTGTTTTTAATATCATGCTGTTTTGATACATTTTGCTGACTGAGGTCTAGTAGTAGTATAAAGCAAGCATAATCGCAATATGGCGGTATGCTGATTATTCTTACTTGGTGACTGGTAGAATGAACAAAGTTTATAGAATTTTTTCATTTATTCGGAATTGAAATGATATACAATGTGTTTGGACACGACATACCGATATTTAAGGGGGTATTTTTCAGCTATTTTTATCGACAAATCCACCCCTCTACAATGTCCTACCTCACCCCCTTGAAATGGCAGCCATTTTTATTTTTACGTTACGATTACGCTAGTGCGTGTATGAAAATTGTAATAACTGAGAACATATGAGTCACAGAATGATAAATTTGGTGTCAATTGAACAATAGCATGTTGTTCTAGCGATTGTTGAAAAACTTGTATTGATAACCGTCAAACATACTTAAAAACAGACAAAACCTGAAAAAAATATGCAAGAAAATTGATTATTTTGTGCATTTCCGCACACCATTCAAAAACTGGTTTGTGAAGTTGTACTTTTTTTGTGCTAATTCTACAGCTATGTTATCTACAAAATGACACTTAATTTCTTCTACTAAGTAATAAATGCTATCTACCATGGTCAAAGTATACATAAAAATGACAAATCAAAGTTTCTTATAAATAGTTTGGACATGTTTAATGTTACAGAAGCTATTCAAAATGCCCTCCATTATTGGTTATGCACATTGCAGTTCTTAAAACAATGTGTCGTGTTGAGCAGCGGGTTATATTCGTGTCAGCTGTAATTTCGTTCGCAGCTCTTCCCGTGTCGTCGACACATGACTTTTTGCTTCATTGTGTCCCAGAAAAAATAATCTATGGGCGTTAAATCAGGTGATCGGGGTGGCCAAGCGACAGTGCCTACACGTCCTATCCATGGAGAATGTTGCTTATCCAAATGTTCTAGCGCAAAAGCGTGTGGGAGCTCCAACCATATGTTGCGGCGTAGATCTGAAAACTCGGTACTCAAGAAGTCCAAAAATCCCTGGCCATCTAACCTTGGAGGTAGCTCAGCTGGGCCGACTAAAACTCCGTCGATCATTCGGGCCCACATGTTTACATCAAATTCCTGTTGGAAAGTGCTCAGTCGAACTGCGTGAGCGATTTCCGAAGACCACAAGTGGTCGTTTATATGGTTTTATTTTGCTTCGTCCGTCCATAGAATTTTTTGTGACATTGAACTATTTATAAGAAACTTTGATTTGTCATTTTTATGTATACTTTGACCCATGTTAGATAGCATTTATTACTTAACGTAGAAGACTTAGGATAACAAATTTGGTGTCATTTTGTAGATAACATAGTTAGCTGTAGAATTAGCACAAAAAAGTACAACTTCACAGACTAGTTTTTGAATGGTGTGCGGAAATGCACAAAATAATCAATTTTCTTGCATATTTTTTCAGGTTTTGTCTGTTTTTAAGTATGTTTGACGGTTAGTAACAATACAAGTTTTCCAACAATCGCTAGAACAGCATGCTATTGTTCAATTGACACCAAATTTATCGTTCTGTGACACTTATGTACTCAGTTATTACAATTTTCATACATGCACTAGCGTAATCGTAACGTAACAATAAAAATGGATGCCATTTCAAGAGGGGTGAGGTAGGACATTGTAGGGGGTGGATTTGTCGATAAAAATAGCTGAAAAATACCCCCCTTAAATATCGGTATGTCGTGACCAAACACATTGTATATGATAGTCATTCAGGGAATACTCGACGCTATTAAAAGTCGAATCAGGTATTTCAATTTTATATACTATGCCACTGACTTTTTATTTTGATATATTTTCATATATTTTCCTTTTATATTTTTTGAATAGATCATTTTAACAAGTAGAAGAAAAGAATTAAGATTTAATTGTTTTATTTCATGAAGTTTTAGTATATCCAGTATTATCTGCATTGTCAAGACACATTTACCTCATATGTCAAAATCCATCAAGTCATTTAAGCTGCAACCTGTGAAATAGGAATTTCAAAGCTGAAATTTCCGATTAAAATCTGTCACTAGCTCTGTTAAGACAAATCTAGAGTCACATCATTATGTTCAAATCCATTGAGGCGTTTAATCTGTAGCCCGTGAGAAAGGCAAGGTTGATTTTTTTACTAAAATCTGCCAGTTTTATTTCATAAAATTGTAGTGTATCCAGCGTCACTCGCACTGCTAAGATTAAATCAACATCTCATATATCAAAATCTTGGTTGAATGATAAAAATAAATTCATGAAGAGGGAGCTGGCACAATAATTAATAGCGCATATTGATGTAATAAAAGAAGTCAGGCAACAGCGGTGGCCGCAGTGGTAGACTCCTGGCTCTCCTGATCAGTCGCCGTGCGCTGTGCGGGTTCGAATCCCGTCCCAAGAGAATTTTTTCTCTTGGCTATGGATGTTGTGATTATCCGTAGGTGGAAGACGGTCTCTGACTGTCGAACGCGGAGGTATCACTCCGCGGTTCTCGTAGGCGGGGTCAGAATGTGTGCATGTTCCCTCGCCAGAGTCCGTGTGTCGTTCCCCCTTTCTTCTGTATCCTCCTATAGCTCCACGGTACCCCATGGGTGTTTAGGCCTTAGGCCTTCGTGTTAGTTGGAGTATAAAAAAAAGTTTTGTCCCCTTGACAGATATTGGAGATATTTCCTTATAACCAATTGAGTAGTTTTCGAAAGATTGCAGAAACGATTTTCAAAAAATACTTTGAACACTTCCTATTTGGGATACGATATGCTCCACGCATGCCTTCATATGAGCTTATTTCAAAATGAATCTTTCTAATGGTCGAGGAAGTGTGAGAGTAACAAATTGGTCCGATTTGCTTAGCCTATTCTGAGCTAATATGCGTTGACAAAAAGCGGTAATCATATTCTGAATACATAATTTTCTACAACGTCTGCTGAAACACTCACAACTACGTATTAAAGGAGCATTTCAAATCTGACAATGTATTCACGCTTTGAAGATTGATATTTTTTTCTGTTCAAACAAAGATATTCAACGGTGTATTCTTACTGGATACATCTTTTACTTTTAGTTTACATTCTCAAACTCTGACAACCGGCGCTGAATCTGATGGCTGGTTTTATAATGCGTTTCGCAACTATAATAGATATGTGTCATTGTATCTAGGTTACTGCTGGAACACGGTTGCAAGGAACTGATCAACACGCCGGACAGCCTGGGGAACACACCGCTGCACGCGCTGGTGGTGCGCTACGCGTTGGAGGAAGCGCAGTACGGTTACGACAAGTGGAACAAGTGGGACGTGCTCCACTTGGTGCGGTACTTATTGCAGAATGGTGCCAGACCCTCCATCAACCATACCGGCAACTCGGCTGTCGCATGCGTACTGAGGCATGTTCGGGACTGGGATGTCTGCTACGAGCTGCTTAACATGTTACTCAACGACGGCGGTATGCGAATTTACCTCTTCTGTGCAGAAATGTTTTTATTAGGTGTAAAGCTTGAATAGTGAAGCATGAGTCTACATGTTTGGATGTAATAATAACGGTGTCAATAAGTAGACTCCGAACCTCAAACGAAATGGAATCAGCTTTAAAAGTGCAGACTAGAGGTGTTGAAAATTAACGCTACCTTAATAATTTTGGAAAATTTTCGGCCAATTATTCCTGGAGGCTTCATTCTTCGGGAAGTAGAGAATCAAGATAATTGATGCTATTAAGTAGTGGAACCTTACATTGGATCAATATAAGGGCTTGAATGCCAGACTGAAATTACAAATCTCAATACTAACTATAGTTGCTAAAAAGTTGCACAAACTTCTGTTGAGACCCTAACTACATTATTATAAGGCTCGACATTAACATGAACCAATATTAACTTTCAGGTGATCCAAATATGGTGGGAAGAGATGGATCTGTTCCATTGATGGTATGTTTAGTACCACTCATCAATAAGGATCCTCTACACCATTTTACTCATAGTATGAAGGTAAGAGTTTAAGACATGTCATGATTGCTCATTATTGTATGTATGTATATATATATAAAACAAAAAATAGGAAAACAGTGGGAAAAATCCGCAAAAAGAAGGAAGGTGGATTCGAGTAGAAAATAGGATAGGTAACCCGAGCAATACGTATTTCTGCTTGTTGGCTTCATCAGGCCCGAAAGGTTTTGTTCAAGATTCAAATGTATATCATGTAAAGTTATGGATGTATCAATGGAAACCAGATAAGAGAGGACCTCAGTATGTATCGATTTAATATCCATATGTTTTATCCAAATTTGAATAGTTCAGAAGATATTTCCACTATTGGGAAATTTTAGACAAAATCCAAAGGACTGTCAAACTAACATTTGGCACTGCTCATCACTGTGATCCATGGGGTGCACTAAAACCATGCATTGGGAACAGTCGTCACTTTCGCAGTGGCCGATTCTGGTAATAATTATATTATTATTAAATATAATAATAATTTGTGCTGTCTTATTTCAATAGACCTTATATTCTGGGTAGATGATAGTTACCCAGCTTTCGGTCGTTGTCCTACCTGAGACCTAGCCTAGACTATGCTGAGGAGCTGCCAAATAACACGAAAGAGCAGCTGTCCATAGTTAGCGGTCCGCGGACGAACGAAAACAGCATAATGGTCAATAAAACACAGTATTGTACTGCTTTCAGTTTTTTCAAAGATGTCTGTATCTTGCTGGTAAAAATTGTTAAAACTGTCAACTTATCTAACGACTGTTCATCATGACTACCTTCAGGTAGTATGAAATAATGCATTTTCCCAACACATTAGCTCTACTCGGATTCTACAGGAACTATCTTAGAATCGTTCTGATTCCGCGCAATTGGTTCTCGTGATGTCAAAGCCGCATTATATTTGGCTACTTGTAACTCAAAACGGTTCAAGCATCATTCGCTGCTAAAACCCAAATATCACGTTCTTTTACAAATACGTTATCGAGTTACATCTTGCAATTGAGTGGTTATAGAGACATCTAAATTGGTCAATCGAAATTTATTTTCGGGCTGTGCCTTCGAAACACAGATGTCTTCAAAAATCATCATAGGGTGAAATATTCTCAGAATAATTCAGGAAATAACCCTTTGAACTTTTGTTCGATGTTCATGAAACATACCGTTGAAGTAAATCATTTTGTTGCATTTTCTTATCATTAGTTACTTGTTAAACCGACGTGCAATCACATAACTATTTATCACTTGAATTCCATCACTTTTTTAATGGATTATTTCAATGTCGTAGGTCTGTTACCTGAACTGCATCCGAATCCTGTTAAAGAAGGGCGCGAACCCGAATTGCAGCTACAGGGCGAACCTGACACCATTACATGTGCTCGTATTCACCGTATCCGAAAACATCACGCTTAACTGCGACGTGCAGAAGGAACTTAACTTTGAGTTCATCAAAAATATCCTTATCCTGCTGCTTACCCACGGGCTGGATCCCAACGTGCGGGTCAGCAGAAGAACTGAGCACATCTTGCACCCATGCATGGATATGGTGCAGAACGTACGTGACTGCCGCGACCTGCGCTACGTCTACGACCTCACTCTTACCCTCATCCAGTACGGCGCCAATCCTGACCTCACCCTGAGCATGTCCGAGGCAGTCAAGAACCACCCGCTGCATGCGCAGAGCGTCTGGAAGACTAAAAATTACATCCTCTACTACTACATCATGTTGATATCCAGGAAGGAAAACCTGGTCACCGATCCCGATTTGAGCTTCTCCAAGATAATCCTGTTGTTCTACTATGTGATGCAGCACAAACCGCTGTTTGAGTGTTTGAAGATCCTCCATACTCAGCAGCTGAGTCTGGTTCCTGGTAAAATGACGGAACCTTTGACGGTGATTATTCGGGATCTGTACAAGAGACCCAGGAGTCTCAAGCAGATTTGCAGGGTGAAGATACATAACTGTTTAGGGCGGAGGCCGGGACTATATCTTAATAAATTAAATCTGCCTAATCAGTTGAAGGACTATCTATTAAATTTCGAAGCGTGAATAGGGCGTGCTGGAATACATTTTTTATCGGTTGTATGCTGTATATGAGCTATTTGAAAAGTGCTGCTTTGAAGAGGCGTAATTTATTGGCAAATAACACCGGTACACAAAAATAAAAAAGTAGTTTGTACATTGACTAGACCCACCTAGGGTATTTCCAAGTGCTGAATCCGAATCTGAGGTCCGTTCGTCTCGTATACCGTCACAATTTTGAGTAAATTGTAAAAAACTGCTAAATATGGCTTAAAATTACAAATAATTGTATTTATGCAAACGTAAACATTTTTGCCGACCTAGATCAAATCCAACAAAGTTGATTTAGCTTGTAGCCCCTCCAAATTTTGAGTAAATTGCAAAAAATTGCCAATAATCGCCATCAATCGGTAAAGTCCGCAAAAATTGCAGATATGAAACTGAAGAAAAATTTTCCCGTCTAGATCTAGTGTATATTTTATGTATTTCAATGCGCTGAAACCAAACTGAAATTTATTTAGCTCATTGACCATGGAAATTTGGACTATATTATGAAGAACTTACTCAAATCGCTAAATAATGCCAATTACGCATATCATCATTCCTTGATTTCCATTTCATTTGTCTTTGCGAAATCGTTCTCCTTGAGGTCTCCAAGATTTGAAGGAATGTAGTAGAGAGTAAGGAAGAGCTCGTTGAGAGATCTATTGCTTATTCGTGTGCTGTTGTCCACCTTACATGGTGACGGTGGTCAACAGCACCATTAGCAAAGTCCCTAGGTTATCGGCGAGTATGCTTTCATGGCAGACACAATAATATCGAACTTCGAAATACATTAAATATTTTTGGGTTGCATAACTGCAATTTTTAGCGATTTATGGCTATTTTTGGCAATTTTTTTGCAACTAACTCGAAATTTGGAGGGTTACAAGCCCAATCAACTTCAAATTTGTGTTCAGCATATTGAAATACATTTGGTCTAGGTCAAGAAATTTTTGTTTGTTTGCATTAGTACAATTTTTGCAGTTTTATCCATTTTTAGCAGTTTGTATTATTTACTGAAAATTGTGAGGTCGTGCGGGTTAAACGGACGTCAGATTCGGAATTCGTAGGTAAGACTACTCAAATGTACAGAACACTTTTTATTTTTGTGTCAGTGAGTGCTATTTGTTCGCATTCTTGATCATGGATTAGTTTATTTCTTGGTAAAGAAAGAAGTACCTTGTTCTTAAAGAGAATGATTTTAATGTCAGTTGTTGTGCGGGACGAAGTCCTTAAAATACTATAAATAATTCATATGTGTAGGTGATTTATTGTGCAAATTACGACATTCTACACGGTCCTGGGAGTGAACTCTAAAGCACAATATAGTAGATGCTTGCAGGGGGTTAATTCTTGAAATAAAGGTGTAGAATAACTGATAGTGGTTCTCTTAACCTTTGAGGAACTGTATTCCTGAACTCTGATAGAAGAGTAGTCAGAATAAATCAATGTACACAACTTAGAAAGCACTAAATTGATTATTTATTTTCTGTTTTCGACAAGATTGTAACTTTTTTATGAAAACACACACATTTCTTGTTCTCCATAATTCTGAACCCTATGAAATGCGGTAATGCTGGTAAGATGTAGTTTCTTGCCAGTACAAAAACCTCTTCAAAGTAGCTGGTGAATGGATTCATTCAAACTCATTACTAATATACAGAGAACTAAGTATGGAGCGAGCAACACAAACCATCTTAATCCATAAAAGATTCGAGTGACCTCAGTACAGTAAAAATTGAGTATCAAGTAAAAACCTTGCATGCATTCATTCATATACATATCATATCTATTTTCAAAATTTTTAATTATGAAATGTCTCCTAAAATTGCGAACTCAAGGAAGAAAAGGAAAAAATATAAACTCAATTGCATCTCGCAAAATCACTTAATTATATGATGACCAAAAGCTTTTTTGGCTGCGCGTAAATAGATTTGAAACATGAAAAACGATGAGAAACATATGAATCTTCATCAAAAGACATCGCTGAAACCTTTGTGCTTTGTGGTATGGCTTTTGCTATTTTTTTTAAATTATCATGTTTATCTGAATACATAAACAAAAATGTACGTGGTCCCAAAGATTTTCCACGAGTAGTTTTTTCCAAGATACAGGGAAGGTGGTGTGGGAGAGTAGTTAGAGAAATGCGTTTAAAAATGCAACTCTATCTGTTGAAGCAGTCGAGGTACAGGTTGCGTTATGAGTTTTAAACATTATATACAATATCGGAAGAAAAATACGACAAAACGCAGAAGTTTCTACATTAAAATGAAATGAAAATGTTGAGATATATGAAAAAACTTTGATATCCTACTCAGTATTGGAACAGGATGAACACGAACTGTTGAAATAATTTGTATAATGGAGCAATACTCCATCCATGCAAGGTTTGCGTCACCCTGTGCATGTGATAAAATTGCAATGTTGGTGAAGAGGCTAGTAATCAGGACGTGCATAAATCAATCGAATAACTATTTCATATCGTGTACTGAGCCCACAATATGGTGTATAGACAAACTGCTCAACTTGGAGGGCTTGTATCTGGGAAAACTGACTCATGTACATTTTTGTTCCACGTGTTTAGATCTAAAACATACTGTATTTTTTCAAAAATTGACTAAAACTTTTTCCCATAACGTTTTTGTGGGTTCCTTTGTGACCCTTCAAGAAAACGATGTTTCCGAGATTACGAGTATAGAAAAACGTAGACAGAAATTAGTATTATATACGTCTTTGTGAGGTGAACATCATGAAACTTAAAAAAAAATCGTGTTACTTAAAAGCAACGTGTGCGTTGTCAGCCACGTTACCGAGACTGTTTCAACTATTTTGCGTCGGAAAATCTAAATCTACAAACTTTGACCGCTCACCCACGTTCTAATTTCTAGGGTGTATTCCTTCTGCTAATCACCCGTATTCTTTTTAGTGGCATTAATCGAATCTTTCGTAGGTATAAAGCTTCATGAACTGAGTCATGGTGCTCGATCTGTAGCTAGCTCTTAAACTATAAAGTGTAGAAGATAACGTGAGATCTTTTAATAAAACTTATGTGTATGTGCACATATCGTTGAAGTAGTACATATTGTAATATATGGCCTTTTTCTAAACATAAATGCACTAAACAATATTTATCTTTGGTATGATGTATGAAAGGCGTTGATTCTTGAAGCCATGAGATTCCCGATGTTTTGGATAATCCAGACCCAGTGAAGATGTAATGTTTTTGACGCTGTAACAAGTATTAACATGTAATATTTACACATTCTGGCCCAACGACAAGATTCATGTGGCTGTACGACCTCGGACGACGAAAAACCGTCTACCACCCGCGGGAGATAATCGAAAGAAGTAATAAGTATCAAAATGAAAGAGAGTAGCGGAACGCAGTATACGCCACTGTTAACGCAGTAGGTCTTTGAACATGGCGAGAGCCGCATACACGTATTACATAGAGATAGAGGTGTTACGATTATTATTTGTGTTACTTTTTCATTTTGGCACATGACAGCAATTTCTCAACTTGCTACATATTACGAAAATGTTCTAAAATGTCAAAAAATATTTTAAAACCTGCAAGCACATTTTATTTTTGCATATTTCTTACCACAAATGAAAAGAGCTATGTCCAAAAATACTAAAAACCAAAAATTGAAATTTTTGAATTTGGCGGTAATGAAGGCCATTTTTCTATCTATATATTTTTTGAGGCGGTAGATCGTCTTGCAGGAAAATTTTATCAAACGTCTTTTTCTGATAATTTCAAAATTTATGCAAAATTGGTTTAATTATCATAATACGTGAAAGAAGAATGTCCTAAAAAAAGTTATTTACTTGACACTTGTTTCGAATATCCAATCCTATGGGCATTTCACTTGCTTGGGCTTGAGCTACAGATAATTTTTACAGAAGAAGGCCAGCTTAGTGTTGAAAAATTATTGCTCTGTCGAGCATTGTTTATTAAATGAATTGAAACGTACGTGTATATGTGTATGTATGTACCCCAGTTTTGAAAATATCCGTTTCAGTAACAAGTTTCAAGGTACTATGAAAATTGTATGCCTTATCGTTAATCGTTTCCACATCCCAGCATATGTTTTTTTTACTATCTAGTGAAAAGTCTGATGTATTTGAAGAGTATCAGCATGATGAGAAATTTTTTGGTAACAGGTTTAGAACACATGGTTGTTTCAAATATTTTAGGAGCCTCTGGGTACACAGAAGCTCGCGGCCTGTACTAGACATTTTTTTAGAAATCTCTTAATTTTCCGATATTTATGGGCCCTCCATCAAGCCGGAACCCTGGGTACGTACTCTGTGTGCCCATAGTTTAAAGACTGCTGCAGCAACCTTCGGTCGCAACAGATTTACAAAAATAGATATGGTAGCATCTAACACCTATTTATATCACATGTAAATTTCAATCCACCGTTTCTGTCCTTCACCCTACACATATGTCGACTACTGTCAATAGAGCTTTGCTAAACGGCTGTATGTGTAACAGGCACCATTTTGACGCAGGGGGGGGGGGGTCTGCTCGGAAAAGCGGACCCCACAATCAACCGTTGCTAAGACGAGAGTTCATCCACTACTACCTCCTTCAGGTAGTATACAACTAAGCCGATCTTCCGTTGCAGTAATCATAAGCCAACGTTCCTTTACATTTTACCTGTCATTGAAACCGGGAAATCACAAACTAACTGTATGAAAAAGGAGTTCATCTCTACGTCAAGATTCAGCATGCAGCATTTTATATAGCCTTGCACGAACCACTCTTACCAGTATCATTGAGAACCAAAAAAAAAGAAATGAGGCATAGTAGTTTGATTCATTCCATGAGATTGCTGGGGATACTCTTAGACTCCTCCGTACTTTAATAGTGAATATGAAAAAACGTATGTAACCTTCGATTGCCAAATGAAGGTGGAAAGAAACAAGCAGTAATAGTTTGTAAGTGTTCGAAAGCCTTTAAGAGCTCGAAATGAGGCTCCTTCTAAAATTCTCCAATGATGGTGTGGCAACTATTTGGGAACTAAATCCTGACTCCCTGATAACTCAAGTGCTGTCTTATTAATACAAACAGGTAGAATTATGCTGCTATTTCATTATCGATAGAGTACCTATGCCTGTCCAAATACGTAAGACATACGTGAGTTTTGCATCTACATGGTTGAAAATATTTTTTTATCTAAGGCTCTCAACTTTCCCTTTGTTTTTTAATATTGTTCATATTTAAAGTGCATTTTAATCAGAAAACTGTTCTCTATAAAGTCTGAGTATAATTCAGCCGTATTCGATTGTAAATGCCAAATACCAAATATACTGTATAAGAATATATGAAATATATAAAATTGTATAGTCTATTTTACAGTAAGCAAAACAATTATTATTGTTGAGGTATATTGGTATATTTGAATAAAAAGTTACTGAGTAAGTTTGTTTGTTATGTATACAACGTTGTTATGAATGACTCTGTTTCGATATCGGTACATACACTGAAGGACAACCCAGCAGAAAGTACCCCGCCGCCATATTAACTGCATCCGTCATTTGCTGTCAAGAGAGAAAAAGCCGATTTTCTTTTACTGCCGGTATGCGTTAGCTATAAATGAAAAAAAAACATGAAATATATATCTCATATTTGCAATATCACTTCAGGAGTAAAGCGAAAATATTGTTTCAGTTATGTATTAAGATTGGACCTGTATAAAAAAAAATTGTCGTTCCACCTTACACGAGCTACTATGCCGTTCATGTCAAGACGGTCCACAAGATCTTTTGCCTTTGTTTCAAGGTCTTTCAGTTTGTCATTCTGCCGGTATATTCGGCTCAGAACAAAAAACAATGAAGCTATAGAGTAGTATATGATGAAAGAATTACGGACGAGAATGGGGAGAATGAGCAAAGGATAAAAACAATTATTTGTTGCCCCTAAAAAGTATATTCTTGCACTCTGATGCTAAAATGGAGCAGAAAAAAATAAGTTATTTTTACCGCTAACAGTGTTTCTTTTTTTATATCGAAGCAGCCGCGCAGACAGAAGCCTAAATGCCGGAGCACCGCGGCTGCTATGATGATCCCAAAGAAATTTTGTTAATACGACTTATGAACTGCCTAAGGTTAGTAAAACTGGGAAAAGCTTCCTCTTGTAGATTGATGTTCCACAATCTCGACACCCTTGGATTAAAGGAGCGGTCGTATCGGCCAGTTCTGGATGCACGAAGTTTGACACGGTTAGGATGGGACGGCAAAGTCAGGCAGAGAGCTCTGAGGAGCAAAGCCCGTTGGTGTAGCGGTAGGAAAGAGCTAGATCGCCGGTGCGAAAGAATCCCGAGACTGTCTGTTAGAGAAGAGTCATCGATCAGTCGGACCGCCCTCCTCTGGACAGCATCGAGCATGGATAATGTAGTCGGGGCGGCAGCACCCCAAACGTGTGAGCAATACTCGAGGCTATGCCTTATCTGGGCCTTGTATAGAGTGAGAAGGTCGTGCGGAGAAAAATGCTTCTTGGCCCTAAACAAATATCCTAGCTTTTTTCCCAGCAGCTGCAGCTATTGACGAAATGTGTTCGTGCCAGATCAGGTCCTCGGTGATCTGGACTCCGACCAGCCGAGATGAATGACTCTTTGGCAGAACTCGGCCGTCCACCTAAACCGGATGAGCGCTAGGACGCTTTTTGTTCGTCAAAGTACAGTACTGTGTTTTGGAAGCATTGAACTGTACAAGATTGTTGCGACCCCAAGCAGTGATAGCCTCCAGGTTTCTTGTCAGAGAGGAAGTCGTCGTTAGTCTTATTTTTTTTAGCTCAGCGGCGGGGATCGGCTTGTCAGTCTGAATGCCTGCATGTAGAGTGCTATCATCAGCGAAGCTGTGGATTGGGTTGATCGTGCAGGAAAGGAGGTCGTTGATATGTAAGAGAAACAGTGTCGGAGCCAAGACCGATCCCTTGGGAACACCCGCGTTGACGTTGTGGGATGAAGAGGAGAACCCGTCAATTACGACGGATATCTTGCGGAAAGAAATAAAGTCAGCCACCCATCTCCAAAGCTTTTCTGGGAGGCCATAGGATGGAAGTTTGCTTAAGAGGGCAGCGTGCCACAGGTGATCGAACGCTTGCGTGATGTCAAGAGCAACGACATGAGCCTCACCATAAGACTGGATAAGTTTACTCCACAATTGCGTGACGTAAGCTAGGAGGTCCCCTGTGGATCGTTGGTGCAGGAAACCATACTGCCTATCGCTAATCAAGCTGTGACGTTCGAGGTAGTACTTATAACAGAAGCAGAGCTATAGGCCTGTAGTTGTAAGGGTCGGTCGTAGATCCTTTTTTTGAGATGGGTTGGACATGAGCAAATTTCCAGTTTTCTGGGAAGCTGCCGGATTCATAAGATATATGGAAGAGACCCGAAAGAACTGGAGTAAGCTCCGCTGCACACCTCTTCAGTACAATGGCAAGAATCGAGCCCGGACCAGAAGCTTTGTTGATGTCGAGCGACAAGAGCACTCGACTTACGGTCTTATGTCTGAATGTCACCTCCCGCATAGTGTAGGGAACCCTTTGAATTGACGGCAAAGATCTTGACTAGCACTTCCGCCTTGGCCTTTGAGTCGAATACAATCGTTCCATCCTGACACGTAAGTGGTGGAAGGCTATGAGAGAAATTCTTTTCAATCTGCTTGGCCAGCATCCAGAAAGACCGGCTGCCACTGCGCTGCGACATTACCCTGTGCCTAACTTTTATATCGTGTTGGTTTTTGGCATTGCGAACCGCTTTGTTATGTTTGTTTCTGGACTCGACGTCAGCTTGTCTGTCTCTGCAGTGGGGTTTTGTAATAAGGTTCTGTGTGCCTTGATCTTCCGCTGGCGAACTGTGTTACACGATTTGTTAAACCAGCCGTTGGACCCTGGTTTAGGCACTTCCACTGTGTGAGGGATGTATTCCTGCATTCCGACGTGGATAACTTCGGTTATCAAGAGCAAACAGCCGACGCATCTGCGTCAGTGAAACAGACATCTCTCCAAGGAAAGCTAGAGAAGAAGTCTCTGAGCCCTTCTCACTCGGCATGTCCGTATTGCCAAGTTTTGCTGCCTGTACGAGTTTCTGCTGCCACAGCGGATTCTGACCGAAACCTAACCTCCACAACACCGTGGTCTGAGTTACCCAGGGGGGACAGGACAGCAGTGCTGTAAGGGACAGGATGCGTGGTCAGAAAGAGATCCAGCAGGCTACTGGCGTGTGACGAGACGGGGAGGAAAAAGTAGGGCTCGTCACCAGCTGGGTCAGCCCTTGACTAAGAGCGAACGCTTCGACTGCACGACCTGCTCCATCGGTCTTGTTTGAACCCAACCAAAGCTCATTATTGGCATTGAAATCATCCAGAAGAACTACCTCTGAAGCGGGGTGATTGATGTTCAGGAAGCCGATCTTGTCGGCGAGGTATTCAAGTAGGTCACCCCAGCTTGGTCCGAGGGAGAGCGATAAAGGCAACAAATATCACCGAGTATTTTTGAACTTACGGCGAAGGAGCTCCACGGTAAGGCGAAATTCGCTGCTAAAAATTGGTGAGCAGGGGGCTGTTACTCCGACATTTTTAGAAATTCCTTTTGATTTTGGGGACCCCATCGAACCGCGGCCCTGGGCCTGTACCCATAGATTAAGAAAAAACATATCTTATCACCTTGACAATAATTTAAATGAATTCTTTATCTGTGTACAAATTAGTACGTTTTTTCCAATATAAGAGCGAAAAACGTGATTAAACAAATGTATCAGCTATTAAAAATGGAATAAGATTGATTGGGTGAAAAATACTCTGTTGAAGACAAAACGCCTAGCATGCATGTTTGGATCAAGTTTACTGCAGTTTGAGATATATCAAATTTGGACAGTTTTCTTCTTGACTTCTTCTAAAATTATTTTTAAGTTTTGGTTATCTAAACTGTCATGTGCATTATCCAAATTGACATATATTTGAAACACCTATTTTAATCTAAAAATGAAAAAGAAATTCAAATCCAGAAAGTCCAAAAATATCGCTGAGAAAAATGGACAAAGTGCTAACTACAGATTTACAGTGAATCCATTAATCAAACAAGAACTCCTGCATCTGCTGAATAAAACTAGTAGTACAGCAGACACCCTGGAGGCTGAAGGTGTGAAGTCATGGAGCAATTTTTACATTCCGGGTAATTTCAAATCAAGTGTGAAGCAGCTAGCGAAAAGGGTTGGCGTTAATCTTTATCCTTTGAGTACTCATGATTTGATGGAAAATAACGAATTTCTTACATATTTGGAGACCAATTATTCGAGGAAAAACACCTGCTTAGCCTATGAAAAGAAACTTCTCCAGATGTTGTATCAAAAACAGTGATTACGTTTTTTCCAAATAAAATGTGTGCCATTTGTGGATTATAATTGTGTTTGTTATATTAATTGTAATGAAAAAAGACTAACGTTTACAGTTGAGCTAAATTTTAAGATACAATTGGATGACGCGAAGCAGTTAGGATAGCCGAATTCAGAAGAATGGATTTAAATGTGTTGTGAGATGGGCAGCCATGTTCAATATTGAACTGAGTAATTCAAACAGTCTGGAAGCGTGTGTCCGAATGAATATGCTGTCGTAATTAAATAACACAAGTACTATTTTGATTTAGTTGTCCATCTCACAAACTGAGCCTTGGTTATGAACTGCGTTACCCACCGGCTCAAATCGTACATACAGAGAAATTGCAGAAGACAACATGGGAGATTTTTATAACGCAAGTGCACCCTTAAAAATCTAATAATCAAGGTCAGACCGAAGGTCAATTTTTTGGCCAATGGATTGCATTGATGGACAATGGATTAAGCTAAATAAAGTTTTTTCAGAGATAATTATGAAGAAAATAAATACTTATAGACTAATAGGTTTTCAATGCCAAAAAATAGTAGCATGTCAAAACCACATAGTAAACGACTCTTTCATCTTCGCATGTTTGTCCTGTAAGACTGGTAGGTATAAGCGGTTTGCAAGGGCGGATTTAGGAATCTGTCTATGGGGAGTCAAGGGCACTGAAGTGGTCGCAGAATTCATGTTCAAGATGTTAGTTTCGGGAAAAGTAAGATCAATTTTGTTTTAAAATTCGTTGATCGGAATTATGTGCGATTTTTAGTTTCACAATAAGCGATATTTTCTCAAATAATATCTTGCAGGGGAGAGCAGCGAGCAGGACTTTCCATCCAGGAGCTCACACTAATGATTAGAATCCTCCACGAGAATATGTCACGGCATGCCGATTTCTCATTCGTCAGGGGATTTCGCAGCAGATACTTTCAGATGCCGAGAGATAAAAACCCTTCCTGGAGTATCGCATTTTTTAATGCGGTGCCTATGGGGATATCCTTTGCTGTCCCTCCATTGTATCGCTGAAGTTGTATTGATTTTTGTTTTGATGAACGTTCCTTTTTATCAAAATCTATATTATATGTCCAGTCTGTCAGCATCACGTCCGAACCAAAATGCGAAAAATGTGTACACTTACTAATGGAAACCCGAGGAGGGTTATAGGCACAGGTTATACGTATACGGTGAGGTTTAAATTTGGCGGACGCCGTATTGTGTACGAGAGAGAAGCGTGCAATATGTGTGTTGGAAAGAGTGTGCCGTTGGCCGAGGCTGCCCTCAGGGCGGAGTTCTGTCACCCCTACCGTGGTGCATCGTGCTGAACGAACCGCAAGTTTATTGTGGAGTATCCAACGAGGGAGGAGTGGGACGCCGGTAGCCGGAGACTCTCCGGAGTGAGCGGGCAGGTCTGGTACACGGACGGCTCGGTCACCGAAGAGGGCTCAGGTGCTGGGGTCTCTGGGCCTAGAACTAGGCTATCTCTGCCTCTCGGTGGATACACCACTATTTTTCAGGCGGAAATCTTTGCGATTCTGGCTTGTGTATCTCATTCTGGAGGAGGGTGGGCCTAGGAGAAGAATAACAATCTTAGCCGATAGCCAGGCTGCAATGAAAGCACTAAGTGCCTGTAAGATTACTTCGAGTCTTGTATTGCAATGCAGGGAGGCTCTGGATTGCCTCGGTATCGTTAATGGTGGGTACCGGGGCACGCTGGGATTAGGGGCGGACACTCTGGCGAAGACAGGATCAGCCAGCAAGCTCGTTGGTCCTGAGCCAGCTCTAGGAGTGACCGCGCATGGAGCTAGGAGGAAAATAGAGACGTGGGTTGCAAGACAACACTTTCAGAAATATCTCCAGACATCTCCGCCAGGCACGGGAACTCATTGAAGGGCCCAGTGCTAAGGATGGACGTTTCTGCCTATCTCTGGATAGAGCCAACCTAAGGTTGCTGGCGGGACTGTTGTCTGGCCATAACACGTTAAGGCGCCACCTGCACGTGATGGGGGTGGCTGAGGATCCCTTGTGTGAACGCTGCGGGGTAGAGGAAGAGACCTCGGCGCACGTTTTGTGTCGCTGTGAAGCTCTGAGCTACTATAAGCAGACTATACTGGGGTCCATTACTTTGGACCCTCAAGACGTCAAGGAGCTTGGACTCAAGGCGAATCTCAACTTTGCTAAAAGGCGAGGCTTGTGATCTAAGGAATGTAGAGGTGTATAAGGGCCCGCTTAAGCGGCCTATGCACTGGCTCCTTATGGTGGCCGGAATGCCTCTAATTTCAAGATTCACTCAAGGTGCCGATGGCATCCGTGGTCTCGTACTCGAGTTGCTAATCCACGAGGTGCTTCTATTTCTTTCTAACATACATATCGCACGCTTCTCGCACTTCTCTCTCGTACACATTACGACGTCACTGGCATTTGGTTTTCAGTGTATAGGCTTCATCTGCGAAAATACAGGGTCTCTTCAAAGTTGGAGTTTTCCTTTACACGACGTGTAGATCTTGAGAAAATAAGCGGTTTTTATTAGTAGCATATACACCAAAGTCTTAAGTGAACCGAAATTTTGGGCTCCACAAACTCAATCAAACCCGAACCAAAATTAAGGACGTACGGCTACGATGTAAATACGGATTTTACGACAGAGCCGTACTTGGAATCCCAATCAAACTGAACAGTGAGTACTTTTTCATTTATTTTTTTTTACTTGTTCGCTCACGTTTGATCACACATTTGCTTTGATATATCTAGTCTAGTTGTGTCTGAAAAGGAAAACAGTAACACCCTGTAAATAGGGTGTTTAAAAATATCTCCTAAAATACGTTTCCTTAAAGAAAAATGTTGTAGAACAAAGTTATAAGGTTTGAAAGGATTCATCCATTGGTGATCTTGAGCATGACCTTGACTATGACCTTCAAGATGATTTGAAGGTCAAACAGTTTTCTTAAATGGAAACCCCTGTTTTTGATACCGGAAATGTATACAGCGGGAAGTTTTACGTTAAATATGTCATTGCACATGATCTTCATGGATATTTGAGGGTGTACAGAAAGTAGGAAGAGGACAAAATATTTCGGGACATACATTTCATAAAAAAAAGTCCACTAAAATAGTAAGATTAAGGAAAAAACCTTATGTTCAACTATGTTCATGACCTTGACTATGACCATCATGGTAAGCTGAAGATCAAATAAATTTTCAACAGGAAACATCTACTTTAAATTCCTGAAATGCAAATTACCATTGAACGTCGTCACCATGACCTTCAAGGTCATTTCAAGATCATATAATTTTTCAAGTTAATTCCTTGCTTTTTGCCGATGACATAAAAAGCGAAACGTTCAAATTAATTTATTGTTGCAACAAAATGTTGGATAAAAAATGTGAATTGCCATTACTTTGGTATTGCATTTCTTTCCACGAAACCAATCTCCTTCACAATAATGCAAAACCAATGATATTTCTTTCCACGCGGGCTAGATTAGTATAGTAACTGATACATAATAATTTATCTCTCCATTCCTAGCTCTATGTATAGCATGTTTATCAGATTTTTTCATCATTTAGCAAATCTTTATGGATTAGAAGCGTTAAAGCTGTGTGGTAACACTATGAATATTTGATATATTTACCCTACTGCTGATTAGCATGGACTCATCGTCCCTGATTCAAGCTTGATGCTGCCCAAGACCTCAAAAAAACGAACTAAACAGAACACTAAATAGCTCTTTGATAAACCTTCTCTAGCCATCTCTCATCTCTACTTATTAATCAAATCCAAGCGAATAACCAAAATTTCTGTGTTATGTGCCGCGGTTATAATATGGTTCAAGATGACACACGGGTTGATGACGTCAGTTACACGAATCGCTTGAACGCGTTGGTTTTAACCGCGGTTTTGTTGCAAGTTGTTTATTTTAGAAAAGCGCGTATATAATCTCTGATTATTTTTATTATCACTTAATAATCGGTGCTTTTTCGTCTACAACTGTATATGGAAAGTTTAAATAAGAAACCTTTCATAATATTCATGGGAGAAATGTTTCTTTCAGATTTTTTTTAATGATGGAACCATGGCTTTGTAGCTATGATAACTTTCAATTCTCTAAATTTTTCCGCATGTCAAAGAAAACATGTATTGATTCAGCAGAAATGATGAAAAAAGAAATTAGCAAAACCGTATACAGGTGGATATCATCTAGTGAGTTTATATGGCCATATTTTAATATTCTTGTGGTATATGGCTACACAGGATACTTTGTTAATCATAGGAACTACATTTAAAGTGTCCCCAACAACCGTAATGAGTATAACTAATAAGGTGCTCCACTTTATGGTAAAACAGAAGTCGGCCTGTATCAATTTTCTCAAAAATTGTACAATAAAAATATCCAATACCCGGCAAAATTCTAACTTGTCACATTTCAAATAATAACCAGAAATATAAAACTACTCTTGAGTTGGGTAAATTCCACAATTTTGCGGTGATAACTATGACATATAACAGCTGATTCGTGACGTCACGGATCTTATAACCAAACTGATAACTACACTCGCTTGAACGGATTGGTAAATACCAAGCCAAAATGGTAAATACCATTTCCATTTGGTTATCCGCTTGAATTTGATTATTGTCTTATTGACGTTTTACGTTGACAATGACAAATGTCATTACCGTTTGTTTGAGGTTAGGTTTGATCAAAAGGCGTTTGCAAACATTTTTAGAAATTGCACCTCAAATAAATTAAATTTGTCTGCACACAGAGACCTAATATACACATTCAAGATGCCGCGAATTATGATAAAGGGTGGTGTATGGAGGAACACTGAGGTAAGTTTGCAGATACTACAGTGAAGTGTTGGAGCCTATTCCTGTAATATTTTTAGGATGAAATCCTTAAAGCGGCTGTAATGAAATATGGCAAAAATCAGTGGTCCAGAATTGCCTCATTGCTTCATCGAAAATCAGCTAAACAATGCAAAGCGCGATGGTTTGAATGGTTGGATCCCAGTATCAAGAAAACTGAATGGTCACGGGAAGAGGATGAAAAACTACTACATTTGGCCAAGCTGATGCCGACTCAGTGGAGAACCATAGCTCCTATCATTGGCAGAACCGCTGCTCAATGTTTGGAGAGATATGAGTATTTACTGTAAGTATTCACATAATGATTAAACATATAGATGATATTTGAAACTCATGGATTTTAAGAATGTTTATCCTCATTCTACATCGTAAAAAAAGAGAAAAAAGAACATGTTAAGAGCAAATCGGGTTCTGTGGCAACTTTCAAGGAACTCTTCAGGTCTAAGCCTCTACACAAATATACCAGTCACCTACATTTTATATGAAACGGATGTTATGTTCATATGGGAAAACACCATTTTTCCCACATGAACAAATACCAGATAGTTACATTTGTTGTGATTAGGCTCACCATTTCATATGATGTCCAGAGTGCTTTTAAAATGCAAATTGTTCTGGCAAATTATGCTGTTTAAATATCACTTCACTCAATTGGATGAAACTAGTGTTTTCTCATATTTTGATCTCATGTTTTATCTGTAATCTCCTTAATTTTAGTTTAAAAAGGTAGTAAAAAAACATGCTTTAATGCCAAGTCAAACTAAAAAAATAGAAAAGTATAGGAGAGTTTGTATTACTGCAACAGAAAGTCCAACAATCAAGTATGACTAATTAACTTGGATTAAGATCAACATAAAAATTACAATATTAACAAAAAATTCAATTACAGTGAAAAAACGGGGTATTCAATAAAAATATAAAATTGGAGTTATTATGAAAATATAGTTAATTGTTTCATACTATAATTGATTTTTTTGTTAATATCTTAACTTTTCATTGATCTTATTCTAAATCAATTTGTTAGTCTTTGTATTGCAGTAACAGAAACTAATTTCTACTTTTCAGTTCGATTGGCCATTAAAGCATGTTTTTTATTAAAAAGTACATATAATCAAGAGCTTTGATTTTGGTATATTTTATATTTGACTATAAATCTAAATTTACTTCCAAATTTTTCACAAATTTCCGAATTTTCCAATTATTTACCAAATTTCCAATCCAGATTTGCCCAAAAATATCAAATAGAAATTCTTTTCCAAGATTGTTGTATTGTATTATCAGCCCTTGATCCCTGTGCAAATTATCGAGTTCATCAGTCTTCTTGAAATTGGTGAAAATTAGGCTTAAAGATTCTGTTACATATATATGGGCAAGCTAATAAAAGTGTTTTAATAACTTGCCAGAACAGATATTTTGTTGTAATAACTTTGATTTTAATATAAAAAAAATAACTTATTTGTAATATTTCTTGAGTCCAATTATAATCCCACAATCCCGACTTTTTGAAAATTTTCCATACAACATGCATGTGTAGAATGTTGAACTTCAAAAAAGACCAAAACCAGAATAAACACTTTCTTCTATAGTTTTATTGATCAGTGAATAAATCAAGGGGACACATGATGAGATGTCTAATACACTTAAGAAACAACATTTTCATGATTAAAAAAACTTTGTCATTCATTAGCAAAATGTTTAGTCAAGTAGATGGATATGATAAATATTTCTAAAACAATATTCAAGCATTTTGCTGATTAAATATTGAATATCAATCCATATCAATAATTATTGAAGCCAATGGCTCACAAAATTTAGATCAATTTAAAAATTGTCATACTTCATGTGATTTTTATTATTGTATAAAATCATAAAAACTGTGTTATTGCAGTGACCAAGCTCAGAAAAAAGAAGAGGGTGAAGATGCTGCAGATGATCCAAGAAAACTTAAACCTGGTGAAATTGATCCCAATCCTGAAACTAAACCTGCCAGGCCTGATCCTAAGGATATGGATGAAGATGGTATGTTTAAGTAATTACACCTATTCTAATTTTTCTTTACCGATTGATCTAAGGACCTTTCGCGTGTTAAACATGGTATTGGAGGCTTTTTCATCACAACCTTTCTCCTAATTTAATTCAGGGAATTTAGTATGTGGTTATTTCTCTAAAGCATCATGTTTGACCATGGATATTAGTCACTCTTTTGCTTGACAGAGACACATACATTGATGAATATCTTGATTTGACTAGTAGCTTCAATAATTGCCTATGAGATAAATATCCATCATTGTGAGTAGACGAATCAAATCACGTTTTTTTAATTATTTCTTCAGAACTGGAGATGCTGTCTGAGGCTAGAGCTAGATTGGCGAATACTCAGGGGAAAAAGGCGAAACGGAAAGCGCGCGAAAAGCAGTTAGAAGAAGCACGCCGATTGGCTGCTCTGCAGAAAAGGCGCGAATTGCGTGCCGCTGGGATAGAAGTGGCTCAGAGGAGAAAGAAAAAGAGAGGTGTTGATTACAATGCAGAGATACCTTTTGAAAAGCGCCCAGCTCTAGGCTTCTATGACACGTCAAACGAGGCGCTGGATCCTATGGCGCCCGATTTCTCGCGGATGCGGCAGCAGCATCTCGATGGAGAATTGCGGAGCGAGCAGGAAGAGGTAATCATAATCATAATGTAGGTTTTACTTAAGCAGTCTCATGTGAACATGTAGTTTTTACTTATCTTAAAAGACAAGGAAAACAAAGTAGTGGCGAAAAAAGGGCCAAAAACGAAAAATAGAAATCGGTTAAACTTCGCTTTTCGACGTTTCAGGGGATCCTGATTATTTTTGAAAAAGTTTTAAGGCTAAAAATTGGAGCGACTTGCCCTTAAAATTTGGAAGCTATTTCCAGTCTACCGGTCGTACATGGCGGGCGTCACGGGGTTATTAAAAAATATTGCATCTTTGGTACTCGATCTGAGATACCAATAAAAGAAGGTATAATAGCAAGCGGTGCGGCGACGTTATGTTTGGAGTATAATTCAATTAGGTGATGTCATCATGTAATATTATACACGATGTGTATTCAATGATTAATTAGTGCAAGGTCTAAAAAGCGAGAAAAGCGGCAACGCGCGATATCGAGCACGCTGCTGCAGCTCGGTCGGCGCTGGCAGTCGAGTGACGGCGCGTCATCTGAGGAGACAGCGTTGCCGTTCTTTAGCCTAATGCGTAATCTTTCGTAGCACAACCTATATAGTAAACGTCCAAATAGTGCATTGCTGGTTCTGACAAGACGTTTTAGCGGTGCGGGAAGTATAGAGTCAATCAATGTTTTATTTTTAGTACGTGTTCCTCAAGCAAATAATGCTATGGCGTATTGTAGGTCTCCTCGGTTACTAAATAATAATAATACTTTTTCTAGCTGTATTATAGACGATTATCACGACACCATTTTTCTGAGCTAAAATGTCTGACCTCAAATCTTTTCCTTTTTGTTTATAGTAGATAGTACGTGGTTTAATGTATTGTGTTGGAAAGTACTGTGTAAGACGAACATTTGTCAGGTTTGGTTATACATCTCCATCAGTTCTTTATTAGTTTACTTTCTCCATGTACCGTCGTTGTGTTTTGTGTCCCCATATATTTTGCGTAAAATTTTTCTTTCCCAGCGTTCTAATTTCTGTAGTTTTTTCTAACTTAACACCCAAGCTTCACTGCTGTAAAGTACTGATGGTTGGATAATCCATTCATATATCCTTTCCTTTATTTTCCTTGATATCCTCCGAGAGTTTATCATCTTGCTTAAAGCCCTCATTGCTTTACTCGCTTCTGCTGCTTTATTTATTATTATGACCCCTAGATATTCAAATTGATTCACCTTCTCGAAACAGTTTTCTCTGCAACTACTTTTTATTGATAACTTTCTTTCGTCGTTTCCTCTCATTTCTAGGTATTTTGCTTTGACTTCATTTATATGAAGCCCAAAACGTTTGGCAGTTTCTTCTAACCTTCTAAACGTCTTTTCAAGTTCCGATTTGGATCTGGTTATTATTGCTATATCATCGGCATAAGCAATCAACTGATGTTTTCTATAGTAAACAACTCCGTCGGTTTGTATACCACAATCACGCAAAATAGCTTCCAGCGTAAAGTTAAAAAATGTTATAGATAGCAGGTCTCCTGGTCAGATTTTCCAATGTCCGTGCTAGGCTCGAGCAGTTGATGTTTTTGTTCTTTTTTCTGTGAGCCAATGCTGATACAAACCTACAATAATTTTGTAATTTCTGTCCAAATTCAGTTTAACTACATGTGACGTGCACCACATATAACAGATGATTAGATAAATTGGTTAATGTTAATAGTTCATTTTGTCAAGGTCGGTCTGCAGGACAGTTAAAAAAAATCGGTGAACCGATTCAACTAAATCGATTCATTTCGATGGCAATGAATAGACGCTATTTTCTATCGGAACTGGAAAAAATTCTGGGATAGACCAACAAAAAATGCTAAAATATTTTTTACAAATATGTATGGTATTTAGCCAGCATGGCGCAACGAAAAAAATCGATTCCACAAAATAATGACTATTGAAAAATAGTATTTAAAATGGCAAAACGAAAAACAACTGATTTTTAATATGGTAATATTTCAACTGAATGTGCTGTATATGTTGATAGATGTGAGTAGAATATAAAAGTCTTATAACTGCTGAATTTACTAACCAAAGGAGGATAGACAGAAATATATGACTCAAAATGGCCGCACAACCTGGAAGGCAGGGAAGTCATGGAAATGTTGTTGGAAATAAAATTGGTTTGGAAAGTATGGGAATTTAAAGATAGGGAAAATCATAGCTCATTAACTATCCGTACTGTTTGTTTCAAATTTCGCGTCTTTTGTCTCTGTTATATCTGGAAGTCAGCTCATTAAATCATAATTGATTGCTGTTAACATAACTTGTTGAAAACACTAAAATCGTCTTGGAGATTTGGTCGATTGTCATTTGTTGTCATAGAAATTGAGGGTTTTTTAATGAATCGGATCGTTTCTGTATGAGCTGCTTAACAGTGCACGGGGGTAGAGTATTTTGTTGCACTTACAATATGTTTTGTCAATATATGTATTAGAAAAAACAGAATATCATATTAAAAATATATTTATATGAGTGGCTATTTAATACTGGTGTATGATGTAATTTATAAAAAAAACTATCATATAAATATCTTGTTCACATTGCTAATCTACGATGCAAATCAATTTATTGTAACTACTATGTTATATGGGTATGTTATGTATTAGAATGATAGCAACACAAAAGGATATTTTCCTTTTGTGGTATAACAGTTTATTTTCTTTTTGTGGTATAACAATTTATCCACAACTTGTGATTGATGTGAATAAATTATTATTATTATTATTATTAATACCAATATACATCTACTGAATTGAAAAAAGGTAGAAAATCGAAAATAATCTTTTTGTGTGTTTCTAGGGTTCTCATTATACAATTTTGTGGAGTGGTAAAAAATGATACTAATGACCATCTGCGACCTTAAGTTTTTATTACTCTGAAAACGCGTATTTCTCTGGTCAATCGAAACCACATGTGTTGAAAAAATGTTCTTGACCAGAGAAATATGGGGGATGATCGACTTGAAAACAACAGGATAAGTTCCGGATGTTACATTAATTTCTGCTTGTTACAGTTTCCTCCGATTAGTAATATACTTAGAAACAGACAATAAACTACATGATTACATTTTACATTGTGAACCACTGCAATATTTGCAGAAGAATTATTCTTGTCGCTAATGATCGCAAATGTGTAGTAAGTACCGAGTCAATCCAAGTGACTTAATTTTTTGCTATACTGCTCATGTTATCATGTTATAAAAATATTTAATAATAGCTGTAGTACTGAATATTGAATTATTTATTCCAGAGGGAACGCAGAAAGGACAAGCAGAAGCTGAAACAGCAGAAGGAGAATGACATCCCACAAGCGATGCTGCAGAACAAGGAACCGGCTAGGAAGCGTTCAAAGCTAGTGCTGCCTAGCCCGCAGATCACCGATGAGGAGATGCACCAGGTGGTGAAGCTTGGCCGGGCCAGTGAGGTAGCCAAGGAAGTGGCGGCCGAGAGCGGTGTCCAGACTACAGACGCGCTTCTCAACGATTACACTGTCACGCCGCATGCCACTGCCACGCCGAGGACTCCAGCTCCTCAGACTGACAGGTGAGATCTATGGTTACTATCTTATGTTATACACATGCAGACTGCTTACAGAATTTTGAGGAGTATAATGTTTCAAAACCCAGTAATGTGGCAGTTACTTCTGTTATTGAGGTGAATTCCTCATATATTACGTACTTTGCGAATCATGTCATGCAGGATAGTTGACCTCAAGCTTCACGCCGTACTTATGGTAATTTGACGTTTGGGCGTTTGATAGCAAAGCAACTTCCGTGCAATTTGTAAAAGCCACAAGTTACGCAATAAGTCATTCAGACTTCCTATTGTCTTGTAGTCCTGATAGATTGGAAGAAATATTCGGAAATAAACGACCTGGAGAGACAGTTGTGTTGTTGGTTTTACTTAGGTTATATGAATAATAAGTGGAAGTAGATCCTAAAGTTGTGACCATTACTAATATTGTCCATATGCAGTTTTCTTCTTCTTGCTCCTTTATTAATAGGCTCATGCCTGTTTTACTTCGGTTTTTAGCCTCAATTGATGTTGTCTGACCATCTTTTCCTCGGTCGTCCCATTGATCCATTTGACGATTTGTCTCTTGATATTCGTACTGTTCTATTTTCTGTCATTCTTTCTATGTGTTGATTCCATTATATTTTTCTTCTTTTGGTCCACAGGTTTATTTCCTCTATACCACATCTCGCTCGTATTTCCTCAATTCTTACTCTGTCTCTTAGAGTTTGGTTTGTTATTTTTCGTAAGACTTTCATTTCTGCTGTTTCCAATAATCTTTGTGTGTTCGCGGTATCTGCTCTTGTTTCCTCTGTGTACTTCATTATCGGTCTTATTGTTGATTCATATATCCATGTTTTCGTTTCCGTTGTGAGGTATTTGTTTCTCCAGATTGTATTGTTGAGACATCCTGCTGCTCTGTTCGCCATGTTCACTTGTTTTTGTACTTCTTCCACTTTTCCATAGCTTGACAGTTTGATTCCCAAGTATTCCGTTTCCATCTTTTGTTCTATTATTTTGTTATTTACGACCAGTTTACATCGTCTCAGTTTCGCTGGTATTACTATCGATTTAGTTTTCTCTGTTGAAATCACCATGTTCTATGTGAGCGCCGTATCTTCGAATTCTTTAATTAATCTTTGTAGGTCATCTTCATTTTCGGCTATTATTATGGCGTCGTCGGCGTAGCATATTATCTGCATTTCCTTTTCTTCCATTCTATATGCTCTTCTTTTTTTTAACTTTCTTTATGATTTCATCCATTATTAGATTAAATATTAGCGGGCTCAGCGAATCTCCTTGTCTAATGCCAGTTTCATACTTGATAGGTTGCGAGAGTTTTCCTTTACATCTTACCATAGCTATGTTATCTTTATATATATTCTCAATAGTTTTTACTGAATCCAGTGGTATTCCCCTGTCATATAATAAATATTCGTCCCGAATTCTCACTCTATCAAACGCTTTCTTCAAATCTATCAGGCACATATATGCTGGTTTGTTGTATTCCAGCGACTTTTATTTGTCTTATTACAAAAACTGCATCCGTGCATGATCTTCCTGTCCGGAATCCTTGCTGTTCCTCTTGCAGAGTTACTCGTTCGTTTATTTTTGTCGCTATTATTCTTGTTGTCAATTTGAGTGTTGTATTTAACAGATTTATTGCTCGATAATTATTGGGGTCTTTCTTATATCCTTTCTTGAAGAACATCAGCATGATCCCTCTCCTCGATTCCATATGCAGTTTTGAGATAGTTAATAACTAGTTGAATATATCCTTATCGTTTATTGATCATTTCTCAAATATGAGGGTTGATCCCTAAGCTGGACCCCTGGGCGCCTTGCAGTAAAGCTACATTTAATTTACATGTTTTATTCCTAAACTCAATCTTCTCTAACACCGGTGTTTCAGCATTTCAGTAGCATCCTGGTAAAAATGTTCTATTGCGGAAAAACACTTCTTTAGTAACTTGAGAATTCCTGTTCTCGTAATTGTTGTTTTAATTTTGGAGATATGAATTACAGGTCTCAACTGGCGACTGTGGTGGGTAATCTATCAATTCAAAGCCTGCTTGGTGTGGCACAGTCATAGTAATGGCTATGGAGCTACGGCTCTTTTTAAATTAAGTTTGCACAATCTGTCTCTGTAATTTTACATGTCTGTCTTAGAACACCAAGTTATCCACTTTTTGCACTGCCATGCTGGTTTTCACAAGATGTATTTCTAAATTTGAAATCGCGACACCAGCGTTTGACGAAAGCATATGAAGCTGTATACTTACAAAGAGTCGCTAGAATATTTTGATGAATCTCAGCGGGCGCCGTACTTTTTTTCATTTTTTTATTACGGGTCTTGGCAGGATTGATTAAAATATATTCTAGAGAAAAATGACAATCAGAACAAAGGTGTAAGATTTGAAAGGGACATCTAACCTTGAACGTAACCTTAACTATGACCTTTGAGGTCATTTGATGGTCAAAACAACTGTTCTTGACATCGGAAATATGAAGAGCGCGACCTTTCGCGCTGGAGTATGTCTTTGCCCATGACCTTGACCATGACCTTCAAGGGTATTTCATGATGTCCAAAAAGCATGGAAAGAACAAAATATCACAAGTATGTTTCGTAGAGAAAAATGTAGTGAAGGTCAAGACTGTTTTATTATTTGGAATCCCCTATTTTTGACTGCGGAAATTTAAAGACGTTATGTTCAAGTATGTCCATGACCTTAACTATGAAGATCAAATAAATGAAGTGGATTATATTTAATTCCTGAATTGCAAATTGCGGACAATTTTAAGTTCAAGATCCTTGCCAAAGAACTTAACCATGACCTTTAAGGTCATTTGAAGGACAGATAAATTTTTAAGTCACTCCTTGCTGATTGCGAAAGAGCAACATTTTATGGTCAAAGCCACCATTATGTACTTACATTACTATGATCTTCAAGGTTATTTGGAGGTCAAATGAATTTTTTGATGTGATACTCGTATTCTTACTTCCAGAACAGTAATTTTACGTCCCGCTAAATTTTTGATCATCGTAACACCTTAAGGGTTGTAATAACGGTTACATTCGAGGACACCATTAGATGAGCCTTTTTAACCTTGCAACTTTGCTCTGCAACCTTTTTGTTTAGTAACGGTATTTTTCGGTATATTTTGACGCAACCATGATTGTATAAATTCAATATTTTTCTCGCCCCCGAAGATCATATGTTTTAATCTCAACAACATTCATCGAATAAAAATTTACACGATCAGGGGCGGAGGATAAGGGTCATCTTTCGTATGTCTCTTTCGATAAAAAATACTGTTAATCTTTATTATAATTGATAGAAGCGGCAGTTTACATTATTCATAGGGGTTGCTTAAGAATGAGTAAATTTTACTTATGCTCAAATTCTTACTAGGTGAGGTTAAATCATGTTTGCTGAATACCTCCTGAGGTTGAAATACATATAAAGATACGATTATTACTAATACTAATATTTATGTGTTATGCCTTTTGTTTTCATATAGTATTCAGGCTTGATACGTCTATGACTTTTAAATTGCAGAATTCTTCAAGAAGCTCAGAACATGATGGCACTGACGCACGTGGACACTCCGTTGAAAGGAGGTTTGAACACTCCTCTGCATAACTCTGACTTCAGTGGGGTGATGCCACAAACCCTAACTGTCGCTACACCAAATACAGTATTGGCCACGCCCTTTAGATCTTCAAGAAGTGATGGAGGAGCCACACCAGGTTTATATTATTTTTACCATTATTTGAATTCATATCATAAGCCTAAGTAAAATGAAAGCAATCAGAGTAGGGTTTTGTGTCTCGAATCTAAATTAACCCAGATTACGTCATTTCATATTTTATTTGAAGGAAAAAAACAATTTTAGATCACAATATTAAATATGTATTTTTCATTATTTTCTCATACGAACCAAAAGCTTTGTATGGGCTACTTCGAATGGTTCCTTCCTGAGAATGGGAGGTTATATTCTCCAGCAAGCCAATGTATTTACGGTATTTGCTAAGAACTTTTTTTTGATAAATTCAGCGTTTACTGTAAGGTGTTCTATTTGAAGAGTTCAACAGTGGCAATGTTAAACTGAAACTAAACGGATTAACGGTTGTATTTAATTGTTTCATTCATTTTCCTTTGTATGAATGTATAACAACTTGAAAGTATTGTGTCAACATTTCGAATCGATCGGATCAAATTTGACAGTTATTGGGATTTAAGTGTTGCTCCAAACTGATGTTCTTGTCTCTAATTTATTCGAATTGTCTATGTTCTCTTGATAGATCTATATATATAAAATAGGAAAATAATCATTGACATCATCGACATTGGATATTTGAACCAACATACAAGTTTCATTTTTCTGAAGTTGTGAGAAATTATTTCATCTTATTGACCTTGATCTTTAAGCCTGAATTATAATCTAAAAGAAAATCTATGGGATGTTCTTGGTAGAACATTATAGAAGACATGTAGCATGTAGCCTGAACCGTTTGGTAAACATAGCGTAATTAACAATTTTCCACTTGACTCTCTGTTCATTGTTTCACAATGTTTAATAGTTTTCAATGGCGCTTAAAAAAATATGTAATGAAAAACTGATTCGGAAACACAATCTCACCTCTAGGCAGTCCTGTTTTAAGGTTTCACCAAATTTGATAGTGTTTGATGTATTGTGCTACTTGTTACAAATACATATAGTTGCGACACTGTATATATATAACTTTTTTTTCTATGCAAATACTATAAATATATCCGCTTACTGGTGAATATTTCCGTGTGTCAATAAAAAACTTGGAGTGCTCCGAACAAAAATATCCTTCAACAAATTTCATTATTATTTTATTGGAAGTGCGGTAATTTTCTTGATCAGTGTATTGTTCACCACAGAGATAAATACATATTTATTTCCAAAAATAGAAAACATGTATACCAACTTACATAATTTGTCTTCGTTTGCAGGTAGCACGCCAGGATTTGCGACACCGCGTGCCGGTGCCACCGCCCAATCAGGTGCCGTGACACCTTCCGTACGTGACAAGTTGAACATCAATCCGGAAGAGGGCGTTGTAGCGGTGGCAGACACGCCTTCCGCGCATCGCGCTCTTCAGGATGCAACGCGAGACCAGCTGCGTAGAGGACTTGGGCAGCTGCCTCAACCCAAGAACGACTACGAAATCGTAGTTCCGGAGCAAGATGGAACGCTTGACGATGCCGAGCAGAATCAACAAGAGCAGATGGTAAGTTATCATTTTATTTTTTCGTTCGTTATTGCTAAGGGGAAGGGTTGGCTTCCGGCAATATCAGCTGAAAAACGGCTACAAGGTAGCTACAAAACAAAGCTGGAGGAGTGTGTGGTCGTTCTCCGCAATGCCTTCCCCCTAAAGGGAATCATATATTGAACAAACTTCTTCAGAACATGTATTAATGCACGTGGTCCGATGGTATAAGAAAAAACTTACCGCTGAAGATTAAAATCCCATAAGAAAATGGACGGAGTAGCACCCAAACCAAAACAACTAAACGTAAGGTGCAATATAAACGGATACTACTCCACAAACTGGTGTTTGGCACCTAACATCCCAGAAGCTGGTGGCTAAACAAATGACGCCCACACCACAATCTCAGGAGGAAAGTGACTGACTCTATGAAATTTACCAAAAGAAAATCATTGAAAAGGGTTTGGCCTGGGAATGGGCACTCTACCATTAATAAAGAGAAAATCAAATTATTAGTAAGTGATCAAAATAGTAAAAAAAAGGTAACGAGATTTTGGCACGTGACACTATATGAAACTACACAAAATCAAGTGACCATTTTTTTCTGTAACTGCACGAGATACTAAGAAAATATATTTTATTGAGCCTCAAATGCCAACCAAGGAATCGTCCGATATAATTTAGTTGGATACCGTTAGAATGTGATCGTACATTTTGTCAAACTGTCATTGTCAGAGAATAACGATTCTCCTAACATTCATGGCAAAAGTAGTGTTGTAGCATTTTAAACACAGTGCATAGTTGAACTTATTATGTCACGCTAGGAATTATTACGTCACAGCTTTGGCGAATTTACGTTTGAACTTTGGAGGCTTTGCTGCTTCTTGTTCATAGCAAAAAGTGCAAATATTGATATTCAGTCGAAACAAAAAAATTGGGAAACAACCCATTATTAACCTTGAAATATTGTCCTAATAATATAACCTTGTGTTTGCAGGTAGAAGATCAGGCTGTAATTGATCAAAGACTGTTGGAAGAACAAAAAGCAAGAGAAGCTAGAGAGCTGGCGAAGCGATCGCAAGTTATCCAAAGGGAGCTTCCGAGACCTGCCGATGTCAATTTATCTGTCCTCAGACCGCCTCATGAAAGCTATTCGCTCACGGAATTGCAGAAGGCAGAAGAACAGATAAAAACAGAGATGGTGACTATGTTGCAGTATGATAATTTGAAAAATCCAGTGCCCACTCAAAGCAAGAGGTCTACATTGTCACAAGCTCAACAGCTAGCCTATTTGGAACAGCATCCTTATGAAGATTTCGAACCCAATGATTTGGATACCGCAAAGAATTTGTTGAAGAAAGAAATGGAATTTGTTAAGCACGGTAGATTTATGTTATTTTTTTTTTTGAAATATATCAAGTCACTTTATTTTCTAATAGAGTGTGTGATTTTAAGCTTTACAGAAAATACAACTGAGTCAGATTCCATTTTTGAAGTTGAAGTTGTCTACTCAAACAAACACCATAACCATTAAGTATTCATCATACAGTTTTATATTCGTAATATTAAATATGCATATTGTTTTTCATACGAAGCTGCAGACAAGCATAGATCATATTATTACATCAAAATTCTCATAATTTTGCAACTAATTTCTACATAAAAAAAGTAGGTGAAATCCACACATGAATGCTGATGTAATTTTTTTTCCTTTTGCCTGGAAACTCCTTTAATAACCCCCTATCATAATTTAAAAACTTTGTCTTTTATACATTCCAATTTTTAAATAACTTTTAAGAGTAATATAGTGATGGGTAGTAGTCGTGGTATGGGTAGGATTTTTTTAAGGGTCTGGTGTATACTCATACCTTGAGACCTTCTTATTGTATGAATTGCTTATTTGCTTGACCTCCTCGGGATGAGAAAAAGTTTTCAAACACCAAATGAGAAGAGCAAGGCGGCCTTTTTACTCTGGTTTCAATTGACGCTTGATGCGGAATGTGGGTTCTGTCGACATAAGAACCAAAATGAATAGGCTCCTGCAATCCTTGAGGAACATATTGAAATAAGAAAATATAAAAGTCAACGACTATGTGAGGCTTCAGATCAAAGAAGGCAGATTCCTTCACGGAGAAAGTAATTTGACAGTTCCTTTCACTTACATTTGCCAAAACATAACAGGGAGGCATAATGTAAATGAAATATACATAAAAGTAAGATTTTTTTATGAAGTAGTTAATGTACTTAATTAATCATTCAATATCTTTGTCCTGTGGTAGGGATGAACCACGGCGATCTGCCTCTGGAAGCCTACACGCAAGTATGGCAGGAATGTCTGGGGCAAGTACTCTTCCTTGCTAACCAGAACAGATACACGCGTGCCAACCTGGCCAGCAAGAAAGACCGTCTAGAATCGGCCGAGCGCAGATTGGAACAGAACAGAGCACATATGGCACGAGAGGCTAAAAGGGCCGCCAAGATGGAGAAGAAATTGAAGATTATCACCGGCGGCTACCAGTCCAGGGCACAGGCGCTAATCAAGCAGTTGCACGATATGTTCGAGAGCATTGAACAAGCCGAGCTGGACTTTAATACGTTTAGGTTCTTGCAGGAACAAGAGAGGGTTGCACTGCCTAGGAGGATACAGGTGATTTTCATTATATATATTTCATAAAATCTTATATTGCCTTTTGCTATTATTCCACAGTTAGTAATTTATATTAGTACGTTCAGTACAGTCATCTAACATATTATTGATATGACGTTTTGGTACGCATATTTCCTCAAAATGACGACACAAGCCTGCCAATATATTTATACGGGATGTTTCGTGAGGAAATGGACATATTGAAATGGTAGGTAGTATGGACTAAGACCTTTTCATACTTGAAAATATGATATATTTATATTAGGATAGTTTCTCTTCTCTTTTGTGTTTTGTATAGTATTCTTTGTATTTTCCCTATATTTTCCGCGAGAAAACTCTATTACATATTTTCTCAACAGGTGTAGAACTGAAATGTACACTCCGCAAATATTATGTCCGTGAAAGATTGTTCAAACACATGATTCAATTAGAAGAAAGACTCTTCCTGTAACTTTATATCTAATATGTTACTCTCTCGTACGCATAAGGAAATACTAACCCACAAAGGACGGCTACTGGAAATAGGGTTTTCTTGAATAACTTTTGAATTACGCAGTATTATTCAAGGAAATGTTGATATAATTTATCCAACGAACCTAGGGAGTAATAAAACAAGTGACAGGGCAGCCCAATTTACACCGCACAACTACCTGCAAAAATGATGCCAGTGGCGTGTAGGTTTTAAAATTAATTGTGGTACCATTTAATTTATTTTCGCTGTTTCTTCTATCTTCTCATTACTTTCAAGGTGCTATAAGGTTTATTACTTTGGTATATTAAATATGCTGCCCAAGTTTATGATTCGTTAACTTTACATATTTTTTATATTACAAAAATAATTTTAGTACATGGGAAAAAATAAAGAAAACGGTTCAAAAATTAAATTCTTTTTTTAATATAATACCTAATAATGAATCTACCTGCATTCATTACCACGTTTATTTCGACGCCTCTATCTGGACAGACTTTAAAGTGGATTATCCCAATCATGCGTAATCCTGACCGTTTATTTCGGCAATCCACAAGTCAAACCAAAACCAATAACGTTAAACTCTTGGACAGAGGGTTCCTTCGAAATTAGCGGTCAGGATTAACACAGGATTGGGATAACCTACTTTGAAGTCTATCCGGATAGAGCCTTCGAAATAAACATGGTAATTATACAAGTATGTTTATTGATATAGGTCCTTCCTCATTATCCAGTAAATATACAAATTACCTTTATTAACTAATCGCTATCAATATCAGTATAATCTGAAGATTCTGAATCGTTTCCTAAGTTAATAATCCCTGGTTCAACCACTCTTTCCATACATTGGTCAGTTTTCCACATTTTTTTCTCAACATGTTCGATTGCTTTTTTAATTTTCCGGAGTTACATTTTGTACCGCGGTGTGAAAAAGCTGCTTTGCATTTACGATCTTGAAAGTTGTGTTTTTTCCGGAAAATTCGTTTTTAAATTTGCGCCCAAATTAACTCGATTGGGTTAAACTCGCAATGGTAAGGAGGTAGGCATACAATTGGTAGATTTAGCCATTTCGTCGATGACATACTTGTCAGCACTTTTATTGCCTTTGACCAGATTTAAAAGTTCTGCTTTGACCATATCGTTGTCAAATGGAATATTATGCCTTCGTAGCCATTCCTGAATTTCCCCTTTTCTGTTTCCACTGTTTGGTGCTTTATCAATACGGTATGAAGTATTGTCCATAACAATGACAGCGTTCTCTTCTAGACGGCTTATAATATTTTCAAATCATTCTGCAAATAAATTGGCATTCATATCCGCGTGGTAGTCTCCTGCTTGTTTTGATTTAAATACCAATAGTCCATCTTTCACGAAGCCATTATCAAATCCGATGTGTAAGATAATTAGCCGTTTTCCTTTCCCGTGGAAAGACCTTCCAGGAAGGCTTTCCGAGAATGCTCAACTGATGAATCCACCCATGCTTGCTAAAAATGCGCCCTGCATTGAGCCAAGTCTCGTCTAGGTAGTATATCTTCCTGCCTTCTTCTCTATACTTCCAGATTTCGCGTATCTACGTCTTCAACATATTATCTCGTCCTTTTCTTTCAAGATGCTATTTCGCTTCCTTCCTACAAAACTAAAAGTTACATTAAACCTTTAAATTCGTTAATTCCATGAACCATATTATACGAATAAAGAATTTCAGGTGATTCATCCTAACAAAATTGCAAATTTAGTTTAGTCATAAAGTATAGATAAAGAATGATAAAAAACATAAAAATCTCTAAACTATTTTTGTGTGTGAAAATTTCACGGAATTTTTTAGTTTTGTATTTTACTTTCAAGGAAAAATAAAAAACAAAATAAGTTTTTTGTACAACACTTACCGAAAATTAAGTTCCTTCATTAAAGCAACCAACGTCGATCTTTTGAAGTCTGGCAACTCGTCGTTTATTGATAACAAAATTTTGTCCAATGTGGGTGGTTCGCTGCGGAAGAAAAATTCGTGGATTTTTCTTCGGATTAATGCCTTAGTTTATTGTGAAACATCTTCCAAAACTACTCTGGCACTATGGTAACCTTTGGGAGGAGAACGACTGTTGCTTCTTTTGTGCTCTGCCAAAATTAAATACACTGCTAATTGATGCTCCTGAAAACAAACTAATACATTTTGCATGCATTAATAAATAATAAAAATAATTGAAAATAAGTTTTATAAATCAAAATGTGTGCAATAGAAGTAGCTATCATATTAGTGGGTAAGATATTTAACAGAAAATGACTAATTATTTAGAATAATACATCAAACTACAAAGCATTTTAAACTAAAGCTTAGTAATCACTTGGGCCTCACTTGACAGAATCTATGGAGAACAATTAAATTATTTAGATCGCCAGAGACGAACTAGCCCTGCTAGGGTGAGCTAAGACATTTAGCATAATGGAGTTTATAAAGTGGTATAATAAGAAGAGTAAAAAAATATTTTCACATTTATTTAAAAGTCTCATACATGCGGCGTTAAGTTAGTTTGTTCGAGTTATGCTGAAGCTTGCCTACTTGCCAGGTTTCACCTCCATCACTGTGTTATACTACTGCTGAATGAATACTAATTAATTTTTTTCAGTCACTTACCGAAGACGTAAACAGGCAGATGGAAAGGGAAAAAGGATTGCAGATGAAGTATAGCGAGTTGCAGACGCAAATAAGAGAGCTACAGGAGCAACACGAGCAAATGCAGGCTCAGTTCACACCAAGCGAGACGCAAGGATCACAGTCTGAGGTAGGAATGCGTCGATAACTAATGACATTTTCTTCGGCAAAAAAGGATTTCTAGATGGTACATAATGCCGCCATAGCTCTGTATCAGCTGTTACCAAAATATATTTTTAATGGCTCGTAGAGATTTATCAAATGTATATAAGTATGGCAGAAGAAATGCGAGCAAAATTTTAAACACCCAGAAGAGTTAACAATCTCTACCTATACTGATGAGAAAATGTTCAAAGTACAGGCTAATGTCTTCTTAAGCTGTTGCTGTCGGGTTGGATCAATATTAACGTTTTTATACATTTCTATATGAAAGGACCAATCTGCGGATAAATCAAGTCGTACCAGGAGCAATTGTCTGAAAAGCATGCACTATGTTTTGCTTATGTAAAATATTGTTTTAAACAAAAAGTGCTCTGCGACCCCATCAAGCGATATGTTGCCAACAATTTTTCAAGAACCCAATGGAAACACCCCTTGTCATACTTCGAACAGCATGTGTATCTGATATAAATGTTATCGAAGCCATCCTGAATTTTGGCGGGTTAAATGACGTAGGTAGTCCTGTTAGATGTCCGTTTTTATCAGTACATAGAACTCTTCTACTAATGTTTAACTGAACAGATTGATTGACAGAAGTCACGTGTGTGAAATATTTTATGGTGGGGTGCGTTTGTAAATTACTTGCTAATATAATACCGTTCACAGTGATCGAACTTAGATTGATAGATGAAATTTGACTCTAGAATTCTGTGTAACTTTATTTTTAGAACGCCTAAATTATTATAGAGTCATGTACTGACACTTGATGACAGCCCACTAATTTCTTACCACGTTTTCTGTGATTTTTATTTTATTTTAAGAATTGTAAGAATTCACGAACGCAGCCCTCTGCTGTATTAGTGGTCAGCAGATTCAGTTGATACCGAGCGATATTCAGCAGCTGAGCTAAGCCATACTTCACGCTGTGCTATCTCGTAGCAATTAGACTGGGTGCAACTGAACGTAACTAATCATATGTTGACATGTTTCGTAAATTTTGATTAAAACAGGGCATAAATCGTTTTAAAAAGTTTTTGTTTCTACGAAATATCATTAACGTTTACCTTAAATTGTTTTAAAGGGGATATATAAACGTAGTAATTCCGATGCAAGTAGAGCTGTAAGAGTATAACGTTTTGTTCAAGCGATCAGTGTTAGTTACTTAGTTATTTTATCTTATATCTCAGATGTTCAAAGACCGTCAAAATGAAGAAGAATATTCAGGGCAAGATGAACAGCCGTCGTCTAGCTACCCGGAGCAAACTGATCAGAACGGTGATGCCGTGACATCCACTACAAATGCGGAAAGCGACATGGAGGTGGATAGTTCCGATCAGACTGTTCAATAATACGAGGTGATTTAGCTTGCAAAATTAATGATTTGTTAAGTGTGCTGCTTTCAGGGTATACTTTGTGCGAATTTGCGTGAATGAGGATAATTACTATAGTCGGATATAATTCGTTCTTTCTGTCACTTCTGCTGGGTGTACATGTATCGCGGTCAGCGGTCGTTTCAAATAATTGCATTAGATTATGCCAACTGTTACGCATCTGTATCTCTTCAACATGCCAAGCGTCACAGCCATTTGTAACATGTTGCAGGCAAACAAATTTCATATCAGTAATTGGAAGTATTACGAATTTGGACTTTTGTTGCGTAACAATGTCTGAGGAATGTAAATTGACAGTTTGTTTTGTTTTATATAGGTAACACTTGAATTTTCAGTAAAAATCTGGCATTTTTCAATTTAACAATCTGAATATTGAAGGACACTGAAGTTATACGATATATCAAATTAGAGTTCACTGTATTGGTTCGAACTCTAGTATTCGACTGCCCCAAATTAAAATGAATTATTTATTTTTGCCATGCTCCAACAAGTTGACTAGAGATCCTAATTTGCAATATTTACTTCATTTCAGAATAGCAATCTTTATTATTTTTGTTTTGCATAAAAATTGGTTTTTGACATATCAGATCATCTAAAATCCCATACATTACGAAATGTCCATTATATATTGTCAGATCCATCGTATCGTTATCCACTCCACTTACATTTTATCATTTGTCCAATATTTCTGGGGAACATCATTAAATTTTGTAGGATGATTTCCACCACTTCCATTTCTGGGAGGCAAGTCCCCATGTGATGATGCGAATTGAATTCACACCGTGAGTAGATACAAAATGGTATTGGTCCTCTGCAATGACAATACGGAGGAAAATTTCAACTTGTAACCTTGTAACCTAGCAAAAATGTGTCTATATCTTCCCTCCATTATGCTAGGTTGCCAGCGGCTATTTTATGCTACTAGCTAAAGTACTGTTTGAATGCATAATGTTGTTTGTAACAAGAACTTTGAATGACTATACATAATATGACAAATGGCCCAAACTGACCACCGTTAAGTACCCAGCTGTATCAACCTTAATTTGGCTCAAAAGCTTAGCCAAGCGTATCGGATATTCCTTTGATGGGATGACGAAAACCGACAAATGGTGGTTCGGGTTACACCGCATGCCAGTCATTTGGTGCATTCGATGCCCTAAAGTGATATAATCTAAATAATTTCGTGGTGTATAGAATTCCGGATTAACATTACGTGTGGATGAAAAAATTGGATGAAGGTACACTAGTTCTTAAATTGCCTTTTTCATTTTGTTCCAGTCAAACATTTGTAGATTTATAAGTTTAGAATAATGAAATTGAATTGTATTTGCTAGTTATATGAAACTGATGTTATGAAAAATAAAACCTTTTGAAAATATAAAGAATGTACAATTTTATACATGTATATTGAATTCTCCTATCATATCTTATATGCAGGGTGTCCGCAAAGTTGGGGTTTTCCTTTTCAGGCACAACTGTGCTTGATATAACAAAGCTAATGTGTGGTGGAACGTGAGCGAACAAGTTAAAAAAAATAAATGAAAAAGTAGTCACTGTTCAGTTGTATTGCAATTTCAAGTACGGCTCTTTGGTAAAATCTGAGGAGCACATGTAACAAAAATAAAAAAAGAGATCGAAAATATGGCGTCGGTGTCACTTTTTATTGGTGAACGTATTTTATAATTATTGCTCGGAGTTATCGCCGTTGGATTCAAAAAACACATGTGCTCGACGAGGCCAAGCATCGGCTTATGCTTTTAGAGTAAAGTCCCTTCCCCGGAATGCAGCAGCTTGCTCAATTGTCATACGTAATTCGTGTTGCGGAAGTTATTCACCCCGTAACGCGTGAACGTGGATTCGTCTGTGATTAATATGCACTTCAAAAAGTCCGGATTATTGTCATGTTGGTGCAACAACCACTCACTTTTGCAGGAAAATCCTCAGCTTGGAGGACTTGTATACATTGCACGTGAAACGGGTACAATCCCTCATCATGCAGCGTTTGCCACACTTTAGTCTTCGACACTTGCAATTGTCTGGCCACATGCCTAGTGCTTGTTGAAGGATTCTCGTCTACAAGATTCAGTACTTCTTCCTCAGTTTGCACCATTCGGTGTTGTCTAGAACTCCCAGTGTGTCCACCTCGACATTCCTCCAAACGACCCATATCCCTGCACAAGGTAAACAAATCTACGGGGTCTTGGATGCTGACGTCTGGGAAAACGATCTGCATACACTCGCGAAGCCTCGGTCGCATTTTGAAGACCCTCACCGTAAATTAACAGCATGTCGACTAGTTCGCTATTGGTGTATGAGTGTTCCATTTTTTTTTTATTATTTGAACAGCAATCGGTTACCAATGTGTTGATTTGTTGACCTATACTACCGGCGTCTAGGTTAAGTTCCATACTAGCGTATTTACATCGTAGTCGTACGTCGTATAGATAGATACATTTATTGTCCTGTAGATCATAAAATGACATAAGACTCGTCCTAAGGGGGAGGTACATAGTACACATCCGAATTAAATGAAATTTTTCCAGCATGTAATTGGAAGTGCTATGATCCAAAATATATTGAAAATTCGTAGACGTTTTCATTTATTTACCTATTTTTGTTTGTTAGGCCCCTACAATTTTGGCCTAACTCACATAACTCTATATCTAATATGCACATAGGCCCGAGAAAATGGTATTTAAGCCTCATTGAAGAAAAGCAAACTTAGGCCCTTTTGACAATAAAAGGTTTTCCCCATTATGCTTTATTTTATCGTCAATAACAATGAAACACAGTTGGCGATATCATTACATTTTATTAAAGTACAAAAATTATCCAAAGAACGTTTTTCAACATATATTATTAATACAAACTTAAACAAATTTACACTGTTTTTTGAAATGGCAAGAAATTAAAAAAAATACTAATCGTCCTATTTTATTTTCTTTTTAAGGCAGCGGGTACGAATTTTGTAGCTTTTCCAAAATAAGTTGTATCTAATCCTGTTTTCTTCTTTGTGATATCCCAGACTTTGAAATCTTGTTTTGCCAACAAGCCTTCCTTGTAAAAATTTTTTCCACGGTTTTCCTTGGTGTAAAGGAATTGAAATATATGCTTTATGAATAAGTAAAACGTCCCAAATATACATGAGCCCAGAAATTGCAATACACTTTAAATAAGTGGCAGTTAGGCCCAACAAATTAAAATGGAAAAGGATATTAAAAAGACCTAAGATCTCATAGGTCTATATTTTTTGGGCCTATTACTCACTTAGGCCGTTTTATGTTTATAAATTAATAATATATTTGTTACATGGGACCATTTAAAAAGGCATAAAGGGTAGATTGGACTTTACATTTTATATATGTATATATATATATACAGGGTGACTTCAAAGTTGAGTCATTTATTTTAACAGTGAGTAGATCTGATCAAAAGAAATGTTTTTTTCCCTTAACATTTTTCTGGTAAAATTAAAGTAACAAAGTTATAGCCCTTTAGAAGTTTGAGTACCGCCCTGACTCAATAATAATATTATGTGCTCGCGTTTGGCAACAACGGATATAATCCGCCTTATCGGTTCATCGCATCGAAACAAAAAAGCGAAAGAATTTGAAACGCGATGTTTTTAATACAATCTTATTCAGTTGTATTCAGTCAATGCGTCAGTCGGTAACGCGTGAGTGAATAGTGGTGTTTGTTGCGTGGCTCAAACGAAATAAAAAATGGCACATGTTTACGAAAATGCTGAACTTGTGGACATGATTCTTATTTACGGGGGGGAGTCTTTACAAAATGCTGCCGCGGCATCACGAATTTATGCGCATCGGTTTCCGAATCGAGTGCAACCAACCCCTCGTGCCTTTGTTAATGTAGGCTCGTGAATCAGGTGTCTTGAGACCTCACAGGGATGGGCATGGCGGTGCTCCAAGACCGCACGATCAAATACAGGTCCGCACTGAAATACTTGTCGGGAGGATACTTTATAAAACAAGGTAAATTTTTTTTTTTATTTTTACACACATATTTTGGTTTCTACAACCATTATCTGAAAATTAATGACTCAACTTCAAAGTCACCCTGTATACATATATATATATATATATATATATATATATATTTTATATCTTGCAGTTAGGCCCTCACACTTGCGCCCTTGTCACAAACCTTTTATCGAAATTTACTAGGATTATTCCTTAGGACCATTTTCATTGAAAAGAGAGTCATTCATTTAGTAAGATAGGTCCTCTAACTAAATTTCTGCAAATTTGTACATAGGCCCTTGTTCGACCAAGCCACAAGGTGACAACATTTCGACAAGAAATAATGACACAGGATAAGATGCCATCAAGTCTACTTCAAACGACAACGCCAACACCTAAAGACGCCATCGTCGCCCGTAGTAAGATTTCAAAACATACAATCGCCACTTCTTCCACCGTGACATCAATAATAGCATCTCAAAAAAAAAACGAAACCACAAAAACGAGCCTCAGAAAAACAACCTCAAATGAATCCATACAAATGTCTGCAGTCTCTTAAACAAATTCAATGAATTGCTGATCTCTAAGTTGTCACCAGACATATGTATCACAGAAACATGGTTGACATAAGATAAGAATCAGACGTAAAACTGAGAAGCACAGAATACCATACCAGAAGTTTCAATACCGCAAAATACTACGTGCATTTTCCATTTGACTGAGATAAGTCGGAGTTTCGCTTAATCATAGGTCGCGCGGGCTTAAGGCTCACCGCGCCACGCAGAGTGGGCGACAGGTCCGGATTTAGGAAATCCTTTAGTAAAGCGATCGACGCGCTGTAAACTTGTAAAATACCGTAAGAATACATAATGTCCATTGTAGATGTGCTTACTATGTCATTACCTAGCTATTTTATAGTTAGAACTTCAGTACGACGCTTCTTCTCTTTCCCTCATTAATCAATTTTTTTTTTCTTGAAGAAGCTATATTAGGTTTTTGAACAGGTGAATATAGTTTTTAATCCTGATTAAAAACTGTATATTAAACTATACATTAATATTGCAAAACTATATTTACGGAAGTATTAAAATCTGTTATAAAATTACAGGTAAAATGTAATTTGAAATTTAAAATGGAGTCTTGCATTTGTAGACAATGACGCTAACAAATACGTGTAAAAATCACACGTTTGAAATGTTAAATTGAAAAATTACATAATAAAATTGAAACAATGAATATAAAGATGGTGTAAAAAGATATCACATTGTATATTCAGTCAAATCTCCCCAACTGGGACCAGTCTTCAGCTTTACAGGGAATGGCACGGACAGTCGTACAGATTCCTCCATATATTTCTTCACGATTTTAGCAACTTTAATGACGTACTTTGTGGGAACTTCGTAGATAAGTTCGTCGTGGAGCTGCAGAACTATCTTGGGACCATTTTTTGTTTTGCAGAATATTTTTTGAAGTTCCTCTTCGACAGTAACCATAGCTCTCTTCGCTATATCAGCGGCTGATCCTTGAACGACGGTGTTCACTGCCTGTCTCTCTGCTTGACCTGAAATAGTTTTAGAATTTACACAAAGGAAACCCCTCTCTGACGGTTAAGTCCGACATGTTGTACGAAAAGTGGCAACCCACTGAAAATTTGCGCTAGTCAAGAAATATATGCCACCATGACAGTGCTTGCCGTATTTCATCCTGATGAGGAAAAGTCATGATCATTCACACCAGAGACTGCATGCCATCACTTGCAGTTTCAACTATACCGGGTGATTCAAAAACAGTGGGAATATTTTTAAGGCAAAAAGTACTTTCAAGAGACCGAGATACAGGATGTTGATGTCTCCAGGTGGATTAAAAGATATAGTCTGGTGGAATTAACTTTACAAGGTTATTTGGCAAACAGTTCGAATGAGAGTAGTCGATGTTGTGTTGAGTGGATCAAGGGGAATAATCCAGGAAAAATGAACTTGACAAGTCTCTTTGGCAAGCAGCTCAAACGGGAATAAAACCTATTTCATGAGTATCTATCACGTTTTGACGTGTACTGAGGTGAACAGCTGATCAGCAAGTGACATCTTTGTATTTGTAACGTTGGAAATAATGAATGCTGGTGTAAATCTAGTAAAATTTGCTTGTAGCGTTTTTTGTATTCCAGTGAACTTTTCCAAATAAAAGAGTTATTAGTAAGTACAAAATTAATCAAAAAACCGAAACAAACCATGGCGCCTACCTGGCGGTGTCGGATCCGTCAAAATTATGTAACACTTGTCGATATGGGGAATTTTGCAATATAACTAGATAATCAGCTGTTGTTCTACAGTAATGAATACTCGATTGTCGATGCTGTGTCGGGCGGAAAATAGTCTAGTGAAATTAACTTCGCAAGTTTTACGCATACAACCGTTACCACCGAGAGTACAAGGCCTGACAACAGACGCGCGACGTCATGAGTAGGCCGGTCGGCCGTACATCAGCGCTAGTGAATAATATATTATTATTACAGCATATTTAATATACTCTACCTGATGTAAATAAAGGATAATTCAGAAAAGTGTTTTTGGTATATGAAGGCATCTTGGTGGAAAATATTAAAGTAGTTATCAACTATTTTCACCGATATTTCATCCAACATTACGTGCACATTAGAGTAATAAGTTGATGTTATAAAAGCTTGCTAAAAATGATAAATCCTTCAATGAATAATCCCATGTTAGTCACAACCGATCAACAAAATTTCACAGGAATATGTGGACAATTTACTATTATTATAGGCATAATATAATGGTACTTGAAAATTATATAAAAAATGTAGTGCTTGTTGAACAGTTGTGTTCTTTGCATAGCCTAAAAAGTTATATCTCTCATCGGGAACTGGATCGACCATCAATGTATTACAAATTGACTTCAGAGTATTTTGGTGTGGTAAAATAAGTGCTTCATGGCTCCTAATAAATCTATATGAATGTGGACTGATTGTATACAACATAGAGCAAAACACTATTGTTTCTGATGAGTAGCTGTGTCTGTTCTTCTGACTAATAACAAGCTTTACTTGCTCACAAATAAATTGAATGATAGTGTGGGTCTCTTCATCAGTGAATAGTTCTGTGCTATTTAAAATATTGTAAGCATGGTTGATAGTGGTTCTGAACTGGTCTTTACCTGAATATTCCCTCGAAGCATCTACATTCTCAGAAAGAACATTCAGAACATCATCCAAGTGGTGTATATTAGATAATAAATATGGAGTTTTAATATTACCTGAGTTGAGTAACAATTCTTGGGAGTACATATACGTTTTTACATTGAGATCTTTATCAACAATTACAGAGTGAGTTATGATGGGTGCTGGTTTATATTCTAACTTAAACAAAGTAACTTTATCCTGAATAATTTTATGCCACCTATATGGACATTGCCATGAACTAAAAACTGTGAGAAAGTCTGAATAATTTTGAAATCAATGCTAGTTTGCAGTGCTTTAAGTAGTTGTTCTTGTTCCTTGTCCCTCAATTTCTCATCTCGGCTTCTTCTGGTTGATATGTCCTTTGAAAGATATTTTGGATAATTTGCAAAGATACTTGGAATTACATCTGCCTTCAATTTTGGATACTTAAGGGGTACAGTAATGGTCCTACCTGTCTGTTCGTCATGGAAGGTGGATTCCCAAATGATACTGTCCTCAGCAAAGTGCAAATCGCATACTCTGGTGTTTTTTGTGATCACTAAATCACTACGAGGGATTGCATTGAGCCATCTTTTGCGACAGTTTTCATTTAATGGAAACGAAAATACGTGTACCTTCGGACCCTTCCCATAATTACCGGCACAATTAGGAACGCAGCACTTGTAAGGCATTTGAAAAACTTAGCTAAACAATCGCGAGACACAAATATAAGTTTAAAACATCAATAATTTACAGTTTATGGTCATATTCCATTCCTTAGAATGCAGAGTTCTCCATTGAGCATACTTTCCATTAAATTATACCACGAATGTATAAACATAAATGTAATAAGTAGCGCCATGTTCTGATAAACGTGACCATTCATACTTGTTCAGTTTTCAAATTACGTTATGTATTAAGATGCAAATATGTGGGAAAATATGAAATCTTGAAACACCCTTCGTTAAACTCTAAGAAAAATCTCGAAGCCGATCCTCGTCAATACCTTTTTTAGTAGCATCACTATCATTGATGTTAGGCAGATACCTCCTCCTTCCTGTCACTGTTTCTACATAGCCGTTTTTTCTACATTTATCTATAGTATTATTGATGAACGTCCGAAGAGCTGGATACGTGTTTTTGAACGCCTCCATGAACATGAGCGCATCATCCTCACCAATTTGAAGTTGTTCTGATAATGCTTTTGCTCCCATACCGTAAATGATTCCATAACAGATATGTTTAGTATTTTGACGCATTGCATCGTCCACCTGAAACATGTCGATGTGAAAATAGCTTTCTTTAAAGCTCGATCTCAAAATATTGCCAACGAGTAGTTATAACAAGAGAGGTCACTACTTCGTGGAGTGTATGTATGATCCGCCGGTAGGCCTTATATTGACCCTGCAAGTTTTCTGTATAAGACAATCGCAATTTTTTTGTTAGGCATCGCGTACTGACATGATAAGTGAAAAACTGGTCCCATATTACATATTTTGATGCTAAATAGCAATCTTGTCGAGTTTGCATCAAGCATACATAAGATTTGAATAGTTTTTAACATTCCATATCAGTAAGCGATGTAACCAAAACTTTCCGGTCGGCTTTTGGACTATTGCTGGTTTACAATTAAAACCAGCGATCTATGTCCTTGGTTTGGGGATTCGCTTATAGATGGCTGTACATGTACCGACGCGGTGTTGTCAAACTGCCATAAAATATTAAGAGCATGCTTTACTTATTCTGAGCTTAATGGAGTAATTCTTTTCACAGTTTTTTGTGGTTACGTTAGAAAGTCATACAAAATTACATCGTCTTGAGGCCAATCTGTCTAGAGGACTGACCACCATGTCAAAGAGACCGTCGATTGGTCAAATCAGCAATTTGATGTTAGAAAACTTTTGAATTTCAAGCTGGCCCGCCTGATTTGTGACTAAATTGTGTAATATTCCGTTTATGGCCATTAAAGTTAAATAGCTATATGATTACTTGCAGGTTTTGAGAATAACTTCTATCTATCTAAAAGTGTGTATAACCTTATTTAATGAAAAATATATTTCGTAGGCTGTAAAAATGGATGATACAATATCCCTTCCATGAATGAATGTCCAAGCAAAAGTAAATTTGTACAATGAATTCATAAAAATAGAATTATCTACCTGGCAACACGGTATTTATCTCCGACTAAATAAGAACAGCACGTGTAGTTGCCATCAGCTGTTTTGTGGATGCCATGTTTTTGGAGTCATCCTTTATTTCTCTCTCAAATGTTATTTGCCTTATATAAGTATCTTCTTTTTATATAACTACTGTTTGGAATTGCACTAGTTCATCTTTGAACAAAAGACACAACCTTACAGATTAACCCGACTAACACTGACGTATTTTCAACATTCTATACGTATATTGATTTCATCTTGATACACAATGTCAGTGTACTGTGAACATTGAAGTTCACCACCTGAATTGATTAACGTTGTCTCTCAAAATTTTTGTATAAGTAATCATTTTCATCGCATCTGTACTTGGAAATAAAAAAACAAAATGACAGTTATAGAGAATTGATAATGGTTACGTCCACTAGCACTCAGCGCCTGAAGCAAAGCGAGCCATGCGTGATATACTGTGGCAGGTTCTATTCATTGCCACTTGATTCAAATATCTAACAGCTGAGCTGAAGCATATCGCCATAGAAATCTTTTAAGCAATTTGGAAAAATAGTGTTTTATTGGAAACTGATTGCTTACCTTACAAATTTCGACTTTGTTCCATTTGGCAGCAATAGATCGAAAAACGTCACCCGGCCTGCTCATGACACTGACTAGTAGTTGGTCTTGGGAGAGATGTGTCAGAATCCGTAACTCAAGTTGACAGTAATCAGCCGAAAGTAAGGCACATCCGTCTCGAGCTCTAAAGGCTTTCCGGCAACTTATGGTTATCTATAATAATGAAAATGTTGAACGTAATTCAGTCATGTTGGAGGAATACATGGTGCACCGTGTCCGTGATTTCCCATGATTGGCAGTGATTGGGAATTTGCAGCTCTATTGGACACCACGTTAGAGATGACACATGACCATGTCGTTGCGACGAGGGGGTCCGCATGGTACAAATATTAATAGCAACAAAAACTACTACTAAAACTGTTTCAATATCCATAGTGCCACTGGCTTCTATAGAACTTTAGTTAGCGCAGTCAAAAAATCCTGGCAGTCCGACTTTCATGATTATGATGTTTTCAAAATCGTAAATGGTCATACCGCAAAACAAATGAACATCCAAACAGACAACGTGTCGAGGGTTGAATACTACATTGTAGTTATGTTTTCGAGGTTTCTTCTTAAAAATTTTGAGTGGCGCACCTATATTGGACTGTCATGTCAAGACGGCGCCCAGTAACATTTTTAAATGGCGAACTGACAGGCTGCCAAAGTAAAATATAGAACATCCAGATTAAAAAATCACAGATTTTGAATGTCACCAAAATATAGCATTCGAGTATCAGTTTCATTATCCCGAATTTCAGCTTGCTGACCTGGCCCGTTCGAAAAATAAGTCTTACTAAAAAGCAATGTATATCCCTCCATGCGATACAAAATGACTATTAAGCTTTAAAAACAGGTTTAAAATTTTTGAGACCAGTTTCAAAACCCATACATAAAAAAATGTCACATATACCGACATTTAATCGCAAAGCAAGAAAAAAAAGATGTGCAGTGTTTCTAGATCCGTAGCTATAATTAATGTGTTGGACCTAGAACCCCACTCTTCTGAAATCTTCTGTTACAAAACCTCTCGTCCGTCACGACGAAGTAATAGTTTACCTAAAAACTGGCAAGCTTGCCCAGAACATGATCAGTATTTTGGGGCACCTTCTTATAAATGCCACTGCATAATGGAGAGGTATCAGATAACATATGGATAGCAGTGCAATAAAGGTTATTCATATTCAAGCAACATAGCTGACTGTGTAGATTGAGAACTGATAAATATTATTATATATTAAGTGGTATTTAACAGTTAACATACCTCACTCTTGCTGATTGGATTTATCACCAAGAAATCTTTGGGAATATTTTGCAAATTCGGTTCGTGCATGGATACCCTTCCAGTAGCCGTATGCGTTATGCAGCAACCGTGAATTCGCTCACTTTCTATAACTCGTAATAGAGGGTAGAACGTTTTTGTCAACGTGCAGTTGAGTTTTCGCCATATTAGCACCAAATCTGAGATGGGGTGATCATTTTGTTCTAGGACTTGCTTTCTGGTGCTCACTTTTTTGCCCCTGAACATTCCTGGTAACAAAAAAAGATACGTTTTCATTCTACACCTATTTCAGTGTTTCATTAAATAGTTTAGCGACTATAAGACTTAATTATTTGAAAGCACTCTTTCGCTGATATAGCGAACTGTAAGTAGCCGCTTTAGTAGTGTTACACTACCACTTATAAATCAATATTTACATAGCCATACCAACTACTTTTGCTACATCAGTAGATGACGTAAAGTTAAACCGTCTTCCAGCCAAAGAATATGCTTTCTTTTCAACTGCTGCGATTTGAGCTTTCAGAGTTTCCTCCAATTCCTGGAACGATGATTTTTTCACACCAATCCCATTTATCTCCATTTTTGACAAGCATAGAATGGTTTGACTCTCCAAATCTATAAAATGTACAATATCATTCATTTAAAACTGTCAATAAATTAGAAGGTACTATAAGTCAATTACAAGATTAAAATAATGTGATAGATGGTAGAATATTTACAAACAGTGAAATTTCTACTAAACTATTCTATCTATACTAAGTGACATATAGAATGCAACTCAGAATTATTTATTAAATTTTGATAAAAAATCTTGTAAGCATATTTGTTATCATAGAAGTTTACGCTGATAAAATGTTGAAGGCATTCTGAGCCGTACTTTTTTTGTCATATCAGGATCCCAACAATAAGAACATGTTTACTTAATATTCAATGATTTTTCAGTATTGGTTCCATTTGCCTAATTGTTGTTTCAATGCATTATCATGTCTACAGTTCGCAGATGCGCTAATTTCACTCAACTTTCCCAGTTTGAGATTTTCTTTTAGAGAAATCGCTAATCGGGTGAATCGAAACGAAGCTACTGTAATGAGATGTTGTCGAGCGTGGTTCGAAGAAGGCCGAAATCGACGAGTTAGAGGTACTGGACGTCAAAGACACATTACAAAGGGACATATCGTTATTTGAGGCCACTAGCGCTTAGAGATCGATTTTCCACAACAAGAGCAGTTGCGAACCGGTGGTTTGATGCTGTTGGAAGAGCAATAACAATGGGGACAGTTTATCGCCGAATAAGGTCTTTTGGAGTGTTTTCATATCGTTCCCATCTTGTACTACCTTTGGAGTAGGAAGAGACGTGAATGGAATATGGAATGGAACTTAGTCGTGTTCAGCGATAAGTCCAGATTCTGTGTAGGCTCACATGATCGCCTTGCAAGAGTAAGGAGGAGACGTGCATATTCATCGCACTGTGGTTGTCATGGTATGAAGTGCCATTGCTTCCCGCAGCAGGTCACGATTAGTGTTCATTCGAGATAGCATGACTGCCCAGGGCTATAACCACGAAGCTTCACAACCATATCTGCTTCTCTTTTTGGAAACATTGCAAGATCCACTTTTTCAGCAGGACCATGCACGAGATCATGTCGCACGTGTTAGTTTATACTTTTTAGAAGCGTCCGGAGTAAATCTGCTTAAGTAACCTCCTCGATCTCCAGACCTTTTCCCCATGTATGGGACATGATGGGAAGAAGGTTACAAAATTCACCGCACCCTCCACAAACATTGGAGGCTCTACGAAACCAAATTCAGATGGGATGGGATACAATACACCAAGAAGACATCAATCACCTAATCCAATCAATGCCGCAAATGTGTAGCGTACAGAGGAGCTTCAACACGTTATTAACATTAAAATGGGTTATCTCAGGTATTTTGCGAAATTTCGAGTTAAAATTTTAATCACTTTCTAAATATCAGTAGACCTGAAACTTTTAAAACTATGCTCAAACTTACAGCACTCCTAGTCAGTGTTGCATTTTCTATGTCGTTTAGTATACATCTACGAGTATCTGTTCAGTTTTTCTTGATTTGGATATTGCAGTTAATATAATTCTGACTCCTCCTCTTATCGAGGCATGTCTTTTGTTTTCTAAAGTTGATTTAATATGACGTGACATCTGTTTATTCAGTCTCATATTAGCCTTTTTCGATTTCTATTAGCCGTTAGATACAAATTTCAGTAGTCATTAATTGACTATTTTTATTTTAATTCAATAGTTTTATAAGAAAACAATATATTGTTTTATACTTCATAATCAATTTTAATAACTGTTTTGTTATTTATATTATAAAAATAAATCTCACCATAGATGTCTAAATATGAGTCTTTAATTTCTTCAAGACGTTTCCTCAAACAGTCTACAAGATGCCAAGTAAGGACAGCTTCGATTGAGGAACGTTTTTTAGGCTCGACTGAACTGTGAATGTCTAAACTAATGCTCCCAAGACCTTTACAACTTCCTGCCAGCTGGGCCAATTTTATCCCTTCTGGGAAATAATTCAGCATCTACGGAATGAAGCATCACTAGTAGTACTTCCAAAAGAGGTTCTTATCCCAATATGACTAGTGCAACAAGTGACGTATAAATAATACTGAGCGCCACCAGTCAAGTGTCACGTGTACAAAATCAACTTGGAAATAAGTCAGCACAAAGAGACATTTGTTACCAGAATCACCACTCTCTAGCGGTCACAGTGGTGTTCCAACAGCACTGTCGAGATGGAGAATTCTTTGTCAGTTAATTTAGTGGTTACAGATGGATTTGACTAATAATACATATATGCACCCTTCCACTCAAAACAATGAGAATCTGTTAGGTACATTTGAAAACCTAAATGGACTCAAACAAACAAAGACAGAAACAAGCTTTTAATTAACACAGATACAGTTCCAGCAAAATTGGAAACATACCATAGCCAAAAGGTTTTTCTCTTTTGTTTCAGGGTCCAAAATCCAATCAGCTATCTTTGGATCATCAATCTTTGATTTGAGCTGTATACCCGTACAGTAGTTCAGCATCTTTATTTGTTCTTTAGAGTCGAATATCTTCACTGTAACAATCTCATTCGCCAAAATGGACTTCAACAGCTTTGTAACTTTTGATATATAATCGGGTACTTCCAGCGACAAATAATATACGACATTTGCATTCCATGTTATTGCAAAACCATTCAACCGACTGCTCTTGAACACAAACCGTGATTGCGATTCAATTTGTGTTTGACATCTTGTTGTGCCTGCAAAAAAAACTCAGTTCGTGTACATTTTTCATGAGAAAATGTTATATCCCAATTCATGCTTTCAACATTCCGGGAAGCCAGCACCAACCAACAGAATTCAAATCTAAATCATTATATTGCTGACTATTTCCTTCGTCTTAATTTCTATCAATCAGAAACACGCAATTTTGAATTACAAATGGTTTCTAGATGGAAAAATTGTATGACAGCACCCGTCAGCAGTTATTTCTAGTTTACCGGTAGCAAAACTTGACAGTCGTTCTCACCAAAAATTGCAATACCTTTGATAACAAGTAATTATGGTTCCTAGGACAGCTGAAAATGACGCTAAACTGATGTTATTATCAATAAATAGGCTATGTGTATGCAGAATAATCTGTTACTCATAAAATAGTCTTGTCAAATACCATTCGGGCATCTAATTTTTTCCTGTGAAAAAAATCGAAAAAAACATGCAAAGTAATATTTTCTTCGACCCGGATTTTTACTGCCACCGGCACTCATGCTTCTTGCTAAAATATTATTTAGCAACGTGTTTTTTCTCGGAAAAAATAGATGCCCTTACGATATTATGAAAATATACGAAATTGGAAACCTAGTTGTTCCACATACGAATGTAGTAGAACAATGTAGCCTTACTATTGAAAATACCATCCCATCATTCATATACAGAACCCCAAAATCTATACATTTTCAGCAACATTCTAATTTAGTTTTTGGATTCACTTAGTTTTACAATAGGTTAAAATCCACTCAGCAGAAATCACTGCACATGTCAAACTACATGTACAGTGAACAAACTAGACTTCAGGTTCACAATATTATTATACTTAAAACTATATTTGAAGCATAAGTCAGCATTTTTTCTGTAAATGATCGAGTTTCGAGCGTCAATTGCACCACAAAACTGTGAAAATTTTATATCGAATGAAGTTTCTCGGTACGTTTCTTTTCCCGTATAGCTTTTTGCGATTTCCATCAAACAAAAGGTATACATACAGGTGCCTCAGATTCGCTTTTCTATACGAGGGATGTATTTTAAGTTTTGCATATGGAAATAAAACAACACGGTAGGTAGTTTTAAATGACTTTATTGTTTTTCGAAGTATTCTCCACGAAGATTAATACACATCTGCATGCGCTTGAACCAATTTTCGAAGAACTTATTCCACTCGTTTGCTGGCAGATCCACAACGGCATTTTTGAATGCGTCAACTGCTTCTTCTGGTGACTGGAACCTTTGACCACGCAGTCTGTTTTTAATGTTCGAGAAAGTAAAGAAATCGTTAGGACTTAGATCGGGACTATATGGAGGATGGTCTAATAATTCCACGTTTTCTTCCGTTAAATACTGCCTTGTTTTTTGGGCTGTGTGCGAGCTTGCATTGTCTTGGTGGAGGATGATTCTTCTTTCGGGGTTGATTTTTCGAAGCTCGGTGATGACTTTTGGCAAACAAATGGTGGTATACCAATCCGCAGTAACAGTTCTTTGCTCATTAAGAGGACTTGTTGCAATATGACCCGTTTTTGACACAAATGTCGCGACCATCTTTTTCGACACACTTCGAGAACGAATGACTTTTGTTGGCTTTTCTTCACCTTGGAACACCCAAACAACCGACTGTCGGTTATTTTCTGGTTCATAACAGTAAATCCACGATTCATCACCAGTAACAATGCTGTACACATTTTTTGAGTTTCCGGAATTGAAACGGTCAAGCGTTTTTTGACACCAATTAACCCTGGCTGCTTTCTGCTCTTCAGTCAACAGGTGGGGTATCCAATGAGAAACTAATTTTCTCACTCCTAATTCTTCATGTAAAATTTTTTAAATCGAGGTCTTTGAGATCTTCAAGGACGCCTCAATCTCGCGATATGTCACGTGTCTATCTTCACTGATGAGTTTGCGCACAGCATCGACGTTTTCCTGGGTGACTGCCGTTTTTGGTGCACCCACCCTGGGATCGTCGCTAAGACTCACCTGTCCACGTTTGAATTCTCCATACCAACGGGAAATTGTCGACTAATTCTGATTTCTGATCGGTACTTTGATTTGAATACATTAATCTCCTTCTTTGATACTACTTGGGGATTATCTTTATTAATTTGTGTTATTAGTTCCAAAGTCTCTCTCATCTGAGCCAATTCGTGATCAAACCAGTTGATTTTGTTGCGACAACCCTTTGATACTAACCTAGATTTGATTGGCAAGCACTCAGCGACATTATTTGTTAAGATGTTCATGAATCGTTCGAGTTTAGTGGTCAGTGGTAAACTAATATCAGACAAAAAGATCCAGTCGACTGTTTCAATTTTACTGTATAACTTGAAAAGACCTTCATCAGTGACAGGTCTGTAGTTTATTCTCTTCCTAATAGGTTTTAAAGTTTTCAAATTAAAAAGGAAATAATGCAATACCTAAATAGTCATAAAAACATGTATCAAAGGCTTCTACAACTATGCTTGACATGTTCATATTGGTGAAAATATTATCTAGACAAGCATTCTGTCTAGTATTCACATTCACAGTCTGATACAGTCCAAAAGAAACACAAATATCACACATCACATTGGCATGCTTGTCGTGATTGTTAAATTTAAAATTAAAATCACCAGATATGATTATATTTTGCTTATAGTCTAAAGTACTAAGTAGTATTTGAAGCTTATTATAGAATATATTGAAGTCTCCATTTGGTGATCTATATATGGTTAGAATTTGTGTGCCATCCAAACAGGTGACACTAGCAACCTCAAAGTGTAACTCTTCAGAAATGTTTAAAACTTTGTCACACAAAGGCTAAGCACTAAACTTATTATTGACATAAATACAAACACCACCGTGGATTTTGCTTGACCTGCAAAAACTAGACACATTCATATATTCACAAATATTCAGAGTATTAATCTCATCGCAAGTCAACCAATGCTCATTCAAACAAAGAAAGTCATAACTGTGCGCGAGCGTGTGATAAGGAATTTTTCGATACACTCTGTTTACCCGAATCATGTCGTACTAGGTGATTAGTATCGGATTCCCACTGGCCAGTAAAAAAGCACCAGGATTATCACTGTTGCAATGCACTCGACGTTCCATTTTATAAATTGGAATTATTGGAGGCGATAACAAAACGTTTCTTTTGAGGGTAGAGCAGCTCGTCTGCACATGACTTCTTATGATGTTTGCCAGTGATTTGCGAAAACCATTCTTTACTACTAAAAACTTCACTGAACAGTTGGGGTTATTTTTAATATAACTAGTTATTTTGTTTTCCAATAGAACTGCTAAGGCTTCATCTACAGGCTCGGACTTTAGAAGAATTACTAGATTTGTAAATATGCAAAACTTAAAAGACATCCCTCGTACAGGAATCTCGGCTCCTGTTGTACCCACAGCAAATGTTAAATTGGGAAATATTTAGAGGAAACTTAGTGCATTTGATAGCCGGCTTCAGATTTACGATTGGTCAATTTGTTTTGGTAGTATCGGCAAAAAGCCGTACATGTGGAATATTGTTTTTTGCCAGCAAATCCGAAACGATTAAAATGTTATGTATTAATTTTTTTCTAATGAGGCCATGATTTATTTGTCAGAAAATAAAATTAATAAGTAAAAACCGTCACGAAGTGACAGAGAGATGTCTGCAGACGAGAGTTGGAACTACCGTTTGGTGTGGGGTCATTGGTAATTTAATCTAACTTACCTCTTTTAGGCCAGTATTTGTAGTCATTCCTACAATTGTAGGACGCCTTTATGGCCTCCTTGATTGTCATAGATTTCTACTTTTCCGTGTCAGCGCTTTATTTTAAGATTATGTCACAAATATCTATTTGCATCAAATTGTGCATGCTTTTGATTTATATCATGTTTCATCAGCTTGAAATTTCCTACAATTTAAAAAGAAAACATATCTTCACAACAGGAGAGCGCTGACGCTGACACAGAACAGGTGCAATCTAATAATTTTTGAAGGAGAGAAAGCAGTATGACAATCAAGAAGGCCATAAAGGCGTCCTACAATTGTAGGAACGATTGGCGATACGGGCCTTAATTAGGCACCTATTTGAAATTAGGTATTAAGAAAGATGAGTTCAGAAGAACCTGGTTTCAATAGGTTGGATGTCCGGCTCACAACAATATTCAAGTCAGGAACTTCTTAAGAGAGCAGTTTGATGAAAGAATAATTTCATTAAAAGGTTCAATATCTTGGCCTCCTAGATCCCCTGACCTTTCAGCCTTGGATTTCTACCTCTGGGGGTCACACAAAAGATGAGGTCTATGAATTTGATCCTCCCGCGACCATAGAAATCCTGAGACAAAGAATTTTGAGCACAGTTAGAAACATTAACAAAAATACACTAGGTAAGGTTATACGAAAAACAGTCACCAATTATGAAAAATGTCTGGATGCAAATGAAAGTTATTTCGCCAAATCGGTAAATTAATACCCACTTACATAATTAGATTTTACATTATATTACAATTTTGTAAAATGTTTGTTTGTTCAAGTGCAAAATAAATTTACGACGATTTTTCTGACTTGTTTTTTTAACACACTACTAGTTGGAAATTTGTCGCAAAACATTTGACTTGTTGAGAAGTCGATATTAACGTTAATATTCCATTGAAAATTCAAGGTGTTTATGTATTTTTTATGCCTTACTTATTAATGTTATTTTCTGGCACATAAATCATGGCCTCTTTAGAAAAAAAAACTGATACAAAGCATTACGTGTGATGATATTTCGGTGATACTGCCATCTTTTATGCACTCTTGAGACATCAGTAGACTCGAAATTTTACTCTTTTCAAAAATCAAAAAATCCAATATGGCGGCCATAAGAAAAATGAAAGTTGAGGCGGGTTGCTGGAAAACAAAAGACGATTGATACATGCTATCTTATTTTTCTCAAAAAATGTCCGGATAATGTTACATTTTGACAGTTGTCAAATTAACCGTTTTGGATTAACTGGCAAAAAACACATTCCGCCATTTTCGGTTTTTCGCTGATATTTCCAAAACTAATTGACCGATCATAAATCTGAAGCCGGCTATCGAATGCACGAAGTTTCCTCTAAAACTTCCCCCATCTAACATTTGCTGTGAGTATAACAGGAGCCGAGATCCCTGTATAGAGAAGCGGATCTGGAAAACACTATATATGTGTGTGTGTGTAGAAGTATACGAAAATGAAAACAAAAATGTTTATTTTTCTACCTTTTTATGTTGATAAGTAGAAAAATGATTTTAAAATCAGTTCTATCGTCTAAAAGAGAAAAGAAAATACAAAAATTGAGTTACTACATACCCAAGCCTATAGTTGACTTATTCTCCACAAATCTGCTGCAGGCTAAGGACAGGGAAATGATGCGCTGTCGTTTTAGCTCATTTGAAAATAAATCAAATAGAGCCATATCACTACAAATATTCACAACTTCTATTTGATTCAAATCCACAGATTCACTGTCTCCAAGCTTACCTTCAGCAAACGATAAGCTCATAGGAATATCTTCATCGTTCACGTCATTGCCTTTCCGTTTTTTACTAGGTGTACCTGGGTCGATAGTTTCGTTCCTACGTTTCTTCGTTTCCAGTTCACTGCCAGAACTTTCGAAAATATCAGAACTGCAATTTTTACTAGTGTCGTTGAAGGACCCAGAAAAAGCGCTTTGTAATACGGTCATCGTATCCATTTCATCGACGGGGTTTCGTTCCTCTTTTATGCCACTGTCAGATGAGCTACTACTTAGATGTAGATTAAAGGATTCAAAGAGACTTTCATCAGATTGCATTTCCCCAAGCAATACATTTATGGTGCTTTTCGCACTAGAGAGCGAACTGTTTGAAATATTTAACTCTTTGGAGGAACAAGACGATAAAGCATCAGATACTTCTCTTCTTTTAGAAGGTGATTCTTTCATTTGTTCATGTGATGAAACTAGCCTTTCTGCTTGAGCTTTATCAGTACTAATACTAGAGTTCATTGAAACATTGCTATTTATTTGACCATTGTTCTTTTCATTTTCTTCAGCAGTTTTCAAAAAGCGTTTGTTACTGATTTGTTCGTTATGATGACTATTCAATGTTTCGGGCAAGGGTAGGTCAATCGAGGAGTTTGATATGTTGGTTTCACTGCCAAATAATGAGTTATCACTTGAAACATTTTGTATCGACATTTCTATGTCTCTGGAACCTTCAATGTTAGAGGTAACTTGTGATTCCGATTTTTGAACTTCTGTTATAACATTGTTCTGTTCTTCTTTAGTTCGTTTAAATGGTGACTGAAAGAATCACATTCACAGTTTACAACGGATAAAAATAAACAGTCAACAGATCGTAACGAGAGACAATGTACATGTAAGAAATAATTGGATGAGCGAAAATTGTGAGAATAAATTATTGAAATCAACCCAAAGGATACAAAACTTACTTGTTGTGCGGTATCGTTTGTAGCATCAGTTCTGCCTACGTCTGAACCTGAACTTTCATCTGGACTACAGGTATCGTTCCACTTTGCATCTACTAAACCCATCTCTAACTTGAGATACTTCCTAGCCTCGTCAACTAACATTTCAGCAGCTTCTCTCTCGGTCAGTCCTTCTTTTCCAGTTACCCATACATTCCTGCATATTAACCAACACGCAATTTATTCTGGATTACACGTAGCAAGCATTTAACGAATCTAGTGCCGACCAGTAACGTATTACTATAGTGGTAGGCAATTGATGAAATAGATCGCACAACAATGCTTTTTACGCCATCAGAAGTCCTGTCAACTGTTTTATACAAAAGCCAAATTGCATTTGGAATGGGGAATTCCTGATCGTGTATGAAGAAAATGACAATGCTGAAGTTGACAACTTTACAAAACCGATTTCAAATTAATTACCGGGTTAAAAGACATTTATACTTTTTGTATCCTTTTTCAACTTTAAATGCAAGTAAAACGTAATCTGCTATTAAACATTTTATCATGTGATTCTACTAAGGGCCATTACGGCTTACGTCCCCAGTTACTGGCTGGAGCGTTCATTATGGTAGTAGGGTATCGAACCCTGGCACAGATGCTAAAATGAACGCTCCCGTGTTTGGAGAATATTCAACAGCGGTTTAATGCCATACGCCAGAAATAACATCTAATGTGTTCATGTGAATTTTGACGTAAATTTGCCATTAATCATGATTAAGAAATGGTTTAGTTAATTATGCAGGCTGAACATTATTTCCAATGCTGTTCTGTGGTTTATTGAGGTAATACTTTTATTTGTGCACGTCCCAAACTTTATATACAGAGTCGCCAATTTATGACTGATTTAAATTGCGCGCCATTTTTGATACACGCATTTCATTAGGTGGCACCGTAGCAGTTAAGCACACGTGTCCAATTCATCATTTTACTTAAATAATGAGTCGATTGTTGCAACGATTCGGAAGCTACGAGATGATTTCGGTCGAAATAATGCGCTCATCCGTCGGTTGGTGCGGAACTTTGAACAAACAGGTGAAGTTAAAGACTTGCCAAGGTCGGGACGTGCTCGAACTGTTCGTACTTCGGAAAATATCGCGAGAGTTCGTGAAAATGTAGTGAAGCGCCCTGAGACGTCTACCAGACATGGTTCTCAAGAACTGAGTATTCGTCTCAAGTCATTATGAACTATTTCAAAAAAGACTTGCATTTGCGGCCATACAAAGTTCAGTTAACCCAAGAACTACAGCCTAGTGACCATGAAAGTCGCTGACAATACAGTCATGCAATATTGCAGCATAATACTGACAATGAGCGCTGAAGCTCACTTCGATATGAACGGATTTGTTAATAAGCAGAATTGTCGTATATGGGCATTAGAGAATCTCGTGTCATCCAGCAACGACCACTACATCCTCTTTGAGTCACAGTTTGGTGCAGTGTTTGGTATGGAAGTGTCACTAGGCCTTATTTCTTTGAAGACGCTGCAAGTAATTCTCTTACTGCCACTGGCGAGCGCTACCGTGATATGGTGCAAAACTTTCTAGCTCCTCAAATCCAACAATTTAACCTGCAAAACAGGTAGGGAAACAATGAATCTTTTGCGAACAATATTTCCGGGGCGTTTAATTTGTGTCAGGTTGCATGTATGAGATAATTCTAACAACGGTAATAGAAGGACACAAGATGACGCAACATAATAATTATATTGTATAGAGTGAGCCAAAGTACATAACTCGCGGCATCTAGAGGCGGATATTTGTCTGATATCATTTTTCATACATAGGTAATTTCTAAGTTTCAATAAAATATTAAGATGAAAAAAATGGACGTATTTTATTTTATTTCACAAAAAATATTCAAGATACAAACCAGTCAGTTACATATCGGCCAACCTGTACATGTCTCATTAAGGTCGAATATAGGAAATATGTGGTTGAAACTTGTTCAGCTAGATGTGGACGAAATCATTGCTTGTGAGGATTATTTCAATGAGAGTTACAAAACATATTTTTTGTAATACCATGACATACATTTGAAGGTTGTTGTGTGATAGTATGATCTAATTTTCATTTGACAAATGATGTCATGTTTTTTGACGGACACGTGTGATTGAATTTATAGTTGCGTTCGTTTTGCAAGTGAAATGAGACAGTTCAAACACATAAGGCTGACAAATCAGTTTATGTCACTTCAGAGTTAAAAAAACAGCTCAGCTCACACTTGGTCAGAGAATAATCTCATATAATGACAATGTGTTTTGGTTGCAGAAACGAGCAGTAACCTGTGAAGTGAGGCGAGATTATCTGAAATTGTGTGTAAATCGAACGCGACAACTGATTACCTTTATCATTATTCAAATGTTGAATGACCATCTTTGGTTTCTTAATATCTACAGTCAACATGCGGATTGTAAAAATGCGTTGGTCATTTTCTTTATCGCATTTTGTAACGCTTACAAAAATTAGACAATTGTCATTCCGAATACAATTGTCTTCACAGTTATCATAATCCTACCTAAACTTATTACGTTGTTTCTGCGCAAATTCCGATTCCCCCTCCTTTCCCTTTTCTGTTTCGAATGGAGTCGCTTTATATAGCACATCTTCAACCCGCGATATTTTTGAATTAGCCAGCTGCTTGATCGTCTCGATTCCAGCGTTGTACAGGGTCCTGGCGATCTTCCCGTTCAAAATTGGCAGGCGCATCAGGTCCAGCAGGTCTCTGCTCACGCCGAACTGCATACGATCTTGGAATTGTGAGATCAGCAACTCGACGCTGCTCCAGCCTAGTTGCCGGCTAAATGCGGTCACCATACCTGACAATATGATTAATATTTATATTTTTTCCTAGTGAAAAAAACACGGTGCGAAATGTAATGAAAGGTTCGTTTTCGTCGGATTTTTAACAAATATGTATTTTTGGCGGACAGTCGACTGGCCTTAAGATCATTTGTTTTCGGGAAACTTGTTTACTTTGTCATAAAATATAGTCATTCTTAAAATTCCAATCATCGAAAAAATGATTGTTGGTTTGATGACTATCGTAACGAATATGTGTAAATGTGTAAACGTCATCTTATATCGAAATATGTATATATATATATATATACATAATATATCGAAATGAACAACATTCAAAATAACATTTTCTGACGAAACCATCGAAATCTAAATTAGTTTCTTTTTATGGTCGACTAAAAATTAACTACATCTTGATAAAGTAAATTATTACAACGTTTTTCTTATTTAGGATAATAATTTTATAGCCGTGCTGAAACATATTGAATTTCATTTTTATAATAATCTTGTGGTATAAAATTGTACTCTACTCTCCATTTCGTTGCAGGTCATTTTTTGTATTCATTCTGTCGGCCTTAAATACGAGAGCTGAAGGTGACTTGCTGCTAATTCCGGTGCTCGGGTGTAGGAATTTTCTGCGGCCCACTGCCCGATTCTGAGTAGCAGATTTATAGGGTGGTGGGGTTGGTTTTTATTAGAAATCGGCCTCCTTGGTGAGTTTTTTGTCGGAGCCTTTTTCTCACCCTCTTGGGGATTTAACCGTGCAGATAACTACACTCTATCATCGAGCTGGTAAGTGACCATTTTCTCCAAGTCACATGACACACTCAGATTTAGAGCTGCCAGGAGGTGTCCACAGGGAGGAGTGTTATGTTTCCTTTTGTGGTCGCTCCTGGTAGATAATCTGACTGCCATTATTCGCCTGTGAGAGGCCGAGGTTCAAGCATATGCAGACTATCTAGTCGTCCTAGGAAAATCTGGGGAACATATCTCGGGAACACTCCAGGAGGATACGATAGACCAAAGTGTCGCAGTGGAGGATCGTAATGCACTCACAAGAAACCTAACTTAACCTAACATACACTGAGAATAATATAGTGTTATTTTTATATGGCGGTAGCTTCTGATATTGGTTGTATATTTACTGAAATTTGAGTGAGACATGCTCACGAGGTAAAATATTCCTGTGGTTCTTAAGTAACATTTTAATTGCTTTACTTATAAACTGAGGGAGGACATTAAATATTTTACCTCCGCGTCCTTATGTTTTTTTTTACAAGGATCTGATTATTTCAATTTAGTTCAGGTTGATTTAAAAATTTTAACATTGCTAGTGCAATCACGATTTTCCTTGTACACCGTGATTGAACAACAACTTTGTTTCAATTTTAAATTTTTGAATGGATGTAACCCAAGACTAAATGGATCAATGTCAAAGTTAAATCTTTAATTCTTGAAAACAAATTAAAAGAGGGGATTAGTAGTCAATTGGTGATTGAGTTTTTTTTAACAAGTATTTTTTTCTATTTAGGGTTTTACCAACCAGTTTTACCCTTAGGTTCTATCCTCCGATTTTAGAGTAACATCTAGGACTTCCTGCCCTCGGTTGCCGTTCGGAGATAGCCAAGGTTTTTTTTTTAATTAAAGTTTTAGTTTGAAATTTTTGAGTCTATTGGTAACGCTTTAGCTAGGGGGTAATACCAATTAATTGTCTTTAGCTTGTCCTCCAGGACTACTTTAAATTCTTTTTATTTTTTTATTCAATAAATGTCTGTGTACCTTGAGAGTTTGTATCTCCTTTAGCGCCAGAATCCCAAGAGTGGTTACTTGTTATTTCATTTCCTAGTTTTTGAAACTAGGTGGCGCCCAAACAACCATTGCATCCAAAAACCAAAGTACAAAGAACCCCACTCTGAGGTCTCATATATAACGACTGACTACAGTCAATTTTTTAATTGTATGTGGGAGATATTTAAATGCTGCAACATTTTCCCCATTTTTCCAATATTGTAACTCCAACCGCTTCCTCGATCCTAATGTTATAACATGTTTATATTGGACATGGCTTAGAATTATAGGGTGTTTCTGAATGATATGCGAATATTTAAGGGTGTGAATCTACATGAAAAATTAATGTTAGTTTGCTTCATAAACTATGGTCCATTACCGTCGGCAAGGCCATGTACGTAATGCATTTCCGCCATTTCTGCATTTGAAAAAGATGTCACAGCCATCAGATTTGAATAACAGAGACTTGTCAGATGTCAAAAGCCAGTGACATATTTCAGGGCAGCTAGATATTTATTGTTAAATTGCATTCTTCAATTATTACATTAATTTTCTCATTTGTTTTAAATTGAACGAGGAATACAAAAATAATTTTTATTTGGGAAAAAACCATTGGCGTACCAATTTTTTCTTAAAAAATATCGAAGTCAATACCCATCCGCACGCCACTATTAAAGCTAACAATTACTTTTGCATTGAAAAATATGCAACTTAATTAACTGAAGCGGTTCTGAAAATATTAATTAATTTCCATTTTTTTCCTAAAACTTCAACACCCTGAGATTTTGTAAGGAAACATTTTTGGACTATAGTTTGTAAAGCAAACTAACATTAATTTTTTTCAGGTAGATTATTCACACACTTAAATATTCGCATAGGTATCATTAAGGAACACCCTTTATACGATGAGTGGTCGTCAATTGTTCCTTAAAATTACTTTCTTTATCCACCTATTAAGACCGGATTGGACTGAGAGCAATTCAGAAACATGACGTTCAAGTAAGAGTATTTGATTCCTTATAAAAGTAGGAGATATTTTTAATGCAACTCCTGAAACTTATCTTGTGGTTGTTTCTTCATCTTAATGTGACCATTAAATGAAACGATATACACAGAAGTGAAAGAAAGACGTTTTGCCCACTTCGGCAGCCCCTTCTGGGAGCAGGAATGGCTACCATGGGCGGTTTTGGACCGCGGTTTGGGTGGTGACATTTTAACGTTATATAATAAATTCGGTTGGGGTTCAGAACCATTCAGGTTGTTGTTGTAATTCAATAAAAAAAATTAAATCAACTATTACATGGACGTTGTGTTCTTTTACATCTGTGGTTCATTTAACACCCAGTATAACATGGAGATCAAGAGAATTTGTTGCATTCATTTCATTTCAGATTTGTGAAATTATGTGACGCCAATACTAATTTAGAAATCGATGAGTGACGTTTACAATTTACACTTCAATACAGAAATATTTTCAATCTCTTTTTTAATTTGAATTAGTTGCTAGTCCTTTTATTTCATTTATCAATATATTGCTTACGAAATACTTAAGCTGGTTAACTAGATAATATTCATACCCACCCGCGAAGACTGAAGCCGATTGTTGTAAAGACTGCAGCAGACCCCTATTGCAGTTGAACTTGGCGCATACCCAGCCCAAAGGTTTTTCGTTGACAAGATCTTGAAGCGCTAGTGCGACAAAAAATCGCTTGTGAACCAACATCTTATGGTATGATTTGTTAGTATTTGTCTGCAAGTTTCCTCTAGTAGCGCTGATCAGGAAAGATTCTCTCACTCCAACTAATTCCCCCACCTTCTTCATGCTGCGCGGTAGTCTTTGCCAGAGCTCTAAGTAGAACATCCAGTCTATATTTCCCCACGAATAACATGCACTATGAAAACAATGATTCAATTTCAGTAATATAGGAATATTTAATAAGAAGATTTATTTTTGGAAATAGCACAGGTAATTCGGTAAAGTTGGCCTACCGAAGCTAAATTTGAGCGGAACAGTAATATATGTTGTACAAATGAAGTACCATTAACTTCCAATAGTTTTGACACTTTGTCAAGATATAAACAAAACTATCTATTTTACATTTTAATATGCTCATAAACCAGTTAAATTTTAAAAACCTTATATCAATGGCTATTTTTAAAGTCGTTAACAGTTCAGTTTCAACACAAAAAAATTGTTCCTTGTTCCCTTAGTTTTCACTCTGAAGAAAATATATTTCCTGGTATACTAAAAATTTTACCTATATGGAGTTACCAGGTATATCAAATGGAGTTCTGTTTCCAGTACAAAACATTGTCTAGCTTTCTCTAGTTCTGTGAAAAGAGCTAATCCCTCGTCCGGTGCCACTGATGAAGACAAACATGCCTTCCCTGAAACCATATTTCATCATCAAAGAATATGGGCAACGAGAAAGATGGATTGAATCTCTCAACCAACTCTAATGGTATACAATGTTTTCAGTATGCTATTTCAAAGATGCCCACTGAGTAGTGCAGCTCATTTTTTTAATATTCACTTTCTTAAAGGAAAAATGAAGAATATACATGTATGAAGACATAAAAAGCTATTTGGATGTAGCCAAAGAGGCTGAAATTCAGATTAATACTGTACAGATGAAAACATAAACATGATTTGGTTAATAAAATATGTACGATTCTTACCTAACGAGGTGGCGGCAAATTTTTCTGTACCGTCTTCTACTTTCTGTAATCTTATAAATTCATTTTCTCTCAAAAACGTCACAGCTTCTTCAACCGGATTTTCCAAGTCTTCGTCGCTTTCATTCATCACAGATAGCAATGTGCATCGCGCAAACAATTCGATGTCTTCGGGTGATGACGCCACTCCACTAGCTACCATAGCAAATTTAAAATATAGATTCTATTAATAATTGGTTTAAATAACAAAAGTGAAATCTCCTATTTCTACACTAACTTCTACAAAAATGCATCGACTAGACTGGCGACAATGTAGAAAAATAGACTAATGTTTAAACTTCATCACTGAAAATAAACGGTTTTTGTACTTTAAAAAAATATGAGAATTGTCTCATATATAGTATGAGGTTAATCCCAATAGTCGATACTATTGTGTATAATATTAGATCTTGGGATTAGAAACAATCATCCGTGCTCTGTTTAAATATTTTGAAAATATAATAAAATGCGTAATGTGTCCGTTTACCATTTTTGTTTAAATGCTTACTACAGTATTTAACTAAGGTGAATTGTCGAGGCATGCTCAGGTTATAATGTATCAATAGTTTTTGAAAAAAATAGCAATAAAATTTTCGTGGCGGAACGTCGTTCAATTATGCTGACATCTTTATCTCTGTTGATATAAACCATCTTTATTTAGGACGAATGGAGTCATGTGCAAATGTTGTGCTGCGGTTTTACCTTATCACACTATTTTGCCAGACAGATGTTTGTCAACAGTGTACTAGTGTACTAACAACCTGACAATATTGTGTTATTATTAATAATGTTCAGAACTCAAATCAAAATTCGAACCAATAGGAACACTTAAGTGGATTAAACTTTTAAGAAATTAAGCTGTATCCATTAGTTTTTTTGTAAAGATACCTGAATGCCCAAAATGGAGGTTAGAGCCAATTAAACGGCAAAAGGGCATAACAAAAAACACGCTGAATATCGGAACTGTTAGGTTATACACATACCGATAACTTCCAAGACAGCCCTCTTCAGCTTTCCAGCACCTTCTAAACAACTCTCGACGGGTCGCATCGGCGCCGACATCAACGTTTTAGCCACCCGGTAGTCATTCTTCTGACAGATAAGAATGCTTTCGCCCATCGAGTCCTTGCCCATCCTACCGGCTCTGCCAATCATCTGTCGGTAGCTTAAGGTGTCGATAGGTTTGCCATGGAACATAGGCGTGCGGACGATGACGCGTCGAGCGGGAAGGTTTACTCCTGAAGACAATGTTGAAGTGGCAATAAGTACCCTCAGAGCGCCGCTACGGAATGCACCTGAAAGAATGTTTTTGTTGTTATAAACCAACGGATGCAGAAAAAAAAAATGTAAAAAAACTAAATTTAATGGCGCTTGTAGTACTTGATATCCTTTTCGCGGGCCTGGAACGATATTTTTTGCTAAACGCTATTAGTGCCTTTATAAAGTGCCCTGACATCACAAACGTATATTTAGTACGAAAAGTGGATAATGTGAATGAGCGCTAAAAATATTATCTTCAGATATGGATTGGGAAATAATGGTTGGTTGAACTTCATTGTTTGTCCGCTAATTCAAATTACAAATGTTTTAATTACTGGTTATTGTACTACGTTTCGGGCATTATGGTGGCCTTGTTCGAGAAATAAATGTGTACAATTTTGTATAGAATTTGAAATTTCAATTATTAAAGGTTTGTTCGAACAAGCAGTTCCTAACTAGTTCAGAACTAATTCCTAATAACATAGCTGAAACAAATTCACAAAAATTATCAACATTTGCCTATGTAATTATTTTATCTGGTTCTTGGAACTCCTATAATCAGCAAAAGGTCTTTGTCTTCACTTGAATCTGTTCCAGAGTGATCTGCATCGTCACCCACTTTTTTTGAATATTTCACGAGTATCCATCATGGAACAATGGCAGCTAGTTATCTAGTAATATTTCAAAATTCCCGTATCCGCAAAGGACACATAATTAATTCCGAGGACGGGTGAACTGCAGGTAGATAGACCCGTATTTTGTTGTGGTTCTTTGTACGATGCAGATTTATTTTGTACTTGCTAACAACTCTTTTATTTAAAAAAGTTTCTTTGCATACGAAAGAAACGCTAGAAGCTAACCACGACTGCATTTCAAGTTAGGTAGGAATGAAATAAGATACATAGTTTTTGAATATATTAATTATATCTACTGTGTAGAAGTTGCAGGAAGTCATGAAATGTACACAACTGGGAAAACTCCAAAGGAAACGCAAACGTCGCGTGGAAGCTGATAGCACTTGTGGGAGGGACATAAGAAATGTAATTTATAATTTTTAAATTTTTACATCTGTGTGGTATTTTAAACAAGCTGTATTCATTATTAATTTTTATGATAGGTTCTGCACATACTTAATCTGTAATTGAATTACGTGACACTGGTGACGGAGAATAAACCAGAAACACGTGTCTATTTTATTTTTACAGGTAAATTTACAGCTTCTGGAAAGGACTATGCAACCTGTTCTATGGACATACCATGTAATGAGTAAATCCCAGATGTACTATAATAATTTTCTAATAAACTTTTCTATATCTGTACTTCTAGATTTTATTGTCACATTTCCCATCCACCTAAAAATATAATCCTGATATGTGACCAACAGCTCTGAATACATTCCTGAAATTCATTATTGACAACGTAACAAATTAACACAGATTTCGCTTTGGGATCAGCTGTTCACCTCAAAGCATGATGGATACTGGTGCAATAAGGTTTAATAAATGACACAATAAGCAGTTTAGAGCTTTGATATGTGGAAATGTTGAAAAGTAAGAAAAAGCACAAAGGGCAGCCACAAAACCTGAATTCTCAGCACCATACAGCTGATAAACACCATTTATTCTGCAAGCGAGCATGCAGTAATAAATTTGAACTTTCAGTTCAGTCGGAATTTATTCCTACAGAGAGCTGCTGCTAGTTACAGAATCAGTTCCATTTTCTGTAGGAATGGTAAATTCGATGTGCACTTGCTCTGTTCAGTTGAGAGCTAGTTTAATGGTCTGTTGGAACAAAGCTTATCAGTTATAAAACTTGCATGACTGATGTTTGGTCAGCCTTTGACTCTACAGGTATTAGCTAATGTTGCACTAATATTACATTATAATTGCTATGTGTAAATGCGTTGAGGACTGGATATTGTAAATTTAGAGTGATGGATTAATTGAATACTTTTATTTTTCTTTATCTTGTAATACTTTTCCACTTTTGCATAGTCATACCTTCAATGATATCTCGTTCATCCATGGTTAATCCAGCATGATGAAATGCAACTCCAAAAGAGACTGACTTGCATAACAAATTGTCTAAACCAACAGGACAAAATTTCAGTTGTTCTAACACTTCCATTATCAAATTTGTATTGAGTTGTAGCCTCAATAACTCACCCCATTCACTTTTTGCATTGCCTAAAAATAAATATCATTGATTTATTATACTTTTTCAACCTTCAATCACAAAAGTGGGGTTTACAAGTTTAATGTGTGTATATGTGTCACCTACAAGGATCAACTGATTTTATTTTTTAAAAAACTTTATTGTGAGTATTCCTAGCTGTGGTGCAAGTAAATCTATTGGACTATTTAAATAAGTCAGAGGTTTGAAGTTTGTACATGTTAATATTAGGATTACAGAAACCTGAAAAATCTCAATCATCAGTTGTAGGTTTTTTTAGGGAAATCCATTCTCAATCAAGATTTAACTTTGGTATACTCAATTCTATGCTCAATTTAAGTTCTGTTACCTAATTTACAAAATGACATTGCTATCTGCTGTGCCAAACTTTCACACCAATTTTTTGTAGGACAAAATATCAAAACTGAGCAAGACTCTTGTATTGTTTCTAAACACAGCTGTAAGATATTATCGGTATCTGTAGCAATGCCTTCCAAAGGCTTCAACTTCCTTACAAGCTTCAAATCTTTATCATAAATCTCTCCACATACATGAGCTTGTTCATACAATGGGATGGGCCTGAAGTCAGTAGTATAAAGTTCAGCATCAAGCCAATTAGCCAACTGATCAAGATTTGGAAGAGTTGCAGACATTCCTATTATTTGTAGATTGATGTTTGTATTCTTCTTTGAAATATACAGTAGTTTAGTTAAAAGTAATTCAAGCAGATACCCCCTACTTGGGTCGCCAAGCATGTGGATTTCATCCACAAGTATTGTTCCAACATCTGACACTTTTTCTTCCTCAAGTAATCTGTTGATCAAGCTGTTAGCTTTTTCTATGGTACAAATAGCTATTTGGACAGAGCTGAATCCACCTGGAGGATTATAGGAACCCATAAAACCCTCTACTCTGATACCACTACTTCCTAGAAGATTTTGGAAGTAGTACATTTTTTCTTGGACAATTGATATGAAGGGAAGTATAAAAATCACCTTCTTCCTTCTGTCCAGAACAGTTTTTATGGCTAAAATTTCAGCTACCAAGGTTTTGCCCGCAGATGTAGGTGCTGCATATACCAGGTTTTTACAGTTTTCCAAGACGTTTTGTTTTCTCAAGCACTCCACTTGCCAATGAAACATGCTATGCAGGTTTTTGGATTCATACTTTTTTAACACTTCACTTGGGAGGCCCCATGAGGATAGTTTAATGGCATTATCAAGTTTAAACTCAGCTGTTTCATTTTGCAGACTATCTTTTAGTTTCTTTTCCACTTTACTTGTATCTGTATTGATTCTAGAATTCACTGGCATATATTGAGTAGGTCTGGATGATTTAATACTTGTATCATTTTCAGATCTAGTTTTGATCAGAGAACATTTAAACACTTCATTTGGTTGTTCCATTTCCCTATTTTGGATGTTGGAATCATTTGAGACAGCTGCCTTATCACATATTGTTGTTGCTTTGTTTTCTTTTCCATTGCATATATCATCTTTGAATGATCCTGCTAAAAACATAGAATCATCTAGGGATATCTCCTTTTCCTCGCTTTCTCCGCTTGACTTTGGCTGTGCCTGCGATTCATTATGCGAGCTCTTGTTTGATGCAATATTTTTGATAAACAAATCTTGAGAAAAATTTATATTGTCTAATGTATCATTCATAAAATAATCATCATTCATTCTATTTCAATTTACGTTTGTTTTCTATTTGAACGTTTTGTTTGTTTTTAAAACTATTCTAGTTTTTAAACTTTTTGATTGACTGGTGACACGTGACACCTGACTTTTCCTTAGCTTTAAAAAATCGTCGGCAGATGTCCTGATTTTTTTAGGGCGCCGTATCTTAGGTTTATAAGTAACTACTATCTCCTGTATAGAAATCTATATAAATTTCATGTTCATGTTAAATACTTTCATTAATCAGTAATAGGTGTCACTGTAACACGCGTCACCTCTTGAGCACAAACCTGAGGCCCGTATCGTCAGTCGTCCCTACAATTGTAGGGCGCGTTTATGGCCTCCTTGATTGTCATACTTCTTTCTCTCCTTCAAAAATTTCTAGATTACACTTGTCCCGTGTCAGCGTCAGCGCTCTCCTATTGTGAAGATATGTTTTCCTTTTAAATTGTAGGAAATTTCAGGCTGATAAAACATGATATAACTCAAAAGCAAGCACAATTTGATGCAAATAGATGTTTGTGACATAACCTCAAAATAGAGCACTGACATGGAAAAATAGAAAACTATGACAAGCAAGGAGGCCATAAAGGCGCCCTACAATTTATTGTAGGGACGACTGACGATACGGGCCTAAGCTTATTTTTGTTTTTTTATTTCCGTTAAAACCCTGTGAAATAGTTAATGTTGACGTATGGTATGAACGTATGAATTTAAATCGGGCAGCACTTATTAGATGTCACTGCTTTAGTGGGGTATCAGGCATTCTTGGACAGAGATAATAAACAAAAACAGTATTTTTGTTTTTCGACAACTCGACAAACAACTAAAAAAGTACGCAAAGGCAGATCGAACGCGCTTTTCACACGATCCGGCGCTCGCCGTAAAGGCGATTTTCGTCCGCAGGCGCCCATGACGTCACGAGGAGAGTGGTTATCATTTGGGTTGATATGGAAAACGTGCATATTTTCAGCTACAGGCCAAACGGCTGGACGGATTTTCACATATGAGGTGTCGTTGGATTCGTCTTAGCGGTGCGAGTAACACTAGCTACATTAAAATTTTATAAAAAACAAAATGGTGGATTTTAATGAAAGATTTCAACCCTGTAATTCCTATTTCACAGGCTATAGCTTAAACGGCTTCTAGCTCCACAATAGAGCGTATCGTCTCTTCACTGTAAAAACAAGATAACTCCATTTTTCTACATTACCTATATTTTAGTATGTTCTGCGGAGCAGGATTAACATGTTCATGTCATAATACTGTACTACATTTATCCTTATTCCACAGAAAATCCTAAGTACCTGTAAGTGTGAAAATGTACGCAAGTCGAAAAGTAGAAAAATGGATCTTCTTTTTGCAGTAAGGTGGTGGTATAACAATAACTGGAAATGACTTAGCATAAGCAACAATTTTTTTCCATTTCCTTTTACGATTTTTCTGGTCTTTAAACTTTTATTCAGTTCTTTGATCTGGAAGAACATCCTTGGCCTGAAAAACAGTTTTTTAGCTTTTTCAGGGCAGTCAATGTTGCTAATCTTCAACAGAAGTTCACCTATACAATTTTGCTTTTTTGTCACTATTCCGTCCCCATTGAATGTAGTGAATACCTTGTTCAGTTTCTCAATTTGATTCATGAAAGTTGTGGAAGGTTTTGATAATCCACCCCCACTAAGATGGTCTATCCATGAATAAGTTTCATTTGAGGAACTTTTCAACCTCTCATCCTGCAATTTATTGCAAACAAAGTCGGCCAAATTTTCCAGCCCGTCATACTCGAGCTCATCTATTTCTTCCGCTAAAACTTGCTCGGTATAGTCAGCTGATACTTCAGGTGCATTCAGTGTATTCTCGTTAATGGTTAGTGGTTAGCGGAATGTCTGGAGTATCCTCTCCACGCTGCAATATGTACTCTGAGTATGCGCCTTCGTTTCGCCCCAACATATATGACCTTATTCTATACTTAAACTCTAGAGGACTTGTATGGTCATGAAGACCATCTTTTGCCCTATGTAGCCATTTTTTGCTAAAGTTTGGGTCTTGAGGAAAACTGTGGAACTTCATGTCTTTGCAAAGATTCCGTTTAGATTGATTGTCTGAATTACATCCCACAACAGCACACCGCATTGTTATTAATTTATCATCCACACAGGGTATATAAGGTATGTATAACTAAAACAAGTCACAAAACCACCAAAAAACACCAACAAATCGTACTATATTGTATTAACCACGATACACGTGAACTGCAGTAACGTTACGACAATCCTGCCGCTGGTAACCACGAGCCGATAACTCTCCGGATGACGTCACGAAGCTCCGCCCACATGCGCAATATCCTATCTTCAGTGTATGTATATCGTGGGCTATGGGAGTAGTTGAGTCTTTTCACACAATATCCGGCGCGCGTCGTGCGGCGCAGATGCCGTGCGGCGCGCAAATTCCCGCCGGACTGCCCTACGCCGCACGGCCCAGGCCTCTACAGGGTCCGACACTCAACATGCCATTAATTCGGTTTGGAAAATGATTTTTATTTATTCCCAAGTACAGAATGTGTGAAAATATTCGAAAATGCAGAAATGATTCACGTTGGCTCAATATGACCACTTTTTGCCTAGACTATTATTATATAGCATTGAGACGGTCCAAAAACGAATCGGGGCTGGGGTATTTCCTAGCTCGGAGCTTGATCTCCAAATTGGCCCAGATAGAATAATCCGTTGGATTTGCGTCGGATGAATTCGAGAGCCATTGTGTGGTCAAAATGAAGTTCGGAACGTTGTTTTTCAGCCATTCTTGGTTCATTTGCGTTGTGTGAGACGGTGCCTAGTCTTGTTGAAACGTCCATGGCCTGCGGCCGAAATGTTTGTCTGCCCACGGCTTCAAATCAGCCTCCAGAATACTTTACCGATCGTATGTCGCATTTACTTTGAGGCCAGTCTCAATGAAAACGATTGGAGAGTGCCCATCCGCGGTACAGCGGCCCAAACCATTATTTGTGGCGCGTGCTGCTTCCGGGTGACCAACCCGTGGCTCAAATTCTCGTAAGGACGTTTGTTCAAGTGAACCCTATCGTTTTGAGAGTTTACAAATTGCTCAATTAGAAAAAATTATAATAAATATACAGGGTGTTAATAAAGTATGTAGACAAACTTTAACCGAATCCTTGGTCAATTTGAAGACAAAATTTCCATATGAACATCATAAAGTTCATCAAATGATTTGATTGACATACGAAAGTACAAAAAGAATCTTTTCTCACTGATCCGCAATGTGTTGAACAAAACTTTGAAGTACCCAGAAGTACGTCGATTTTGCAGCAATGGGTGAATCCAAAGCCTCCTATTTCTTCTTTTTATTCGCCGTCTTCATATTAAGTACATGGCTAGTACTTTCTTCTTCCGCGCTGTGTCCATTTCAAATAGCTAGCATCAACTGAACAGTCAAAATACGGGAGCGCCGCGCGGTGCGCGCCGGACGAAACCTACCTCGTGTGAAAATATCACGCTTCTCAGGCGCGCGCTTTGCGGCTAGCGCCGGATCATGTGAAAAGGGCGTAAGATACGCACACGACGGACTGTGCGTCGTGCCTCCTGGGTCTGAGGAACCCATAGTGAATGATAGGACAAAAAATGTTCGCTACTGATTTTTTTCAAAATTCATATTTTTGTGGGATTAAACAGCTAATGATACGACTTTGTTCTACCTTTTGGTACCCCTTGATATGTTTTACTCCGTTTTCGAGGGGAAAACAAAAGGAACTTCGTCATGTCGAAAACTTCTTAAAATAAGATCAAATCAACATTTGCTACCAAATGTTCTAAGGTTATCGATGAATTTTTGACAATCTGTGTCAGTTTGCTATTATTTTTCCTCTGTCAATAACCATTTTTTAATCTTCAACACCTTGTATCTTGGAAATCAGACTTTTGAGGAACCTTTGTACTTGAATTTGGTTTAGAAATGCAGCCTTGTAATTTTCAGCCAATCGCTGAGTAACACCACATAGGCTCATTATTTTAAATTCTAAATTATGATGAACTTTATTCTCTTATCCAGAAAGATCACAGGTGTGCTCTAGTCTGAGTATTGGGTCCCTCTGAGAATCCCGGGTCCTGGGCCCCGAGGAATAGTCCGCGATCCCCCCTTCCCCTCTCATCGGGCCTTCGGATGAATCGAGTTGAGCACGGTTTTCTTAATCAAAAGTTTTGCCTATATAGGGCAGGTATATTTAATCTTGTTTTGCTAATAAAAAGTGTCAGTGCTAGATTGACTTGAAGGCAGTGATGGGCGTTTACGCGTATACATTAATTGTCTACGTCTCGATGTATACAATGCGTATACAATGAATACAATGTATACAATGATGAAGACAATGTATAGAATGGCATAAGTGAGGTAGGTTTATTCGCAAACGTCAGAAAGTTGCTAAAGAGTGAACCGACAACTTAAAAAAATATGGTTGGACGCTCCAGGAATAAAGAAATCGATGAACTAGGGTTCATTTGTTAATCTTAATTGATTCAAAACTGTATCTTTGTATACGTATATAAATAAATATTATATATTTTTCCATTATTTATAAACTGCTTCGACAGTCAAACCAATAATGCAACGTTGCAGAATTTGTATCCTGAACTTTCAGTTCGACCTAAAATCGGAGAACCATTAGGATCGGTCTGGAATTGATCCCAAACAAATTCGACATAAACGTGTATTTGAGCGTAGAAAACAAAGCGTTGCAGCAAGTTACAGTTGTATTATGTGACCTTCATCACTGTTGTGCCAGGCAACGTGGTGTGTGGCGCACTCTTTATACATACACCATTGTATACGCGTATACAATGGTGTATTTATTAAACATGTGTATACAACGCGCCCATCATTGCTTGAAGGTTGGGATTTTTAAATTGGTTGCAGATAACTTGTAGGTTTGATTAAAAATTACAAGGGATACGGATAATACGAAAGTTGGAGAGCATATTTGAGAAACAATGAATCAAGTACATATCTTGATACAAGTATGGTGGGCGACACAAGAAAGATTAAAAAATGGCATCAAGTAGGTTGACTCTGCACTGCCCACGCAACGC